CCATCATTTTTTATGTTCTTTTCCCCCCACCTTATCATTTCTGTTACTTCAGTTTGTTTCCCCTTTCTGCTTCACTGCCATCCCTGGTTCCATATTGTTCTGGTGGAAGAAGAAAAGGTGGAAAATTAGGACATTGTTGGATTAAAAATCAGTTCTGACTAAAATTATGTAATCTAAATTTATAGCCAAATGCACTGCTGAACAAATGCATTAGCAACAGGAAGAACATCTCTTCTTCTGAATAGTTCAGTTACCTGATGTTCCTTTTGAAGTGTTTATCTGGATTTTAAAAAAATCTATGCATTCTCAGATGAATATCACGGTATCACTGTGGGGCAATTGGAAAAGAGTCATTGTTCCTGGAATTTTAATCCTGTTGTAGTCGCATTTTCAACCCCAAGCTCAAAACTTTGAAAAGTATACTCTGAAAAGTATACAGCTTTTCAATGACTTGAAATGTTCATAGATTTGTAAAGGATAGCCAGGTCAAATCATGCATAAAAATTGAGGCAGGGTTTTTTCTAGGTTAAATACTTTTAAGGTTGCAGGTTTTTTCAAAAAATGGGAGAACTGTTTCAAGTTTCTAGAGTGCTTTATAGCTTTTGACAGTTTTGTTTATGACTAGAGTGGGCAGGGAGTAGATTTAATTTACTGGTAGACCCGATTACTCAAAATAGATCATCAAGAGTTTCCCAGTTGTGGAACAATAGAAACAGCAAAAAGCTACCACCCAAACTGAAAACACTGATCTGTAGTAACTCAGATGTTGGCTTATATAATATCATGTCATGCAGTTAATATTTGGCCACCAAATTGTCTTTTGCATCTGATTCCATCCCTCCAAGCCACTTACCGTATTTTCCCCCTATAGGACGCACTTTTTCCCCTCCAAAAATGAAGGGGAAATGTGGGTGCGTCCTATGGGGCGAATACAGGCTTTCGCTGAAGCCTGGAGAGCGAGAGGCTCTCACTCTCCAGGCTTCAGGAAGCTTTGCGCAACCCTCCGGAGCCCGGCGCCAAGCCGTGCTGGCCTCTGGAGAATCACGCAGAACTGCCTGCCCTCCCAGGGTCCGCGCAGCTCTGCGCAACCCTCCGGAGCCCGGTGCCAAGCTGCGCCAGGCCTCGGAGGGTTGCGCAGAGCTGCCTGCATTAGGAAGCCTCAGCGCGCCCGGGCTTCGCACAGCTGTCCACAAGCCTGTGTAGACCGGCGCGGCTCCCTAGGCTTGCGGATAGCAGGCTCTTCTGGGGGCTGGGGTCGGGGGAAGCTCGGGCTTCCCCCGCGCCAGCCCCGTGCCTGGGGGGGGGAATAATTTTTTTTTCTTTATTCCCCCCCCCCCCAAAAAAAACTAGGTGCGTCCTATAGGGCGGTGCGTCCTATGGGGCGAAAGATACGGTACTTAGCACGTGGCTCTGCACAAGGTTTGTGGAGCTAGCCTGAAAACTTAGGGGAAATGATGTCTGGTTCATTCCAGGTTCTCCTGCAATTCTAGACTTCTAAGAAAACCATCCTGTCCCATTGGGAGTCAGATGCAAGATCATTAGAAGAAAATAAATCATCAGAAATTTGGACTTCTACCATTAAAGCCTTGCTGTACACAACATGCAAGGAACGAGCCTTTTAAGACCCTCTTTTTATTCTTCACAGGCTACGCTCTGATCTCTGCCGGCATCAGAAACCGGGAGCTGATTTGCATATGTGATCCAACAAGGTAATTTTTCAAAAGCATCTGTTCATAGCTCACAGGGCCAACTCCAGGTTTGAGGAGGCTTTCAGCAGTACTGGTCCTCTCCTTACAACCGTGGGTCTCACCCAGCCACAGGCTACCCACCCACCAGCAGCAGCAATAAGCTACAACCATCGTTTTAAATTTCCCACTGTTTCCACTGGGAGAAAATCTAGAATTAGTTGGTTCTGTGGTTCTGGTTCCACTCACCATTGGCCTCCCTTGCTTCCACCCTATCATTCTCAATGGGCACCAATCCGCCGCTGCTCAGACCATTATCCAGTTCTGATGGGAGTCCCAACAACAACATCAATATGGAAGGCTACAATGTCCTGCCCGTGTTGTACTATGGTAGCAGTTTATACAGTCATACTAAGCATCCAGTGAGCAGCATCTTAGGTACATCAACACATCCCCCCCACACCCACCCACCCAATGGCCTCATTGCTTTCCCAAGCATAGCAGTATTTGACCACCCTTCCCTTATTTTATTGAACTTAAAAAGTGGCATGTCAAATACTGAAGACAGTGCAATTTTTTCTACTGTTGATGTTCTGGCAGCTGGCAAAGGGATTAAGATTTCAGTATTTAAAAGAGAAATTTGAAATTGGGATTCTTGTTTCAGAGTTATGATATAAAGCCTTTGGCAACTAAGGTTTGGAAATGTTGGCCTTATTTCTGAGCAGTGTATTTGGGATCTGAGTATAAGCCCTATGGTAAACAGTGGAAATTTTAAGTTTCTGTTTAGGTTTCTTTACTAATTCAAAGAGCATGAAAAATGAAGTGAATGCTCAATATTCAATTCCCTGGCCTCTTTTAATGTTAAAAGTAGCCCATTTCTCGTAAAAGAAATGTTACCAAATAGCTAGGGTGTTTCACAATGTACCTTTTGAGATTTAAATACAAAAAAATAGGATGCAATCTCGTCATTTGCTTGAGTGAATCACATTTCCAGGACACACAAATCTTTTTTCCTCAGTTTGCTTTGGCTAAAATAGTTGTTGACCAATTCCTGCTGGATTTGCAACTCACATTTAAGAGTGAATCATTTCCTCAGAATTAGTAAAGCACAACAACTGCTAGCAAGTTATTTCAGTAATAAAATGACCTTTTAAAAATATAGATTTTCAGAGTTAAGAAATCGTGGGTTTTTCCCTTATCACAATCCTACATGCCATTTGGCACTTGGATTAAGGTTTTGTTGCCTTTGACTTTGCAGTTTCCCTTAACATTTTATTCGTTTATTTTTATATATGCTTCCTTCTACATTTTATTTTCCTAGACAAATGAATATATAAATTCCTGGAGGAAGTAGAATGGCATACAAAATTCCTTTAATGTACGGCTGTAACATTTAGTCAATTAATCAGTTAGATTTTGATTGACTAACACACTGATGCTTTACTCAGTTTATTTATACGCTGCTGATTTTTTAAATATAGTAATAGTATTTCTGCGCAATGTTACTATATTGTTTTATTGATTACTCTGGGAGTGCCTTGGGAGGATTACCAAGCATAAAAAGCAGTTTAGAAACATGTTAAATAAAATTAGTAACCTTCTCCTCATTAATAGGGCAGCACATTTTTAAAAATTTTACAACAATTGATTGCATGGAGTGTATTAGAGAAGGGGTAATGCCTCTTCTAAGATAATGTCTGATGGGTGTGTACCATCTATGTTTTTTTCTTTAGAGCTACTGCTTTTTTCTCATGCAGTTTTAGGCAGACTATCAATTCAATTCTATGAAAGTTTATTTGGAAGTAAATCCCACTAAATTCAACAGGATTTGTTCCCATGTAAATTTATGTACCGGTAGGTCCGCAACTTAAATCTTGTAGAATTAATCAACTTGAATTAGGTGGTTGCCCTACTTTGGTAACCATGGAATATCAGTAAACATAAATAAGGTCTGAAATAGTACCAACTTTCAGTTTATCACATTATTTATTCATACATTATTATAGTATATGCTATGCTTTGGTTCAGATGCACCAGTACACAATGTGTGTCTTGTTCTATATATACACTGTTCTGTGTTAGCATGGGCTACGCCAGTATCTTCAGTGTGGAATAATGCTGTGGGTCTGATTCAGCATCAGAATGGCACACTGCCTTAGGCCGCAATCCTAAGTGCAGATTGTTTCCATTGTTAACAATGGAAAAGCACAAGGTGTCATCCTGCAACACAGCAAGCATATTTATGAGGGGGAATGTCCTGCCAGGCTTTATAACGGCTACACAATGTTTGTATTGGTGTGCTGTTGTGGTTGCTTGGATGGTTGTCGTTCTTGTGTTACAGAAAAGGAAATGAAGATGAGATGTAGTGACTGAATTCTTCACCAGCTGTGGCAGACAAAGATTCACACAATTTGCAACGGTGGGTGACACTTTGGCAGACAAATGTGTGCCTGCAGAATCTCAGCTTTCCAATGAAGACATAAATTTGTTCAAGCTCAAGAATTCTGTAGGGAATGTTCTATTGGGTCGTATATTTCAGATCTTTTATGGATTCTGCCAAGCATCTTTGAAAGATGTGTTTTCTCCCTTATTGATGTCTACTGAATTCTTTTGCTATTTATGGAGGTGGTTTTCTCTGTGTAGACCTGGATTGGGGAAACTCAGGCCAAGGGGCAGCCGTCCAGGCCCTCAGAACTCCTCCATGGGCCATACCCCCAATCTGGCCCTGTTTCTCAAGCCAAGTGTTTCTGCCTGGCTGGAATGTGGAATATGTCCTTGAACCTTGATGATGCCTCTTGCTTGTCAGGATGAAGGATGGAGAGGGGTGTGTGAATGTGTGTAGAGCTAGTCTACTGCACTTTTGATTATGGCCATGTTCAGCACAGGCATACAGCCTAAATTAGGTTCCCCGACCCTATAAACATAGGGGTTGTGGAAGGGAGGTGGCTTCTGCTTGTACCTGCTTACATGGGAGGGAGAATTCCATTGTGTTCTAGAAGGTTCTGCTGGAGTGAATCATCAGGGGATGTGGGGAGGTCTTAGTGGGAAGAGTTAGATGGGAAAACCCAATTCCATAAACAAATCTATTTATGGCTTAGAATCCAAGCCATCATATGTACAGTAATCGGTTTTTTTGTTTTTTGTTTTTATTTCATCTGGTGCTAGAACACAATTGCCTGGCTTGTAGAGGAATGTGTGAAAGTAGGGGGAGGAATATTCCACGATGCAGGATGTGTTAATGGGTTCATATTAATTACGTTGTTTCCTCTCTGTTTTCTTTTAGAACATTTCCCTCTGATCTCATCCTGTTGAGATATGGAATCAATTTCTATGATGGGAAGTCCCAAATCTTTAAATGAAACTTTCTTGCCAAATGGTGTAAACGGTATCAAGGACACCAGCAAGGTCACAATAGGCATAATTGGAAGTGGAGATTTTGCAAAATCACTGACCATTAGGCTTATTAGGTGTGGGTACCATGTGGTCATAGGAAGCAGAAACCCTAAGTTTGCTGCTGAGTTCTTTCCACATGTGGTTGATGTCACTCATCACGAAGATGCTGTAGCAAAAGCAAATTTGATTTTTGTTGCTATACACAGAGAACACTATGCTGCTTTGTGGGACCTCAAACACCTGCTTGTTGGTAAAATCCTTGTAGATGTCAGCAATAACATGAGAGTTAACCAGTATCCAGAATCTAATGCAGAATACTTGCAGTCACTTTTCCAAGATTCTTTTGTTGTCAAAGGATTCAACGTTATCTCAGCCTGGGCACTGCAGTTAGGACCCAAAGATGCTAGCAGACAGGTAAGCTATGCATTTATGTCTTTTTAAAAAGCAGAATGAAAATAGTGGTTGGAATAGTTGTGACTGTCTTGCCAATCTCAATATTTGTTCCAGCACTGAGAGTAAACATTGCTCAGTATGCTAGCTTGTAAACAGTCATCAGTGCTGCTGAGCTTGAATTGAGGAAGAACATCACACAAGGATGCCAAAGTGTCATCATCATTACTGTTATTGCTGCAGTACTGACCATCCAACAACAGAGTTTTCTGGGTGGCTCACAGAGCTAAAATTATTATTATTATTATTATTATTATTATTATTATTATTATTGAATCCCTTCACTTGAGGCATCCCAAACTATTTACACTATAATAAAACCATATGTAAAATGGTATGTAAAACATACAATTTAATTTTTTTCTAAAGGAAAAAGCTTGGGGAAATGGAATATCTGGTTCTGAAATAATTTATTTGGTTAACTATCACAGAATAATTCCATCAGTGCTCTAAACAACATTTGACCAGAAGCAGCTGGCTGCAGAGAATGCTTTAGTTTTCCATACAATGCTTTCTAGAAAACAAAATGAGAGAACTCCCTAGTTTCATCATTATAACATTCAGTTATGTCACTGGAAACATAAGTAAGGTGAAAAACATGACCTTGCTGACAACAATGAATGAAAACAAATTAAACATATAAAATCATTTATGTATTTAAAGTGGTCTGGGCACTTTTTATCTGCTTGTAGCATCTACTGCAGTTTGACCATTACGTTCAGGAGTAGCCAGTGGGGTGTCTGCCAGATGTTGTTGAACTCCCATTTTTGCCATTCTGGCTGGGACTGATGGGCATTGTGGTACAGCCACATCTGGAGGACATGAATTTAGTCCATTGCAGCCGTTGAATTCATCTTTATATTGGTACATCATAATAATGTTTGTGTGTGTGTGGTGTTTTTTTAAAGGTCTACATATGTAGTAATAATTTTCAAGCTCGACATCAAGTTATGGAACTTGCCCGTCAACTCAGCTTCATTCCTCTTGATTTGGGCGCTTTATCATCTGCAAGGGAGATTGAAAATTTGCCTCTTCGGTTGTTCACGCTGTGGAAAGGACCAGTAATAGTGGCTGTCAGCCTGGCCACCTTCTTCTTCATCTATTCATTCATCCGCGATGTAATTCATCCTTACGTGAGGAACCAGCAGAGTGATTTCTACAAAATTCCTATTGAGATCGTGAATAAGACATTGCCAGTTGTTGCTATCACTTTATTGTCTCTAGTGTATTTATCAGGGCTGCTGGCAGCTGCTTATCAACTTTATTCTGGCACTAAGTACAGGCGATTTCCACCTTGGTTAGAGAGCTGGTTGCAGTGTAGGAAACAGCTTGGACTGCTTAGCTTTTTCTTTGCAACGGTGCACGTGGTTTACAGCCTCTGCTTGCCCATGAGGAGGTCCGAACGGTACTTGTTCCTGAATATGGCTTATCAGCAGGTAAGGAAAAAAACTTGGAGACGGTGATTCCTATTATTATTATTATTATTATTATTATTATTATTATAACATATCATTTTCAACAGTAATTAAACATACTTTTACATCTTATTCAAATTTTTGACTTCCATCAATCCTGTCTGAAAATTTTCCAATCTAATCTCTCAGTATGCATTTCTTATCTTCCCTATTGCATTTCAAACTCATAACCAATATCTCTTATCTTTTTCTACTTTGTAACACTTCGTATATTTCTCCTTACAAAACTTCTTGTAGTCCTACTAGCATAATTCGTTGATTACAGTTGCTCTTCAAATAATTCATATACTTCTTCCAATCTTCTGTAAATCTCTGGTCCCGCAGGTTTCGAATCCTTCCTGTCATTTTGTCCAATTCTGCATAGTCCATTAATTTCGTCTGCCATTCTTCTTTCGTCGGAGTTTCTTCTTGTTTCCATTTCTGGGCTAACAACACTCTTGTCGCAGTTGTTGCATATAAAAACAATTTAACATCTTGCCTATTAATGTCCTGACCTATAATACCAAGTAAAAATGCTTCAAGGGGAGACACCTTGGTCATGGAGACGGTGATTCTCAATGGGGTTCCCAGTGGCCTTCTGTTCAGGTTACTGATCAAGTCTAGGCCTGCTTAGCTTCAGTGCAGCATCTGTTCCAAGAGATTGTTAACTAAGCCCCTAAGCACTGAATTCTGAGATCTGCATAAATCACTCAGATTTGCATCTGTTTTCCATTTTGCATAGTTTATTCTCCTCCTCCTAGTTGTAGGAAGGGACAGCCCTATTAAGGGCATGAATGCCTCCTCACAGTCACTGGAAATCCTGACCAGCTTCCCCCCACCCCTTCCTCCCGGACAGTCCACCAGGCACACTTAGAAACCCATCAAGTCTCCGGAATGAATGAAAACTCCTCTTACACAAATTTGTTCCGTGTTCTAAAAATTTCTCGCCCTCTTTCTTCAGGTCCATGCGGATGTTGAAAATACATGGAATGAGGAAGAAGTCTGGCGGATTGAAATGTATGTCTCCTTTGGAATAATGAGCCTGGGGCTGCTTTCTCTGTTGGCTGTAACTTCTATTCCTTCAGTAAACAGGTCGTTAAACTGGAGGGAATTCAGTTTTATCCAGGTGTGTATTGTAGCAAAACCCGATATTAGAAGCTAATCTATCAGAAGGCATTTCAATGTTGATATCTATCAGGATTGCTCCAGAAATGTCAACAAGTTCCTAAATGCTAATACTTAGCAAAAGCAGCCCTGGAATGTTTCCTTCCAAGTAGCTACGTATAAGAGTACACTGTAAGGCAGTGTTCTTTATTTTTTCATTCTGGTAAATTGACTTGACAAGAATTCCAAGTCTAAGAAATGCTTGGTCAAAGGACATTTCCTTGAATTTTTTTCCACCCAAAATGTGTTTGAGATAAGCAGTTGAGGCTTTAAGCAGTTCTTTTCAGGACTTACACAGTTTTAGAATATTATCCACAATTCTACTGCATCTCACTGATATGACAAACCAACACATCTCCGCTGAGGACACTAAGCACCAGCAAATCCCAGGAAGGGCTGGAAGCTGTGATGTGTAGCATTAAAGATATCTGGCAGTATCTTTTTGATACTGCTTTTTGTCGCCTTTTTCTATGCAACCATACCTGCTGATTCAAGTGAGCAGCCTCTTTCATCCCTTTTCTCCCAGGCTCGTTATCAGTCCAGCAAATCTCACACAGTCTGCTCATCCAGCAAAAGGTTTCTGCCCCTAGAGACCTTCGAAAATGCCAGTGGAGCATTCTGGATGCTTCTTTTTTTATATATATAAAATATTTATTGAAATTTTCAAAGTGTTACAACATAAAATAAAAGCAGAAGAAAATACAAAATAAAAAATAGTTAACAAAGTAGAAAAGGGGAAAAAAAACCCTTCCAACCATACGAATACAAATTCAAAAATAAGAAAAAAAGACACACACACACAAAAAATACAATTTAAGAACATTTAAAAACAAATTCATTATTCTCGAATCCTCAACTGTCATTACCTTCTTTCTTTGACCTCCTCCTCCTCCCCTTCCCTGTATCCCAGTTATTAATCATCCCAGCAAATCCCTTCCATATTTCATAATATTCTGTCATTACATTACCCTAAACAGTTTTAATCTTATCTTTCTATAAAAAAAAACCTTAAAGCTTAAAACTTAAATCTTATCCTTACCAACTTCTCATAACCATAATATTCTTTCATAATTCTTTAAACATCTTTACTAAAGCCAAGTAATTTCATTCCAACATTTTTCTGACATTCATCAATTTTATAAAACAGTTCTAATGGTAGAAAAAAGAAATACAAACAGATCCAATCTTCATCCAACGTCCCTTCCTCCTGGTTCCGGGTTTTGTCAGTCCTTATTATCCCATCGACCTGGCCCATTAACCTGGCAACCTTATATCTGAGGCCCTCAAGTCTCTTCCATGTCCCTTTCGCAGCTCTTCTTCATATTTGTAACTGTATTTTCCCTTGTCTCCTGCTCATGGTAACTCCAGCTTGGCAATATTTTTAACCCTTCTCAACAGATCAGCCCCTTTTCCATATTCAGCACTGAATTCCATATGGTATTTAAAAGCATGTTTCAAAGACCCTCCAAAATTAAGAGCCCCCACCATCCCAAACATCTCACGGCCCATTGCCAGATTTGAAAAGTCCAAACATCCCAGCATAGGGGGGTCAATCCAGCCCCCCATTTCCAAGCCAAACCAAACTTTTCTTTCCAAATCTGGCTTTTTCCAAGTTCATTTGTCAAATCTGAAAACTCATATTCCTGTTGGGCCTGTTCTGTCAGAACACACTCCTGATTTAATTCCTGGGTGGGCTCCACATATTTTCCCACTGTCTGTTCAAAATTTCCCACTGCCTGTTCAAAATTTCTAGTCGAAGTCGTCATCAAATTCACCTTCTCATGTAACTGTTCCAGTAGGGCGTTTGTTTTGTAGAAAGCACACAACAAAGCTTCTGAATACATTGTCCTACAAGGTCAAATGCCTATTCCCACGATTGTAATCTGTAAACAGCTGCCAGCTCCCTGGAGTTGGTTACAGTTTCACAGTCTCCCTCTAGGGGGAAAACTTCTATTTGATCTTGCAACAAAGTTTCCCTTTTGAGATACTTTGTCAATATTTGTTCCTTTGAAATGCGAAGGGAAACAGTGGAATCACTATGTTTCTCTTCTTTTAGCTATCTGTCAAAAACGTTTGTCTCTGGTCAATGAACTTCAAACGTCAGTCCTGACACCCCGCTCCAGGATCAGGACGGAGGAAAGTTGCTTTACTTTAAACTCACTTTAAACAGTCCAAAAAGATCCCCTTCTTCTCCTGCTGTCGAAGGGGGGTTCCACAATTTTAAATGATGAAATCCAATCCTTTAAAAGCGATTTTCTGAGCTCTAGTTTACGTTGTCTTTGCTTTATTCTGTCTACAGAAGAACGCAAGGCTGACTTCCTGTTTAGACCTTCCTGTTCCGTACCAAATTGAAATAGATTTTTAAGATCCAATTCCTTTCTGCTCGCAAGTCCCCATCTAATGTCCAGTTGTTCAAAGTCTAAGTACTCACGGGTGCTTATTTTAGAGTCCAAATTGTCCCAGGAAAAAGGCAGCGCTCTCCGGCAACGGCTATGCGGCTTCGCTCCACGGAAATAGCAGTTGACTCACAGCACCGCGCCACTTCCCCCCCTCTTCACTTCGGAGCCCATTAGTGGGTTCCTTAGCGAGTTGGGGGGGCGCTAAAGGTGCCCGCCGAGTCCCATGGTCACAGGCTTCATCCGCCTGTGATTTTTGAAAGGGTCCCCGCTTCGCTGTAGCGGAGAAGACCTGTTTCCCGCAGAGCTAGTCCCTCCAGTTCAGAGGGAGTCCGCCATTGCCGATGGCGCCACCCTGGAAGTCCCTGGATGCTTCTTTTCATATTCCAAGCTGCTTTTTCAGTTTTCCTCTGCAGAACTTAATTTGAAAAATCAGAATACATATTGGGCCATCACAATAAAATAAAAATGAGGAGCGACCTTTTTATTAAACCAGCAGAGTTCAGAATCCTGAAAGCGAGCTCGTTGTATTTTTTAATACCCATGTCCTGAACTGACCCTTGTTCAACCTTTTTGAAGGCCAGGCAGATAAAATGTACTTGCAACGTGTGCTGATTTTAACTCAGTCTTTTTTCAGAAATTTTAAATAGTTTAAATTAGCTGTGTCTGTTAATTAGGTTTCCAGAATGTTAATTTGTATCTGTTTCCTTTCTCTCCCCCCTCCCCATATCTTCAAAGTCTACTCTTGGATACGTCGCTCTGCTCATAAGTACTTTCCATGTGTTAATTTATGGGTGGAAAAGAGCCTTTGAGGAACAATACTACAGATTTTACACACCACCAAATTTTGTTCTTGCACTTGTCTTGCCATGCACAGTAATTCTGGGTAAGGTATTTTTGCTCCTGCCGTGCATAAGCAGGAAATTGAGGCGGATAAGAAGAGGATGGGAAAGAAGACAATTTATGGAAGATGGAAGTGGAACTGGTTCACATCCCTCGCCAGAAAGGGTTACTATCATGTGAGTCTACAATGACGCTATTGCCTTTGTCAGCATTGTCCTTTCAAAGTGATGTAGTTCATAGAAGCTTTACTGTAGACTGAAACCTGTGGGAAACAAGTGATGATATGCTGTAAACTATTAGGAAGTGGGCAGTGTTGGTCAATGCAGACATAACATTTTTAATGTGGTGTAAATGTCTTTGAGCACATCCCTGCATTCTGAAGATTTGCTGTCTGGGCAGAGAAAGTGTGTTCTCAAACCTTTTCTGCCACACTTAGGTTTATTAAGCATGTTGACCAGAGGATAAATACCATTGAACTCCATGGGGTTTATATGTGAGTGAAGATTCTTAGCATTGCACCATTCATAATGTTACAGCTGTCTTCCCTTAGGCTGCCAGATTCAGCGCTGGAGAACAGTCATTTTCCTTTAGATCTATTAATGTTACAAAAGATAAGTCCTGCCCTTTCCTTCCCTGGCCCAGCTATCTACCTTCCTTCCTGCTTGCTATATGCCATGCCTGGAGCCTTGATCCATTATGGTAGGTTGGAGGTGTGGTGTAAGCACCTGCCCCAAGAATCACTGCTGAATTTGGCTCCCCTGAAACAAATTCCTGTTTCTACACTCTGAGGAGCACCAAGCAGGTGGATCTTGCCAACCTTTTAATGCACATCCCATAATGCACAAGTTAGCATTGCTCTGGGGCATTGTGGAAGACTTAACTGGTGGCCAAATGGGGGAAAGGCTGCAGGAGAGAGCTTTCTTCAACCTCACCCATATTTGCAAAAATTTGCTCCATTGTTTCCAGTGGGACTTGGACACCACTGGGAGCACTGCCATCACAGCTAATAAATTCACACTGACAGAGGAAGGGGCCCACTTCTCCCAGTACACTTTTCACCCAGAGCCAGCTATGACATGGTGAATAAGGGGACCAGAGAAGCTGCAGCTGCCCTATTTCCTGCTGCATAGGGATATTTTGAAGTATATGGTTGTTTTCCAGCTTTCGATAAGGCTACCGTAGTCTTTACCCTTTGTTTACATGTTCAGTAGTGTTTTGAAATTTCAAGATCAAACCTTACAAAGTTAGCTATATATAACTATGCTCAAATCCACAGTCTTAAAAGACTGCTGGTTTCTGCTAGGTAGATTACTACCTAAGTTAGCACAAGGACTTGTGGACAATGAAATGAAAGTAAGGGGCATTAATAGACCAAACTAGACATTATGGCAGCAGACTGATTTGCTAAACCCAGATCTTGTTCAATTCCATAAATTTTGGGGAGGGAAAGGGGTCTTGTTTTTTGTGTTTGTTTTTTAAGGAAAGAAAATATGGGGGCTGGTAGAGCTTTCTCTGCCCATGACTTACTTGCATTTGCTTCTCATTCCCGGCACATTTCTTCTGCACTGAGCCTCCAGTACTGGACGTGAACTCAGCTGGGAGAAGAGCAATTGGGTGAAAGGCACTAGTGGGAGAGTTCCGTTGCCCTTACCCACATCCATAATCCATGGGACTCAGCTGGGAACTTCAGTTTCCATTCCAGTGGGACGTGGGCAGCTTCAACTTTTGCTGGACTATATCCCATATGCATTTTGCACAATTTATCACAAAACCAAACTTCAGTCCATCTTTTGCAGACATCTTTGATGTCAGCAAGAATATCACAGTTTGTCTAATGCTATAGCCTGCCTTCCAGCACACTGCTTATTTTATTAAAGCCAATGCTTATATTTATTTGGCTCAAAATTAAGAATAATAGGTATTTCACAGTCTCGCTTAACACACTTGCAGTAAGGGCGCTATGAATGTGGGATACCTGTTTCACATGCATAACGGCAGGCCGGAGGCTGCTAAAAATAGACAAAAAGAGACAGTTTGTAAGCCTTCCATGCACTTAAGGTGTCACAATGTCTCTGTGTATGACTAACCAGTAGAGATGTGGGTGCAGAGCCACTGAATCATAGATGCATCTGACTAGGACTCTGCAGCACCCTTAAATAAGGAGGATGCAGACCCGTGAACACTGACAGTACTACTGCAAGTGCTTGCTCTATGCTCACAGTAGTCATGCCAGAGATAGAGAACATGGTGCCTTCCAGATGTTGTTGGAATCCACTTCCCATAACCCGCAGCCAGGATGGCCAATGGTCAGGGGAGGTGCAAGGCACAGTCTGAAGGGCACCACATTGGCCAGCTCCGTCATGTACAATGCCTTCTTGATTCCACCTATCTCTGGATTGAGGCCTTTGGAACAATAAGCTCAGAAAGATTATCATCTTTTAACATGTTCAGCATAATTGGGGGGGGGAATAACTATTTTTGTGTGACTATGGGGGGGGGGAGTCCACCAATTATTCATAATTTGTTAGGGACTAAATATCTTTTTTAAATGCTTTACATCGCACAAAGGATGTATTGTTTGTGTGTGAAAAACAAAATCATCTTCTGCAATGAATGTGCTAAAATGAAATCTTAATAGTTTTAACACCTTGTTAATAATTATGATACCTTACACCTGAAGTTCCACTCTGAAACTTTAGTCCTAGGTTCCTAAAATTTTGGAATTACACTTAGGTAGGAATTCATTGTAGTGCTATGGCAATTGTTCTGTCAGCACACACACAACCCAGAGCCATGGGGGGGCCATGGGGTGAAGGGGGGGGACTCTGTTGCACTATCAGACGTCCACTAGGGGGACTACTTAGTTGAATTCATCCACGAGGATTTTGTTTACTATTTTGCTAAACTTCAAGTAGCTTCACTAGTTTGTTTCTGCTATTACCAATTGAAGCCAGCATAAATGGTCAAATAAATGTCCAAAACAAAAATTCCCATCACTTGTTAATTTTTCTCTAGGGCCCCAAACAAAGAATGCAAGGTAGATGTCTGTGTTTTTATGATACACTATTTGTGCAAATATTTGTTTTTCGTGAGAGTCTAGCTAGATTATAGTAAACGAAAGTATTGAGGGCTAAACTAATTATAGCACTGAACATGACACTGGAGAGTATTATAGAGCTCTTGTTTAATAGCAGACAGGGAGGGGGTTTTGAATGGAGCACAGCACATGGAGGTTTAACCCTTTGCTTCCCAGCCACAATCCCTCTTAAAATCTTGCCTCCCCTTCCATCTGTTAGCATTGGGGATAAAGACTTCCATTGACACCAGTTTTCATCAGGATTGATTTTCTACTTGCAGTGTTTAAATCCACAATAATTCATTGCAACCATTGTTACTTCACAGGTGGTACTAATTCCTTTGCCACTTTTATTCAAATATTTAAAATAAATTGAAAAGTAGAACTTGTTGCTTAGCATGGGGGGGCAGGAAGTGCCTAGCAACCTGATCTTTAAATGCTGTGCAAATATAAGATGTGCTACACCAAATTAAATGGGACCATCGACTAACAGTGGAACAATTTAAGGCAAGGTTAGGGAACCTGTGGCCCTTCAAATGTCCCAACTCCCATAATCCCTCGCCATTGGCCATGCTTGCTAAGGCTGATGGGAGTTTCTGTTCAGCAGCATCAGAAGGGCAAAGGTTTCTTACCCTGACATAGAGAATGAATCCGTGCTGCCCTGTTTCTGGCCAAGATGCACTTACAATAGCACCTGAGCAGAAATGCACCTATGGTAACCACAGACACCAGACTGCCATATCCAGCTCAAGGGCAGACCTGGGGTTTGTTGGTTCCGTTGCTTGCACTTACTGAAGAGTCGTCACCACAATGGAGCACTTTTATGGACCCTGTAATTTAATTCTTCTCATTGAAACCGATGGATGTACTAATTCTAGTTTTTTTGTCAAGGGCTGCACTCTCTCTGGGGTAAGTTGTAGGGGCTATATGCCGTATGGGCAGGAACAGAGCCAAAACTGGGTTGACACCCCTTTTTTTCTAATACTTCTCTTGCAGAAGTATATACTAATGACTCGTAGAGGGCTTTTGAAGTTTGTCCAAGGGCCACATGCATACATTCTTACATCAGTCACATCCACATGCTTCTTGTAAAGAAACCTGTAACTGTAGTTTGTTAAGGGTGCTGGGAACTGTAGTTCTGTGAGGGGTGAGCTCCAGTTCCCAGGATCCTCTGGGGAAAGCCATGTGTTGAATGTATGGTGTGGATGTAATCATATGCTTATTCCCATATATGCAGGGGATTCCCATTCTCTGCTTGTGAGTGGTGCTCTTAGTATGTGCCATATTCTGTACGTGTGCATATACCCTTATGCATGAAGTATCCCCCTTAAACATGATAACACCACTGCAAGTTCAGAGCTCTGGATCCCAAATGGTATTTAGCATGTGGGTGTAAAATCTTTAATGGCAGCGTTAGGTCATATTCAATTCGGGCCACAAAAATGTCTTAAGGAAAATGCTATCTTGAATTATTTTTCAAAAAGTTTTATATAACAGCATAGATATTATTTTATTTTAAAATTTATTTAAGATAGGTATATTAATAAAATTGTATTTTTGGATAAAATCAAAGAAGAGTACTATTAAAATATTTATGCTGCATATAGGGTTTTGACACATTAATTGATCTGACCATTCACGGAGCAATTTTCAACCCACTTGAATGCATGCAGGTCCTTTTCATGCAAATAAGCCTTACAAGCATGCATTTAAGATGCAGAATTGCACTCCATTTTATTAAATTCACTGTGGCTCAGATCCTGCAATCTACAGTAATTATAAAATAGTGTTATGCACACAACCACAATCCAATATTTTCAATGTTTCTTGGCCCAAGCCAGCTTGTGCTGTATAAATGCTACTACTTACTGAAATACTCAGCAGATCAAGCTTTTCTCCAGATATTCATATTTTGTTGTCTATGTGTGTAAGTCTTGGCCATACACAGATCTTGGAAAACATTGGTCCAATTCTGCTGTTAACAATTTCATTCCAAATAAATAATTGTTTAATGCACTGAAAACAATAATTGTGTCTCCATGGTTTCTTCTTCTCCTTCCTTCTTTGCTTCTCTCATATGCCTCAGTGGGAATTTCCAAAGCTTGTTAAACTATTTCACCACTACATCTGAACTAGGAAGCTACAGTTAAATCTCTGGCTGCAAACCAATATGCCTTCCTGGTTTGTAATCAGATATTAAACCACAGCTACCTGGTATGGGTGTAATAGGTAACTGGTTTAATAAACCCCAGGTTTCCATTATGATGCACAAGAGAAAGGATGAGAAAACACAGTCACAAGTTACAGCACTCATTCTCAGTACAATAAACTATGGTTTATTTAATCAAGATAATTATTTCTGAACTCGACCATTGTATGAACATCTCTCCCAATGTTTTCAGTGGAGCCTATGCCGATGTAAGAGGTTTTGGATTGGGGTATAAGCCATATAATTATTTCACAGCCTAAAAATGAATGGCTGATCAATATATTTTTGGTCTATATATATATTTTTTGAGAGTTTCAAATATTTATCTTATTAGTTTCTTCTGAAAATTAATATAACTTAATTTATCTCATTACAATGCACTATAATGCTGTACCACTGCTTAATATGGTCCATGTGTGCTTTCAAAATATCATTTACATGCATTTAAAACATTTGAAATGACATTTGTAACATTTGTTTTCCATAATTGTAAGAAACTTTTTTATTGTGCTTAAAATGTGGCAAATGATTTCATTTTTTAATTATTAATTTAAGTGTTACTTGTTAACTGTAGCTGATAGATACAGCTGAATGATATTTAAATTTGAATAATACTTAAATTAAATTTGAGGTTCTACTGAATTTTATTGTACGGTTATTGTCTACTTGGCTGTAACAATGTAGACCCAGAGATGGGTGCAAATATTTTGTTGTTAACATTCTTGTACAAACATGTAATGTGTTACACCAGAATAAATATTTCATTTGTGTAACATAGGTTTGTAGGAGTTCAGTGTGCAATTATCTATAAAAGCAGCTGTAATAGAGTTTATGAAAACAGAAACAATTAGAATTGTGTCCATTTTTCTATCCTTATAGATGGGCCTTTAGTTTTCAGTCTGCTTTAACATGGCAACCTGGTACATTCACACAGCACTTTACACAAATTCTAATTGAACTTTTAAGAACAGGTTGAAAGTCTGCCAAAGGCTGAGATTTTTATATTTAATTTTGGAATTACGGTATATCTTAATTTTGGAAAATACAGAATATCCAAGGCAGGATGGCAGCTCCCCCCCCCCAAACAATTAAATAAAATTATTTAACTAACTAACTGCATTGTACTCAGTTCTGCCCTTCAACATAATGCTTGCCCCCCCAAAATAAATCCTGACTACACCCATGGTCCAAGGCCATACAAAAAGTCCCTGACTGAGCAAATAGTTGAACCTGATCTCATGCATTGATTTCACAAAGTCCTAAACAGAATGGGATATACTAATGGATACAGCAGCGCAAAGTATTCAAACACAAAATCAATGTGCTTCTCTCAAAGCAACAGTGAAATTTCCCGATTTTACCAATACTGAAGTCTTGTTTCCCTCCCACCAAAGTTGGGAAATGTCAAGGCTTTGCCGGAGTGGCCTAATGCAAAACCTGCCTCTGAAGGCAGCTATCTTTTGGCGCCACCATTTGGTAGCAGTTTAATATATCTCATCTATTACGTGATGCATGAGTCGGTCCATCAGGAAGACAGTGGAAGGGGGCTGCATTATTAAGGCCTATAGCCGCTTCTGCCACCTTGGCTGGGATTCTGGGAGGTGGCATGGTTGTACATATACTAGAGAAATCCCTCTTGCCTTAGCCGACCAAACTTAGGACAATTTCGCATTCAACCCAGGACACGTGATGAGGGAGAAGGAATGTTCATACACATCAACCCCACTTCTTTCCTTTGTCGTGTGGTTCTATACAGTACTCTATATTCTCCTAGACATGGCGGGTCAAGGGCATTGCGCTAGCCCTGTGATAGCCTCACATCCAGGGCTGACCCAAGACACTTTGCTGCTAATAATAATTCATCTAGCTAGGTTTCCCAGATTTTGCTACCCAAAGCAGAGCAGCAAACAGTACCTGCTGCTACCCACCCAAATCTCAAAGAAGCAGAGCACCCAAGACAGGTTATTTTGGCATCTCAGAAGTGACTCGCACAGCTCGTTGGTAGTAGAAACACAATTAATAATAAATAGCCAGGGGCTGTCCCTTTTCCTGACACCCAAAATCAGCTGCCCTGAGGAAGCAGCTCCCTTTTAGGGGGCCTAAGAAACCTCAAAAAGAGCCTTAGGAAGGGAGAGACTGCATATACCAACTGTAAAAATAAATAAATAAATGATGTTTTATTCTTCCCCGCAAGGGCCCGTGCCGGCTACCCCCGTACATGGCGTGAACGGTACTGCCTCGGCTTTCAGAAAGCCTCAAGGGCAAACGGGCGCACGTCCTGCCGGGGTCGGGCAGGCAGCATTTCTGGCCAAAGCAGCGCCTCAGCTCTGAAAGTTCCGGCGCCATTTCTCCACAGAACTGGGCGAGAGACACGAGACGCAGAGCTCGGCTTTATGAAGGATCTATGTGAGAATATGAGGGGGAAGGGAGCCTATGGGCGCAGGCGGAGGAGGCGGCGGCTACAGGCTTGAGCGAAGGGGCTGCCGGCGCCTCGGCCTCACTGCCTAACTTAGGAGCTCAACCTCCCTCCTTCTCCTCCTCCTCCTCCTCCCCTCAGGGCGCCCATAGCTCGCCGGCTTCTCCCGCTCCCATGGCAACCGCGCCCGGCTTGTGTTGTCGTCGGCTCTGGTACCGTCTCGGTGGAAGCTGCGCCCGGCACCTGCCCCTGAGGCTTGAGCTCCGCAGAGCCCGGAGGGGCGTCGTGAGGCGCCATGTCGTCCACAGCCAGGCCCGAGGCTTCTCCGAGCCTCCAAGTCCCTTCCTTCGCCGAGATGGGGAGGTCGCCTTCCTCGTCCTCCAGGCAACTGCGCCCTTCGGAAAGCCAGTTCAGCGGCAGCCTCGGGCAGCAGGTGAGTGAAGGGAGAGCAACCGGGAGGCCGAAGCCCAGCAGCCGGCGCCGTCTTCCCCGCGAAAGTCCCTCACGGAAGCCGGGGGCTCCGCCGGTGAGCTCGGCCTCCTCCTGCCTCGGAGAGTCATGGATGGAGGGGATTCCGAGGCTCCTCCCCTCTCAGAACCCAGGACATTTTTTTATTATTATTTTTTAATGGCTACACCCTCGACGTTCATGCGCTTTAAAATCTAAAAGGGCGGGCTTACAGGCTGAAGGGACGACGTCAAGGGCTCTGCCCCTAGGGGCTTGCAATCTAGAATGCGACATCCCAGGGTGTAGGCGGGGCGGAATCGAAGCCGGGGAAGATTACTGTATGCATATATTTTTATTTACTTGCTCAGTGAAGAAGGGCATCTCCTCCAAGCAGCCAGTTAGCTTCAAGCCACGGATGGTAAAAAACGGCACTTTCAATTTGGGTTTGGAAGTTGGAACAGATCAGGAACCAATGCAATTGATGGAACACTTATTTATTTTAGGAATTTCCTCCCTCCCCACACCCACTGGCTTTAACTTGTTCTCCTGTTCAGCCTTGTTTGCTCCACCCTCCACTGTCTCTTCTGTATCACCCTTTAGTGCTGTTTCCTTCCCGGTACATGTAGCTTCCCTTGCTCCTGCCAAGAGTGTCATAGAATTGTACACTTGGAAGGAACCCCAAGGGCCATCTAGTCCAACCCCCTCATGCCTGAAACCGGGCTCTTGATTTATTTGGGAGAGGAATGAGGCCAGTGTGAACTGTGAAGCATTTGGAAATTTGCACTATTAATATTTTGAGCAACCAGGCTTTTATGAATATCTATTAAATTGTCATTCATATGCCTGTTTGGATTAGTATGACCTTCATCAGCAGGAACATGCTTCAGATTGATGCAAATGACAAAGAGTGTTCATAAATAGTGATGTACCAGAAAGACATTAAAATGTTCCCCCTCCCCCCATTATTAGGCTATGAATCACCTTCAGGGATAGGAATTCAGTGTTCCTAAGGCAAAGGGGCTGACTAACCAAGGCCTCACTGCCATATATCCTAGCACCAGGGTAAGGCGCTAGTAAGAATGGCATTAAATAAGATACGTGACTGAGATGTATTTGCTGCACTTGTTTGTTGAAATATGTTAAAATCGAAATTCTTCATTGAAAAATTCTGGGTGTCTGCTTAATTGTATATATGACTTTTCAACCTATTAAAATTTGGCTCAGCTGCTATAAGCATTTTTCATAAGTAGGAAGGATTTAACTGATGTTTGTACTCCAAAGCATTAGAGACTTGGATCGCTCAGTTAGTAGAGCATGGGACTCTTAATCTCAGGGTTGTGGGTTCGAGCCCCACATTGGACAAAATATTCCTGCCCCACCCACCTACCATTGCAAATCCTATTTAGTCCCCATACTTCTGACATTTTCACCAACACATTTATTGTAATGTTCTTTGTTTAACGATGAGCAGGTCAAAGAATTTGAACAATAATTAGAACTATGTACCCCTGGAGGTTTCGTCTCCTTTAGATACTTTCTAGCCCTGCCTCCTGCTTGGGCCTCACCTCCTAAACTAGATATTGGAAGGACCCTTAAAGGTATTTATCCATACATTTACATTAGAAAGCCAGAGATGCTGCCTAAGGATGCTGAATTTTGCACCCAGGGCTAATTCATTGATTACATTGTACAGGGTGATTCATAATGAAGTATACAGTTTCAACGCACTATAAAAAAGAAGAATGTAATATATCTTATGTTACCTGTAACAGAATTGTAGGGGAATGTTTAAAGCTTTTTTAGAAACAGTCACAGGTGTTCTATGTGTGCACCCTTTGTCACACGACACATTAAATTAAATACACATCAAACCGGTAATCCATTTCTGCCCAAATGTGATTCACCCTACAGGTTGATTTTCCCGGGCTTCGTTGAATGGCGGTGCAAACACTATCAATGACTTCTTCCAATACACACAGTTGTCCAGGACTTCTGAGTTTGCACAAGCAGCCTGTAATTTCAATTTTTTAATGCAAATCGTAGATACATTTTCTGCTTGGAGGCTTTTTTCCGAATCATGATTGAAAATGCCGTCGCACAACAGTTACAGATTCCATTTTGCTCAATTCAAGAACACAAAATGCCTTCTCCACTGCAGATGCAGCCATTTCGCATGACTAGTCATGTGACATGCACACTATCGCCTACACCACTTCCCTCAGCAGCGGAACACAAACTTTATGAGTACTTCTACCTCATGGTTCACAGTTGTGGACCTGTTACTCTCTTACAGCATCTGGAAACTGTATATTTCATTATGAATCACCCTGTATTTGTACAGAATTGTGAAATATATAAAACCATAGCGGGAAGTGAAAGAACAACTAGGAGGTGAGAAGATTGAAAATGGAATGAGACATGTGCCATATGCTTAGCAATTATTAATCATTTAAATATTGATTAAATGAATCTTTTTAGGATAACAACTTGAAATCCATGGATCTTAATCATGTTGTCAAACTGCTTGAAGAAACAGAATTAGTAAGTATGACCAAAGCATTAAATAAATTCTACATTTGAAATAAGCTTACTTGGAATTCCATTTGTTTCAAAATAACTTGAAAGTGCTTAACTTTGGCTGGACTATTCTCTTCCCATTAATTGTGCTTAAAATTGTATAGACCTTGATCCATGCCTTCATTATTTATTTTAGGTTAACTGCATAGTGTCTAGGTGACATATAATAAGGTTCCTAAAAAAAAGTAAATATGAAATCTAAGTTACTTACTTAAAATGCCTGCTGGAATGTAAGTGCTGGATGTTTAACAGAATGGGGTCCTGTATGATTTCACAGAATTGGGCCACCAGTACTGAACACATGACTCCTGGTGGTTCTGTGCTGTGTAGCGTAGAATGTTTGTGCAAAACACTTTAAGCACTGATCACACTCATTTACTGCTCTTTCTCATCCTGTTTTCTAAGAGTAATTTGGAAGATCAGCTTGAAGCACTGAAGAAGGTTGCAAAACGCTATGAATATGGGCTTGTATCTTTTTTGCTGCTTTGTTGGAATAAAAAAGGAAGACAAAAGAATGAAGAAGAAAACACAAAATAATTTTTGTTCCGGTTAAGTTAATTTATATATTTCTTCATGTCAGATAGATGAGCACTTGATTTTACTGCTCTAATAGAAGATTGCATCTCTGTTGCGTACTTTGTGCAGCAAGTGCAAATAAGTCAGGAATAACTGCAGCAGTTTATTTTTTAATATAGTCTATACAGTGGTACCTCTGGTTACCAACTTAATTCGTTCTGGAGGTCCATTCTTAACCTGAAATCGTTCTTAACCTGAGGTACCACTTTAGCTAATGGAGCCTCCCACGGCCGCCGCGCAATTTCTCTTCTCACCTGAGGTAAAGTTCTTAACCCGAGGTACTACTTCCGGGTTAGTGGAGTCTGTAACCCGAAGTGTTTGTAACCCAAGGTGTTTGTAACCCGAGGTACCACTGTATTCCATTTGTTTTTTTTTATAAAATGTTATTACGTGCCATGTATCTTGGAAGACAGAATAAGTTAAAATCTAGATCAATAATTACTTTCTACAATTTATGACAAAATAATACACAAACAGGCCACTTATATTGATATCAAGAACGTTGGTATAAGTAGGCTGCTATACCTGAATGTGGGATAATATGAATTATGATGTGGATGCAATGGCTTCTGCTGGGCTAGTGCCAAATATGCTGGAATTACTAAACAGGAAAAGATTGGCAAGCAATAGGTAATAATGATTTTATTGCTCTTTCAAGCTAAGCCATTTTGTCACATGATCTGAGAAGGATACTTTACACATAATATTGGGAAGGATATTTTGCAGTGTTGCAAAGAATGCAACTATCAGATCCCACCATTCTCTGCAAAAGATCATACACTTCTTCATTAATGCCCCTAAAGTCTTGTTGCTCTAAACCTTTGTTTGGGTCACTTGTACAGCTGACATAATGAATAATTTACAGATAGATCTGTATAGTCAATGTTATATAGAAGAAGATAATCTCATTTTCATGCTTCCATAATGTACACTATTCAAAGCAAATAAAAACGTACTTTTGTTACCTGAAATAAATACCTGTCAGATCATAAAAGTTAGGTATCTAACTTTACATTCCTGTGATTTCTCTGGGATTTGTAACCCAGAGCCCCACTTGAGTCTAGTCTCCTCATAGCAACAGGAAACCCTGTCGCAGACAGAGACCGCACATGTGTATATAGTTTGGGTGTAAAGAATTTTTTTTTAGGATGGGGTGCCTCATCAGTTAATCTAATTAAGTTTCTAGAAACAGTTTATTCATTTAGAAAGCTGCTCTTAGAACTGTGGAAAATTTAGCTCTGCAGGACTTATGTATCCTCTTCACTGTTAGAAATCTGGCATACTACCTCCTTAAACTTGTATCTAATTTAACAGCTGACATTTGAAGACTTACTTATTCATTTTATTATTTAAAGAGGTTATTATACATAATTTTCCAATTTTCCTTGATTCCTGATAATTACAAGATTCTTAATGATTTAACACAAATATCTAAAATTTTAAATCTATGTGCTGAAAGAATTCCACACCACAACGTTTTCCTAGAACCAACATGTGAAATTCTTAAATTATATGGGTATGTATTTCATTCTTTATTTTAATACAGGTTTTTATTTACATGTTTCTACTGGCATTAACAGGTGTTCTTCTGTTCATTTGCCATCTCTGTTCTCTTTTATGTACCAATTTTTCCAAGTCTTGTTTCTATTGTCACACACATTCTGGGAAAGAAGCTACAATTGCAGCACTAGGAATACATTACATTTATACCTTAAATACAGGGAAACCAGTTTCTGACAGGTCTCCTGTTGCCCACAGGTCATCCTATTGTACAGGGATCATTATCACCAAGAGATGGTACCATTAAGTGTGTTTTACTGTTGGGAAATAACCCTTGGTGATTTTAATATATGTAAGAGATGTAAACATGTGTTTTAAGAGCTATCCTGCACAGAACTAGAAACAAATTTGAGTCACACTAGCCTCAAGCTTCTAGGAACCTGGTTGGCCAGACAATTCAGGTTAAGTAACCTTACTTAACACATTTACAACTGGTTTGCATATAATGTTAAACCATGGTTTAGCATTAGCAAGCAGCATGCTGGGTGTATGCTACTCATTAGTACCCATTTTGCTCCTCTCCAGCTCCTGTCTTTACCCCACCAGGAGGAAACACACCAGAGACTGACTTAGTGTTATGTGCAAACCAGCACTCAAGATAGAAATATTACAAAGTTGGACCTTGAGGAGATTCACAAAGCCAGTGGCCTTTTATGAAGAGCTATTATTGAAGTCAATTACAGTACAACCTTATGCATTTTTACTTAGAAGTAGATTCCATTATGTTAATAGGGCTTTATTTGCAGCCTATATCACTTATGAACAATCCAACCACTTTAAACAATCAGACACATTGCTTTTTTCATTATTGTGAGTATTCTGGAGCATGACTGGATCATCTTTACAATAAAGATTATTATTGTGTGAATATTCTAGAACGTAAGCATAATACTTGGAATGGAAATAAGTGTAGCGTCAAGTACGATTAAATTCCTCTTTCATCATGCCTGAGCATGTGATTTGTATTATACTAGATTATTTACTTAAATCATTTTTACCCTGCTCTTTAGCCAGAAATGCTCACAAAACAGCTGACATATAATCAGTAACAAACAAGACAGTCCCTGCCCACAGTTCTACAAACTGAAATGCATAGCATAAAAGGGGAAAGATGGGAATGGGAGAGGAACAAATAAACTCAGACACCAGTATTGAAGTTACAAAGTTATTATAATGACCAGCTTAAATAGAAAAAATTCATGAAGAGGAGGAGCCAAAAGGAGCTGGTCTCTCTGAAGAATGGAAGGCCCTTCTTCATATCTGTCCTACTGTTATAGCCAGTGAGACCAGCTAACGGCTGCGGAGGGGAGGAGACGAATGCAGCCGGTCTGCTGTGGTGGGCCCTGCTACCTCCTGCTCCATTTCTGCAGCCAGATATTAGTATAATGGCTTCCTCTTGCAGTTTATAGTTTTACTTTTGGATTTTTGTTTTATATCAGCTAGTAACACAAGTATTTTCCTATAATTGCTATAAATATTAAAATAAGATCAGAATAACTATAAATGACAAGCTGATCCTGGGTAAAAACACATTTTGTTCACTTACTCTTCTTATGAAAATTGTTGGTGTACAGAACACATATCAATATCATGAAGAGGAATCACCTTTAGTTTTCCATGGTAATTCAATACTATTGTAATAACTGTCTTTGCAGGTTACCATTTTACAAAAAGAAGTTATCTGATGAAGTAAACTACACCAAAGAAGTTCAAGAATCAATTGCAAATTTGGGTAATTTTAGATTGTACACACACAGACACACCTTTTTAGACATGTCTATGTGGGCCAGAAGTTACCTGATACTCTGTAAGAATGCTTGTGCTATATAGGTTATTCCAAACCTAAGAACCATGAAGAATTTAAACAGCATAAGTTTTATCAGTTACATATTTCCACCATCCTGTAGTTGTAATCTTAAATTTACTTGGTAGTGGAATTTGCATCTGTTTAGGGTTGTTACCTATGTGTTTCCATCAAATTATGTTTGTTTATCTCTTCCAATACAGTCTGCTTAAGCACATAAAGCATTGCCTTGGCTTGTAGGTCAAACTTCAATACATATCTTTTGTATAATATGAAAGATATTTTATCTGGTTTTCTTATATTATTCTCATGTATTTCACACAAATTTATCTCTCTCTCTTTACTGCAGTGTGGGGTGCTGATTTTTGGTACATGAATTACTTAATGTAGACTTTGGTGTAGGAGGGCTAGGAAAGTAGAGAAACAAAATTTAAAAAAAACACGTTTTGAGCAAACCAGATAAACAAAACTATAAACATATACATATATTTTAAAGCCATTATTAAATATTATTAGTAACCAGTTTTTCTTGCTAGATTATATAAAAGGGATCCTGTTTACCTCAAAATTGGCTTCCTTAGTTTTTTTAATATAATTTAGCCATGAGGCAAAATCCCATGTTTTATCTATCTATTCTTTAATAGACTTTGTCATAAATAATTTCAGTTTTCCTGCATATAACATTTTAGAGGTTGTTACTATTAATGAGACTAGTTCTTTGTGCTCCTGTCTCACTGAATCATTCATGTATTTCACTAAAAGCTGGGTCTAATGGGTTCTCATATCCTAAGACTCTTATTAATTGACTGTTGGTTGTTTTCCAGAACCTTGCATTCCCACTACACAATTATCACATTCTCTCCATTTCCCCAGGTTACTTAATGAGAGTGCCATGTTCTCAAGTAAGGATACAGATATGTAAGTGTGTAATTAGCTTTTACCACACTGAACCACCAAAGAAAGAGTATGAAGGTATTCTTTTTATTTTTATATATTTGTATTAACTGCTTAATGATATGTACAGTGCAATCATATGAGTGCTTAATTATAAGTAAGTTCTATTCTATTGAATAGGGCTTCTACGTAAGGGTGCACAGAATTACAGCTTAACAGTGCTATCCTAAGTATAGGAAGCCAGCAAGCCTACACTGGCTTAAACTAGCATAAGTTACTTCTATTCCAAACTGTCTTCAGGAGTGGGACTACTGTCTGTTGAGCCTGGGAGGAGAAAAACAAGCCTTGATAAAGAGTTTGACTTAACATCACCCTTTTTGCCAGTGTAAGTTCTTCTGAGTTGCGTGGTCACATGACTAAGTTGAAGGAGGTTTGGAATAGGTATAAGTCTGTGCTTGCCCTGTCAGAACCCCAGACCGTCCGTGGAACCTCTGCCAACTTAAGTTTCAGCAGTTGAGCCAGCAGAGCCTTGGTTGATCCAAGATGATGGCATTATAGTGGCTGAGCCCAAAAAGCCTGAAAAACTCACTCATCACGGCAGATCTTGGGTTTGGATTGGTATGATAGTCATTTAATTTATCATAGGCCTAGATCAGACAGACAAAAGCAAAAGCATGGTGGAAGAGTTGCACCTAACTTGTTTTAAGGCACACAGGTTCTCCACTATGATATCTATACATACATAGTGCTGAATCATATCATTCCTCTCCCCCCTTTTAAGGGAGCCACTATTCCTTCAGTAGCTTATGTGGAATACCCTTGCACACATTATGAGTGTGATAAAGGGAGATGCATGTGAAAACATGATCGTCCTGGGCAAAGGTCTAAATTGGCCATATATGCTCTTAGCATATAGCATTATTGCATATAGTAAACGTAAAATGTTTCCAGTATTAGGATTAAGTTTGTTACACCTCTATTCCATTGGCTAATTAAATGCAGCTCCTCTCTAAACTGATGTGTCTTTTCAAGGGTGGATAGATTCACATTGTTTCATTTTAAATGTATCTATTTCCTGATCAAGCATGCATTCCAGCTGGATGCTGTGTTTGGTTGGTAGATTCATAATATTTTCAAGCTTATTCATATGGTCTCAGTGGGGGATACAGCTGAGATACAGGATTGCATCTCCTGATTCTAGCACCTGCTTAGACTGGAAGCAACTTCAGCAGTTAGATACCCCCCACCCCAGGTTTGCTCTTATTCATTATGAGATTAGTGTACAGTATAGGCTTTATTAGGGACACGGGTGGCGCTGTGGGTTAAACCACAGAGCCTAGGACTTGCCGATCAGAACGTCAGCGGTTTGAATCCCCACGACGGGGTGAGCTCCTGTTGCTCGGTCCCTGCTCCTGCTCCTCCTTACCTCCTGCGGGAAGGTAAACGGCGTTTCTGTGCGCTGCTCTGGTTCACCAGAAGCGGCTTAGTCATACTGGCCACATGACCCAGAAGCTGTACACCGGCTCCCTCGGCCAATAAAGCGAGATGAGCGCCGCAACCCCAGAGTCAGCCACGACTGGACCTAATGGTCAGGGGTCCCTTTACCTTTACCTATAGGCTTTGTATTAATTTGTATTAATTTTAGGTTTTACTTATGCAGAGACACTTCTTCATTTTGACAACTTCCCAACCATGGTCAAGATAGTTGTAAATTACTGTTGTGTTTCCATGTTCCCTCCTATTCCAATAGCATTTAATTAAGTGAGGCATCAGTCACAGGATTCTGGCCAGATTTAGCATAATAATATGTTTGGAAAATTATTTAGTTATTAGGAGTAGGGCATTTCTGAATCTTTCCATAACAAAATATTACATGTCCGCATTGTCCTTTGCTTTACATCAATAAGATTTGCATCTTTAAACTATTGTTTCTCCAGCTTACCAACCTGTAAGTGCAAACTATAAAAGGCAGATGGTGGAAGCAGGAGGTTTAGCAGAAACTTTAGTCCTGGCGCTGACATTAGTTGCAAATCAACTTCAAGAGAAATTATGGATAATTAAAACACTGCAACATCTTTCTATTTCTGGTTAGTGTAATTTATCTATTTAAAATATAATCTTTTCTTATTTTGCTTTTCTATTTCATAAAACATTAGCAATATGACGAACCTAAGTATTGATCCTTTTCCATTTCAGAGACAAATTGTAAACTTATGATGAAAGCTGAAGCCCCAAGAAGATTATGTTCTCATCTTAATGATGCTGACCCTTCTGGACAGCTGCTATTCCGTTCCTCAGAAATCCTCTGGAATTTATTAGAAAAAACCTCTAAGGAAGAAATTATTGAGCAGCTCAGTAATTTGGAATGTGTAAAGTTAAGTGCACTCACATAGCATATATCATCTCAGCTACTATTCTAATAATTAGTTCATAAATTGTAAAGTATGTATGATTTTTAGCTTGTATTTCACATATGCTTTAAAAAGAAAGAAGGAACATATTTTCACTAATACCTAGTATGGATAATCTTCCAAAGTGATAATAAATAGGTGAGTGTTGTCGTCCCCATCATCATAATAAAACACCATGTGTATTGTAGACTTGTATGTGACTATGTTGCAATTCATAGTCAACGTAGGGAATTTGCTGCTACAAAATATGATGATGGCCAGTGAATTTAGTGGCTGTAAGAATGGATTGGTTGAATTCATGTGTCTGTTAGTGCTTAATTGCAAAATGGGAGCTAGTATGTCTTTGAATATCAGCTGCTGGGCCTCAGTGCCTGAATAGAACTGTTCTTCCACATGCTCTTTCACTAGGCTTCCTAGAAACATCTAGCTGACCATTGTGAAACAGGTTGTTGGACTAGACTAGATAATTCTTCAGTATTATCTAGCAGGGTTTTTCTTTTCATAGAATTGTCGAGTTGGAAGGGACCCTGAGAGTCATCTAGTCCAACCTCCTGCAATGCAGGAATCTCAACTAAAGCATCCATGACAGATGGCTATCCAATCTCTGCTTAAAAACCTGCAATGAGCATCTTTTGTACACTTAATTTTTATCAACAGTCCCATCTTACTGCACACTGAGCAAAAATCTGATCCTCTATTTTGCAGTTAATTTAAGAGTTTGGTAATGTAATACGTACTTCAAAATAATTTAAATATTAAGTGTAAATTAAAAGTGAAGGAAAAGCGTGTTTGGAATTTCAGATTTTGATGAGAAGTATATATTTGATTATATATATATATATATTATTAGAGATAGAGTGCCTAAATTAAAATACAGAATATCATCTTTTTATCAGTGCTCTGAAGGAAGCATTTACAAACTTGCTTATACATGGTTCCCGCCATTATGATCGTCAGCTAAGAAATGACATTTTGGTGATCGCCACCCTTGTGGCTCAGAACCCAGGAGCACCAATGATTGTATGTATCCTTTACACAATTTTGAGTTTTATAGGCCCATTTTTTGCTGGTATTTTGAAAACACTTTTAAAGGAAATGATTGTATTATTGTGGTCTGCTAGTGCGTTGGTGTCAGCATGTCAAATATAGAAACAAATCCCCTTCCTTGAAATGTACTGCATTACTCGGTTGTCTTGCAAAAAGATGTTTCTTAGGATTTTGTCGTTGCCAATGTTCTCTGGGGTGTTTCTTAACATGCCTTGTGGGTTGCTTAGTTATTTCAGGGCTCCTGGGGATATGTCTTTCTCTTCTTCAGTCTTCTGCTTTCTTTGTTAATTGGTCTCTGTCCATAAGGTTGTCTGTAGGAACATAGTCTCTGTTTCTTAAGCGTTCCACAGGTTCCAGGAAATGTAAGATATGTCTTGGGAGTGGAGCCATTTCTCATCTCCTAATCTCATAAGATTTTAAGTCCTATCTTCTGACATAGGATCTTGGTACTTAACCATTTTCAACTGCCTTTCTATTACTTGGGCAGTTCATAACAAGTCTAGTTATTTGTGAAAAGCTATGCTAAAGCCCCTACCCCATTTAGTATTTTCTAGTAAAGCTAAAAGTAGTCTACCATTTGTTATTTTTATTATTTGTGTGCCCTACTTACATGAATGTAGTAACACTTACACTGTTCTCCCCCCCCCCCCCCCTGTAACTTGTGTGTATTTTTTAGGAAACAGGGTTTGCCAAGCTGTTAATATTATTTGCCACTTTTGTTGAAGGTAAGCAGTATAACTTTTTAGTAACTGATACTTCAGTTTATCAGTAAACAGTTAATTATTTTACCAAGAATATTTTTGTTTAATTCACAGTAAAAAGTCACAATCCTTTGGTAAAGAACCTCAGGCTGACTTACTGTTATGAAGATTTTGAGTTGAAAAAGTTACTGCTTAACATGCTTACTGTACTAGCAAAAGATTTATGTATTGTACAGGTAAGATATATGTGATTATTTAGTCATTAATAATTTTAATTATCTGTGCTTACACAGGTTTTTTTTTTACAATCCAGTGGTATATACATTTTATGAAATACATAAATATCATACACCAGCTTGTAGCTTGAAGCTTACTACTGTTTTCTCACTACAATAGAATTTTTATTTGAAATATGCTGTGAGTCTAGCCTATACTAAGAAGAATGTGCACAAGCAATTCTGAAAGTACTGTGGCAATATATGAATCAGACTTATTTCAGAAACCGAGTGGAGGGTTTTCTGACTTAATTTTTAGATTGCTTTTTAAATGGAACACATTCTTGCCAGGCACTTGCTATGACATAACAATAGGATGACCATTGGTCTTACCAGTGGCACCTCAGAACAGAAACATTAAATACAAGTTCTATAAAAAGTGGAACATTTTGCTTCACTTCTATAGATTTATTTTTTACTTTTTCAGTGACATTTTATATTATATCTCCTTCCTTTGTTTAGCTGCTACAAGAGGGTAAAGTTATATTGGCCTTGTTTCATTATTTAAAACCAAATGAAAAGCCAGGAATGGTTGACATGTCTGCTGCCCAGTATGAAGAGTTACAGCTTCTTGCAATTGCAACCTTAGCTACAATGGCTCCCTTGTTGGTAGATGACTACATGATGTGCCAAGGAAACACTCGCCTTCTCATGTTTCTCGAATGGTGCATGGGCAACGGTGAGTAGGTGGGATAGAACTACTGTACTTAAATCATATCACTGATTATGCTTAATGCCTATACTTAGAGGAGCAAGAAGTTTAGAGAATCCATTTCTTAATTTCACATCTGAAAGCATTGTAAATCCTCACTATTCTATAGGTGAGGAATTGTTTTCAGGATTGCCAAGGACATGGTGACCATGAAGCTCAGTACCAATTAGATGAGGAGTGGGGAAGCTTTTTGATTCCATGAGTCAGATCCATATTGGAATCAGCCTCATGGAACAAATTTGACAGGTGGGCACAGCTGCCCACCTGCAAATCATCTGATGTCACAATGCCATCAGGTGCAAGGTGCTCTGAGGTCTCAGATTTGTAACATCAAGGCATCTTGCAAAGTGTAGCTTTCTCAGTTATTACATAATGCTGGCCTTGTACATGGCATGATGCTTTATAGTCTGTGCAAGATATATTCAGGAGTCATGCTTGTGTCTTTTGGAAACAGTGCAAGATGTATTTGTTCAAGCTAGAATCTTATTATTATACTTAAGCAAAGCCTTTAAACATATTTTTATCTTATATTTTAATTTATTTTCAGTGTTGTGTCTACCACTGGTGCTGAATTACAGTCAACGACCATTTCATGCAGGGTTCCATTCCCAGCCTCCGCTCCACCCTCATGCTGCCTTTTTTGGGACTTTTTTGTCATTTCCAGGTTTGGCACTGTGTGCACATGCGAAATCATACATCTTTCAGATGCATGTTAATCGGTCGTTGCCTGTATTCAGTCACAGAAAACTGAAAATCAATAGCCTTGAACAAATAAATTACAGATTTGACTGTTGCATTGAACCTCAGTTGCATGAACACTGCAGCACTGGGCAGGCTTTAAAACAAGCACAGCTTTTAAAAATGTAATTTTATTTGAATATTTCTCACTCTATTATCAAACACCAGAGGGAGACTTGACACGCCAGGGATCAAGATTAAACCTTATCACAGTTGTAGGAACTGTAGCAAATCAGCTTACAAGTATATACTCAACATGGGTATGAAAGAAACAGGAAACAGTTTGGACTAGTATACTTAGATTCTTTATTATGTGAGGGAAAGTGCAGGCATTGCCTTATGCCCTCTGTCACTATGCAGTTGAATTGGGACTCATGTGTAGTACATTCCTTTCTCTCAGTACTGTATTTCTTTTCCCCGCACAATTAACACCAGGGAGCCATGATAATGCCTTTCAGTAAATCTATGATGATCAACCATGAAATGTCTTATGTTGCAGCCACTGGTTGGTTATGTATGTTATGATAACAAAGTACCATGTTAAAGTCTGCAATATTCTTCAAATCATATTTACAAGACCTTGCCATAGCCTAAACACACTGTATTGCAAAAGAAGATGTTTTGTTTTCGTTTGTTTGCAGATCCTTTCTTTGCTCAAGGTAACAGCTTCCATGGTACTGGCGGTCGTGGCACCAAGCTTGCACAGATGCGCTACACCTTGAAAGTACTGAATCCTGTTGTGTCCCTTTGTGATGATGCTGTGAATGTTGATCTTTGTGATCAGGGAGCAATTAATCAACTGTTAGGTGAGGTATATATTAAATAGTCTTGGCTACCGTTGCCTGAATTGATGAACTTCTCCAGCTTTCATTTCTACTCTCTTTTGAAACTTTACTTTTTAATCTCTAATAACCAATCTTCCTTACCCCCACCCTTTCTATACATTATGCTGAATTGCACTGCCCATAGGATTCACATATTGGCTCCATGTCCTGAATAGCAATGCAGATTCATAGCATGAAAATCCGAGCATGTTTTCTTGAGCAGACATTTCATCTGTGTTCTTTCTGTTTTCACTTTAAGAGCACAACCCTGCTGATTGAATTTACATGAAAGGAAAGATCAAATCAATATATTGGATTCAGTACACAGTAATACACTGGGATGCCAATTTAAAATATATATCAAGAACTATAGCTATCCAAATAATTTGTGTGTGTAACAGGGCTTTTAACCTTTCCTTTCTAAATTATTTCCCTCATACACATTGTGGCAAATAATTTTTGAAATTCATGAAAAAGTCAAAAGCAGTTTGTAATTCATTTTAGTAGTAGTGGGCTACTGTTTAAAAAACAACAACACACGAACAATACCATTACACACAAGCCCCTAACGGTACCTAAAGTAACTCTGCGTATTTTGGCCAAACTATGTGAAACATTTTTTCTGGAGGAGTAAATTTGATATTATACATTTATTTATTCTGCTAGGTATCTTAAAGAATACCACAAAGAATTATCCAGAAAGTGCCATTGTGGTAGAAATTCAGACTGATATTTTACTTCTCTTGTCAACTCTTTGTGAAAATAACCTTCATAGAAAGGTTAGTATTTTCTCATTGTTTTTAAAATCTTGGAATCTAATATCGGAATCTAATATTATCATGTATAAGCAAAAGAAGTTAAGTATTTATGGTTTCTGTCTATAGGTCATGTGCTCTTAGCTCCTACTTGTTTAAATCTTAAAATGTTAATTCTCACAAGTAGTTAACCTTCCCTAGCAGTTTGGCGTGGAAGGGACTTTGAAAACCAGTTGCTTGTATGATAACACTGGAAGACCCAAAGGCTTAGCCAACAGCATGGATACATCTTATTCCATTTGGCAATAATTAATCTTGCTGGAACCCTCTGTTCCCTAAGAGGGTAAAAAAAGTGATAAGCCTCTTCAGTCTTCCATTCCTCTGTAGTGTCAGGATGCTTGAGTGAGGATTCTAAACTGGTGGAAGTAGGCTGCTTTTCATATGATAACAGATGGCTTGCCTCTGGGTCTCTCCATCACAGAAAACTACAGAGAATGAATGTAATGGTTATAATAATTATTAAGTGTAGTGTAAATTATTATGAATGTGTACAGTTTTTCTAGATTAAAATGGCTTTGATATATATCAAACAGGAACTCTTTGGATGGGAAGGAGTTGATACACTTATTCCTTTTATGAAGATGGATTCAAAGAAATTCTATAGTGGATTGGGTCATAATCGTCTGCTTTTTACTGCTCTGGACTGCTTATGGTATGTTCAGCTATTTTTACTGTGACCTTCTGTAAAGAGGATTTTCAGCATCACAAATAAATGCACAGTGCCACAAGATTATGTCTCCTTTCTAACTGCACACTTTACATTCTCTGAATATCTTTGGTTTCTATGAGTTGAAGTGCTAATGAATTGGCAATGACTACTACATTTATATGCATTTTGTTAATTTATTGGATTATTTTTGATTATCAGTCAAGAGTATACTGAAAATGTAAAAAATATATATTCAAGTAAGTTGTATATAAAGGAAGAAATATACTTGAAAATAAAACCGCATAGTACCCCATTGAGGCTGCCTTCAAAATGTAGCAGTAAATTTCTGTGTACTTTTTCATCCATTACATTTGGGGTTGAGGCCCAGTATTTGTACAGTGTGGCAACTGCTTTGGTCACCCTATATGATGACCTCTGTTGGGAGAGAGATGCATGAGTGTGACCCTGTTAATTCTGCCTAAGCTTTCAGCAGCTTTCGGTACCATCAACCATGGGACCACCTTTCCCATATGAACTTATATGGACGCTGCATTCATCAACTGAGTCTTTCTGAGGGAGGTGTGGAAGGTGGCAACATGAGAATGGATCTTTTCAGTGGTGGCTGGATGCTCTGGATGCTCCAGAGAGATACACATGGCACCATCATTACCCATTTTTAAGTGCCAGACAAAGATGTTTCTGTTTGCCCTAACATTTGGGTCTTAAATGGGGTTATAGGGTATGATTAAACTATGCCCAAGCCTGCATTTGGTGTTGATCTTTAATAAGGTGGGGTAGGAGTTGTCCTTTTTATATTACCACAATATGAACAATTTTGATCAAAGTTTTTTCATCTGTTTTGAAATTTGTATCATATATCCTTTTATAAATGAAAATCATTTGAGACATTCATTACATTCAAATTAATATAATAAAATAGAAGCATCCAAATTTGATATTTTCTCATTTTCAATGTGTTAGTGTAAATCCCATGTGTGTTCTGAGAGTAAGCAAAAGAGATTAAATGAACTGAAATTATTTTCATTTCAGGTGCTGTGTCATGGGCTGTACTATTTTAGAGGATTATTTTATTGAAAGAGAAGGCCTCTTCACTCTCCTGGATTTGCTTGTTGTGAGTACTATTTATTGGAAAACCACCTGTAGTAAAATATTAAATACACATTGTGTAATTGACTCTTGCTGAGGTGTCAGGTTTCAGCTATATGTCCATTGTTGTGCTCCCTCTCAGACTATACTTGATGTGCGTCTGTGATGCTCAAGCAACCACAATCTACACTGCTTTACTAAAGACTCGAAACACACAGACAATTTTTCCATGTGCCAAGTATGACTCTTTGCTCTGAAAATGTGTTATTCCCACAACAGAGGTGGTGCCTTGCAGTCAGTAGTTACAGATGGAAAATGGGTGCAGTTTTATTTACAAAGAAGCAAAGCGTGAAGAAAGTCTTCACTGTACATGCACAGCAACTAGGAGGTACTGCCTCAGGAAACAGACCTTCTTAGGGAATTGTTGGCATCCATCTGTCTTGGAAATGACGAATTGCACAACATTAGGGTCTGTTCATACTCTGCACCAAAATAATGCAAATTATGGAAACAGTAAATCTGCTCGAAGAAATACATGCTCTGAAGTGAAGTAAATCAGTAGAACTTCAGATACTCATATTTTGCACAAGCGTTTTCAATTTGCGTACTTTATTCTGAAACACTTACCGTATTTTTCGCCCTATAGGGCGCACCGGCCCATAGGACGCACCTAGTTTTCAGGCGTGGAAATCAAGGAAAAAATATGACACCCCCCCCCCCCCAGCTCTGGGAGCAGCGGACAGGCTGCACGCAGCCTGTGCGCTACTCCAAGACCTTCTTCCCGCTTTTGCGGGAGGTGGCGGAATTCCCCCACCTCCCGCAAAAGCCCACAGGAGCCGCGCACGACTCCTGCGGGCTTTTCGACCAGGAGGGAGAAGGGACTGAAACGGCCAGTCAGTCCCTTCTCCCTCCTCGGGGAAAAGCCCCCAAGAGCGGCACGCTCTTTAAAGGGTGCGCGGCTCCTGCGGGCTTTTCTACAAGGTGGGGGAATTCCCCCACCTCGTAGAAAAGCCAGCAGAAGCCGCGCAGCCCCTTTAAAGAGCACGCGGCTTTTGCCTGCTTTTGCGGGAGGTGGGGGAATTCCCCCATCTCCCGCAAAAGCCCACAGGAGGGAGAAGGGATGGACTCGGCCAGTCAGTCCCTTCTCCCTCCTTGGGGAAAAGCCCCCAAGAGCGTTGCACTCTTTAAAGGCTGTGCGGCTCCTGCGGGCTTTTCTATGAGGTGGGGGAATTCCCCCACCGCCAGCCTCAAAGAGCAGACTCTTCTGGCTTCAGTGAAAGCAACGCAAAGCCTCCGGAGCGCAGGCTTCCTAGGCTTCACGTTGCTATTGCTGAAGCCAAGGAGCCTGCATTCGCCCCATAGGATGCACACACATTTCCCCTTCATTTTTGGAGGGCAAAAAATGTGTCATATAGGGCAAAAAATACAGTACTTAGGTTTGGAAAACATGGTTTTTCGGGGAAAGGAGTGTGTTGGAATTAGGTAAAAGAGATACAAATCAAGGGTACTGTCATCTGTAAAGTATGTACAATGTAGTAGGCACTGTACTTAGATAAAAAAGAAGGACCTGCCTACAAGCTCACACTCTAAAATGCAGGAATACACAGGTGGAACGTGGAGGCCTTAAAGTAGAACAAGTATGAACACAATGTGGAGTACAAATGCAGAGTGTTTGAACAGACCTTTTGTAGTGATTGCATTTTCAAACATATTTCTAAAATGAGAAAAGCAGAAACTTGCATTTCACTTATTTAAACTGGGGACAAAAATTTTCAGGATTTAAAATTCTGACCTGATAATCAGATTCCATTCAAAATATCACATCCCCAGAACTGGAGAAGACAAAGAGCCTAATAATTTCATACAACTTTTAACAAGTATTCCTCAGACATTTTTCTGTCCATCCTAATACATTGTACACTTGAGCAAAGTCTGCCCTCTAAAATATTTGCTTCATGCATCTACAGGTTTTATAATGGAAAAATAGGTAGTTAGTGCTAACATCTGAGCCCCAGTTCAAAGCTCTGTGGATCTCCTGTACATATGTAACTAAGAGATGCCTGATTCCTTTCACAACCCAGCTTTGCATGAATTCCTATTCATTCAAAGTATTCACTGACATTGAGGTGTGTGGGAGAAATCCATCTGTACATTTGAATGCCTGTGTATTCATTGGGCCACTAGATCAGGGTTTTAATGCTCAAAGTTTTTTATATATATAATAATTGTGAAGGCAAATTTTTTAGGGATTAGATTTGAAATTCTGTCCTTGTTTTTCTTCTGCAAAGTTAAATCAAAAGAATGTTTGCAATCTAATACTTGGGATATTAGTTGAATTTTGTGACAACCCTAAAACTGCTTCTCATATCAATACCTGGCGAGGGAAAAAAGACCAAACAGCAGCCAATTTATTAATAAAGTTATGGAGAGAAGAAGAGATTCAGATGGGAGTGAAACATGACGAAGTTGGGAGAATTGTTGGTAAGTATTAGATTGCCGAGTATTTTATATCATAGTAGTTGTAAATTTAAGAGAATTACTGAAGTTTTAAGAAGAGCTGAATTTTTCTAAGCGTGATTATATACAGGAACATGGAGAGCGGGATAAGGGGAGTGCAGCTGTGCCAAACTCAGAGCTGGCAGGGTTTCCAGACTCTGAGCTTTCATTAGAAAAAATAAATAAACCTCTAGTCTTTGTGGAACAAAAACTACGAAGCAAAATGGGCAGGCACTAATTTCCACAGTTACTTGTGGAATTAGTGGCCACAGAACACGCCGCCCAGTAGCTGGCAGCCCAGGGGCACCAAGCAGCACCGCAATTTTTGCGCACACACCCAGCCTGCATCCCCAGCAGGGGCCAGTTTTGCCAACCCCTAGGTACGTCTCTGTGTTTGAGTCTTTCTTGGTGTATGTGTCACTCCATTAGTTTTTCTAGATTGGGACAATGAAGAAAGTGTTTTTTTCATTATGATGAAGGGGCTTTCTGGTTCATTCTGAAGTTGGGCTTCTTTTTGTTTTTACTTTTCCTGGTAGAGAAGGGGGTTGTTGCCCAGAGAAAATAATTTTGAAATTCAGGACTTAGCATAGCTATGATAAGACAGAAGCTTGTTTACTCAGAAGGAAAAAAAGCAGCAAAGAAATGAGTTAATTTGTATCTTATATAGAATTTAATGCAAAAAACCCCCCACCCATTGTTTAAAAAATTTGCAAATGCAAATATAAATAAAATTGGTACATCTGCATTACAAGGGGAAGGGGTATTGTTGTTGAGAAAGCATGGGTAACATCAGTCCTGCAAATATCACTATGCTAATACTGCTGAGTGGTGGTGTGAGACACAATAGTGCATGGCAACCCTGCAGTGTAGTCCAGTGTTGTTATCCAGTCAGGAGGGGGGGCATTACAACATTGCAGTGTAGCAGCAACATAGAGGAATGGGTGATTAATTGCTTTCTCCTCCCTTTTGTGGTTGGGTGCCACTTCTAGTATAAACACTTAAACGGGTATACTTATGTCAAGATGCACATCCTATTTTCTCAAAAGGACAGGTGTTTGGCCTGTGCTAATTGCTGTAGATATTATGAGGTCGAAATAAATAAATACAGTGGTCACACAGTAGGAGAAACAGAGCCCCAGTTCAGTCATGACTCGAAATACTTTATTCTGTTACTAGTTTTACCACTAGATGGCATTTGTCCCTTCAGCTGCAAAGTGCATCTATTATTAGTTTGATTGATTGATTGATTGATTGAGGTAGCTTTGCTTGGTAAATCTGTTTCACTCAATACCACTCTTTATGCATCTTATTTAAAAACTAAATTCATTGTCCCTAAACATAATCAGTTTCTTAGAAAATAACATTTGGTATAAGTAAAAGTGAAACAATGTAATAAAGTCAGTACAGAGTATAGTAAACATTGTTTCCTAACCAGTGTTTTGTTCTCATTCTCCAACCAAATTAATGATGCTAGATTTGAAGCCCAGTATTCATCTCAGAAAGCCCTCAATATAATTCATAAATTAAAACAAACACCATTGCCAAGTTTTGACTCATAGAAATATACATAAACACCCTCGTCATAATAGGGATGGAGTAGTCTGAAAACCAGTTATTACAAAGAATTGTTGCTTTTGGGCTGATGTGGAGAGTTGTAAGAATTTCTTCAATAAATTTTGTATTTTTAAAAATTCTTGGCTCAGTCAAGTCAAGCAGACCAGGAGGTAATAATGCTGAGGAATAGAGGCTCTTATATATGAAATATTTTGTTGTTTGTCTGTGGTATTTATATATCACTTAAGCGTTCACACTTCTAAACAGCATACATAAAAATAAACCATACAGAGGATAAAATAATAAAAATTCACCATAAAACTGAACATAAACTCAAACAATAGCCTAAAATGTATATTGGCATAAGAAAGACATTGTCATGCACCTGAAGTTTGATATTGTTGTACGCTACCCCTGTATCTGAGCTGTGAGAGACTCCAGGGGTTTCCAGCACTTACCCAGGGTTTGGTTTCCTTGGAATGAAGGTCAGTGGAGACTGTTATATATATACTCATTAAAAAAATTGAATGTCTCTATACATTTTAATAGATAATACCTAAATGACATATAACAGAGTACCGTATTTTTTCATGTTTAGCATGCCCCCATGTATAAGACTCCCCCTATTAAGAATTAAGAAAATAGGGGGAGATTGCCAGGAGTTGTTGAGCTTCTTTTGTGGGGGGGATTGCAAAAAATCACTCACCTGCCGCACCGACGATGGCAATCACGCATGCCAACAGCAGCTGCCAATTGGGCAGCAACAGCCAATCAACAACGGCCCTTGCCATCAGCCACCAATCAACAACAGCCCTTGCCACAGCCACCAATCACCTGCCCAATTACCACAGAAAATCTGCTCACGGCAGCAACCAATCCCCCATCCCACCTCTGCACTATCCGTGTATAAGACGACCCTGTTGGGCAGTCGCCGGGAGGCTGGACATGCCTCCAGGCAAACAACATATACATGCCAGCCTGTCTCTCCCTTCTGCGTGCCGCTTGGGAGATCCATCAATCTTCTTCCCCTACGTGATTCATGTCTTGGGACGTGAGCACACATTGACTTAGCAGAGTCAACAACAGCAGAGCTAGGCTCGAGGTGTGAGTACTAAGCTACTTTATTATATAAAAATCAGGACAAAAGAAAAACATGGCTCCTCTCTCTCTCTTCTTCCTCGGAGAGAAGGGAAAACAAAAATACAATGGAACGGAACAGTGTAAAAATAACTTCTGCTCCCATGACTTCCAACAGAGTTGGAATGTAAATACAGACATGTGATGAAGCAATCCCACATATCTGCAGAGCGGGGGAATGAAATGTCAACAGGACCCCCCCCCCCATTTTTCACATTATTTCATAAGAAAAAATCTCGTCTTATACATGGAAAAATGCGGTACACTCTTTCAGTGAAAGTATTATAATTACTGAATATCTGATGATGAGTGGAACCTAAAACTGAAAATTTCCCTCTGCAGATACAAAGAAGCCATTGGCTGGCAAGTTCCAAAGAAAGCAAGAAGTTACTCCAATGCCTGCCAGTTGTCCCACTATTGCTGTTATGGATGTTGCTGAAAACATGCGAGCAAAGATTTATTGTGTAATATGTAAATTAGGTAAAGGCCATGAACTTATTTCCTGCATTTTACATATACTTTAATTTTTAAGAAGGTGGATATAAAACAGTAAAATAATTTATGTTATTTAACCAAAGACAGCGTGCATAAACAGAAGAATGAATAATCAGAGTTACACACAAGTTTGGCAAGTTCATCTGCGTCTGCAACTGCAGAACTAGGAAAAGAAAATCCTGTATCTCCTTGTCAACCAGCTATTATGGCTATCTAAGCCAGGAGCTTACAATATTCTTGGCAGGATCACATAGTTTTGCTAATGTGCCCACTTTGAAATTGCCTTGTGACAGTGTAAATCTCAATACAGAAATAAGATTTCTCTAAAAGTAATTATTAATGCTTTACTTTAGGCTTTGAAAATTTGCCCGGCCTCTCTGCCAAGGATTTTGTTACACTTGCTATCATACGTAGATATCTTGACTTCAAGGTAAGCATTGTTTAATATGTGATTTGTTATTTATGGTCTTGTTTGTTAGAGCTAGTATAATTAAGAATCTGAAGCACTACATATGTACTCCTTTGCAGCCACAATGCAAGACACATTGTTAGAATTTAAAATGCCAGACTTTTGCCTGTGATTACACTTGGCTTCCTCTTTAAACTTAATGAATAAAAATAGATACTTGAACAGAGAGTCAAAAGTGGCTCTTTCTGGGTCTTTGCCCGAAAAGAGTTAGCTGTCCTTGGTATTGATAACTTTCTAAAAGTGCCACTTTTGTTAATAAAGGTAGGTGAAATCTGGAGTGAGATATATGCAGAACTTAAAAAAGAAAACATCAAACCCGTAACTCCTGACCATGAAGCACTGCAGGTTATTATGGAAGCATTTGAAAACGTTGGAAAGATGGTTATCTCTCTCCAGACTGAAATGCTGGAAAGCCAACAATACCAGGAACTTCGAGAAGAAGAAAAAAGTTATGCCAAGGTAAGCAAAGAAGCAGCATGTGAGAGGGAACCATTTTTTAAAAGAAATAAACTCCCTTTCTCATAACACATATTTATAAGAAGCGCTTTTTCTTTAAAAACTAAGAAGTTATTGTCTCTCCTACAGAGTCTATACTCGGAATACCATCTCCACTTTGGGGGAGGGGGCTAATTGCAAACAAACTGTAGGGTGTAGTGATATTGGTGCCTACAGTGCAACCAGAGCTCTGCTCTGAACTACTTCCATAACAGAACTGTGCCACTAAAGACACTTTTGAAGAATGAGAGGTTTTAATTTCCTCCTTAATCTCTTTCATGCTCTAGATTCAATCCCTCCATAAGCAAAAGGAAATGGTCAGTAAGTCCTGGGAAAGTTTCCTGGCCCGGACATCAAATTATGAGACTTTAAAGGTAAGGATATTGTGAATACTGCCATTGGGATGATTTTAGCTCCAGTTAATATTTATTTTAAGCTATTAAATAGATATTTATTGTGGATCCTCTTTTCTATTTTGTATAATTTATATTTTCATGATAAATAGATTAAACTTGAAAATTAAGAATAGGAAGGCTTGTACAAGCAGGAGATGTGCCAAACTGATGTCTTAAATATGTTCAAAGTAATTCCTTCAGTTTCTCTTTGAACAGTGTGAGGTTGTTCAGTCACTTGTAAGGAAGGGGCATTTATGTACAATGTACGGTACTTGTTTGTATACTTAGTTAATTGCTAGTTCTTCATATTACTTTTACTCAGGGTGGATTGCATCACCATACTTGGAAAGATACACAGTCTGAAACACCCCTATTTGTATAGTAAGCCTATTAATGTGTTAATGCTAAAAATTCAAAAGACAGTAAAAAGAGATATTTGACTTTGCCATGTCATTTATCCCTCACCCCTTTTTGAATTTTTTATAGAAAGCGAAAAGGATTCAGGAAAAATCCATAGAAAATTCTAGAACAAAGGTAAAACCTTACAATGCAACATTCCATCCAACTGACATTAAAGGCCTAAATACAACTGTAAGTGGATCCTTACAAATCTTAAATATGAATTTCAAAAAATATAAAATGTTACACAAGTATTATCTAAGGTTGAAAATTCTAAGAATGCATAATGTTTGTTTGTTTTCTTTACAGCAGAGCAAGTATTCCACTATATTTGATATGAGTCGGGGTGGGGAAGTAGGCTGTATGCAAGATCCTTCTAACCCCTGGATCCAGAAAGTGTTAAAAATATAAGCCAGGCTATCTTCCTGTGTTGAGGTGACAGCCTGAGTGATGGGCCTTTAAGGAAAACAAAAGAAAGGGGCTCTGTGTGAGACAGCAAATGGGTGGGTGGGGACCCTCCCTCAATTCATAGATAGTTATAAGGTCAAAACCTGAATTTAGAGTTGAATTGCACTGATGTGACCTAGAAGTAAAGCAGCAATCTGGAAAGGGGGTCAGAGAAATGTTTGAGAGCAACATTCAATTTCTGTTGACTCCAAGGCTGTGTGGCTATGGGGGAAGCAAGGCGCTTTGGTGGTGTTGATGCTGTGAACCCCTCCATCGTAGGCTCAGGTTGTATATATGTGTAAGTAAACCGTTTTTCATAAAGACACCACAGTCTCTGCTGTGCCTCATTCCCAAAGGAGAAACAAACCCTGGGTAAGCAACTGGAACCCCTGAAATCTCACACCGCTCGGAGATTGGGAGTGGCGTGCAATAATATTCATCCTTCATATTGAAACACTTTTTCAAACAAAACATCAGTTCACCACCATAGTTAATCTATGGCTCTATCATGCTGATGGAGATGTAAGTGTAAGCTCTGTGGTATAAAGCAGCCTCTTCAATAATTTATGTGTTAGAGGAAAGAGCATCTAAAATATTTTTATTTGTTAGAGATCAGCAGTAATAAGGGGTTAAGGAAGAAGTATGACAGAAAGCATAGATAGCAGAAATAAGATTTGAATTTATGATCAATCTCCTTCACACACACACACACACACACACACACACTTCAAACCTAAGGCATGAGCTTCTGGTGTATGTTTCAGAATGCATTCTTGAAAAATCATAAAAGCATGAATGAGAAAAGTCAATTACAAGTCAACTAATAGCTTTTACATTTCCTTTCAAAATATGCTTTAAAAGAAGAGAATTTCAGAATGTCTCCTTTCCAAGGAATTGTTGTAAAACAGAACTCTTGTTTCATTTTGTCAGAATACTGAGCAGTGTGTTTTGTTTTTCCAGGTTGCATCTGGTCGCTTAGTAACTGTTGAAAGTACACCTGCTGAATTGACTGGAGGGCCACTAGCTGATACAGATCTTGCAGTCAAAAAGCTCTCCATTCGTGGTGGAGCCTTAAAGAGGATCAAAACAGTTAAAGTTGTGGATCCATTCAAGAAAGATTCAGTATCTGTAAAATAAACCTTGTCTAGAGCTGTTCTAGGCAGCTCCCTGTTTTTTGTTGTTGTTAATTTATATACAAATTTTAATCACATATTTGTATCACACTGGTTAAGTGCACAGTTATTTTTAGATATATATTGCTTTAGAAATAATGTGGAGATCATGATGCTAACAAATAAATTCAGTATGTTACAAATATAGATTACCGGTATGTCTAATCATTGCCGAGTTGATTTAATTTGCTTTTTGCTGTCCTTTTGCACTAACAAAATGCATATAGCCATGTGTGTTATCATGACGTTTACACACACAAGGATTTGAAGCACAAGGGGAAGAGAACAGCCACTCAGGATATAAAGTGAATGTGGCATTAGCAATCACTGTCATAATCCAGTAATTGCTTCAAAATGAGGTGAATAGGGGAAGCGGGGACCCTTTTAAAAATCACAGGCGGATGAAGCCTGTGACCATGGGACTTGGCGGGCACCTTTAGCGCCCCCCCAACCCACAAAAGAACCCACTTACGGGCTCCGGAGCGAAGAGGGGGAAGTGGCGCCGTGCTGAGAGTCAACTGCTTCTTCCGTGGAGCGAAGCCGCACAGCCGTTGCCGGAGAGCGCTGCCTTTTCCTGGGACAATTTGGCTTCTAAAATAATCACCCGTGAGTACTTAAATTTCGGACAATTGGACTTTAAATAAGGACTTGCGAGCAGAAAGGAAAATTGGACTTAAAAGTTTACCTCAATTTGGCACTGAAACGGGAAGGTCTAAACAGGAAGTCAGCCTTCCGTTTCTTTGTAGATAGATTAAAGCAAAGACATGGCAAACTAGAGCTCAGAAAATCGCTTGTAAAAGATTAACTTTCATCATTTAAAATTGTTGAACCCCTTCGGAAGCAGGGGAAGAGGGGGGATTTTTTCGGACTGTTTAAACCTGCAGAAGTGAGTGTAAAGTAAAGTAACTTTCCACCGTCCTGATCCTGGAGCGGGGTGTCAGGACTGACGTTTTTTGAAGCTCATTGACCAGAGACAAACGTTTTTGACAGATAGCTATAAGAAGAGAAACATTGATTCCATTGTTCCCCTTCGCATTTTAAAGGAACAAATATTGACAAAATATCTGAAAAAGGAAACTTTGTTGTTAGACTTGTCTTTAAAAGAAAGAACAAATAGAAGTTTTCCCCTAGAGGGAGACTGTGAAACTGTAACCAACTCCGGGGAGCTTGCAGCTGTTACAGATTACAATCGTGGGAATAGACTTCTGACCTTGCAGGACAATGTATTCAGAAGCTCTGTTGCGTGCTTTCTGTAAAACAAATGCCCTACTGGAACAGCTACATGAGAAGACGGATTTGATGACTGACGCGATCAGAAATTTTGAACAGGCAGTGGGAAATTATACGGAGCCCACCCAGGAATTAAATCAGGAGTGTGCCCTGACAGAACAGATGAGGGAAGAGGATGTTGCTGAATCTTGAGCGCCAGAGATTGTGGCCCAGCAGGAACATGAGATTTTGGACTTGACAAATGAACTTGGAAAAAGCCAGATTTGGAAAGATAAAGTTTGGTTTGGTTTGGAAATGGGGGGTTGGATAGACCCCCCTATGCAGGGATGTTTGGACCTTTCAAGTCTGGCAATGGGCCGTGAGATGTTTGGGGTTGTGGGGGCTCTTAATTTTGGAGGGACTTTGAAACATGTTCTTAAATACCACATGGAGTTTAGTGTGGACTATGGAAAAGGGGCTGATTTGTCGAGAAGGGTCAAAAACATTGTTAAGCTGGAGTTCCCACGAGTGAAAGGAGCAGGAGACAAAGGAAAATACAGTTATAAATATGAAGAAGAGCTGCGGAAGGGACATGGAAGAGACTTAAGGGCCTCGGATACAAGGTTACCAGGTTAATGCGCTAGATCGATGGGATAATAAGGACTGACAAAACCCGGGACCAGGAGGAAGGGACGCTGGATGAAGATTGGATTGTTTTTATTTCTTTTTTTTTACTACTAGGATTGTTTTATAAAATTGATGAATGTTAGAAAAATGTTGGAACAAAATTACTTGGCTTTAGCAAAAATGTTTAAAGAATTATGTAAGAATATTATGGTTATGAGAAGTTGGTAAAAATAAGATTTAAGTTTTAAGCCTTAAGGTTCTCTATAGTAAGATAAGATTAAAATAGATTAAGGTAATGTAATGACAGAATATTATGAAATATGGAAAGGATTTGCTGCGACAACAACTAGGATACAAAAAAAGGGAGGAGGAGGAGGTCAAAGAAAGAAGGTAATGACAGTTGAGGATTTGAGAATGATGGATTTGTTTTTGAGTGTTTGTGGTGTATTTTTGCTTTTTGAATTTGTATTGTTTGACGTGGTTTGTTTTTTCTTTTGTTTTTCTTTTTTTTCTGCTTTGTTCTCTTTTGTAATTCTAAAAATTTTCAATAAATATCATTTAAAAAATAAATAAATGAGGTGAATAGGGGAAATCCTGGAATACTGACGTATTATCGGCAAATACTTTAAACCTTAAATAAACAGGCAGAGACTGATTCATATATTACGTGCATCTTAGTTCCCTGCCAGATACATACAGTATTTTGGAACGAAAATCAACAAGAGTAATTTGGAGAAAGCGTTGGCAAAAATCACCCAAAGCACTGCAAATAGCACCACGTTTTCAATAGGCTCCTGTCAATGCAATATTTCGGAGAAAAGGCCCATCTCCATGGTGGACTTGAACATGCTCCCAAATGTCTTTTGGGAAACAAAAGGGGAAAGAAGGGGAATGGGATAGAGTATCATTGAAGAAGGCCTGACTGGAACACTGAACATTCCACACTGCAAGGTTTTGTTACGGGTCCCACTTCTAATACATTGTTTTATAATGCAGAGTATTGCCACCAAGTGACTCCGAACGCTGAATGTGAAGAATATGCAGGAGCTTCCCTGTTCTTTTCCATGAGCAGGAGAAAGTTCAGTGGACACAAGAGAAGCACTAGAGATTGAGAAGACTGTATTGTGGCATATTAGGGAGATTATTACAAGTCTGAAGGATATTGAATTGAGTAAGAGCACCATTTCAATAGTCTACACAGCATAGAAAAGATATTTTATGATAACCAACATAAGTGACCAAATCCAGTGTTTAAGAGATTGCACAGAAAATTACATCAAGCATAATTTCTTTGGGTTTACATCCCCCCCTTGTATTTCTTTAAAATGAAATTATCATTTATAAGATGCTGTATAAAATATGCTTGTTGCTGCAGCACCATGTTTCATTAGCATATAAAAATATATTTGGTTTTCATTGCATTCTGAACTTTTAAAAATGAGAGAAACCTTTTCCCCAAAAAAGGACATGTGTGCTAGTATTAAACACATAGATTTACCTGAGAGAGCACAGGAAATTATTCAAAATACATACAGCATTTGCATTGGAGAAAAGACCATGTTGTCAATGATTGGAATGTGCTTATCAAATCAGAACAAAGAAAAAGATCGCCAAAAAAAAAAAAAGTTCTCAGAAATATCTACAGTAAAATATGTGCTTTTTGAAAGCTTCATTCAGTGTGGAATCATCTGGATGAGGTGTCTTCTGTAGATTTGCCTCTTCGCTCTACAGTTGAGGTTTGTGAAGCCTGCAGAGAAGGAAAGAGCCAATTAGAAGTACAGATAGTCCTTGTTGCCATTTTTTCTTTCTTGTTTTTTCCTGGTTGTCATCTGTGAAATATGTGGTTCTATTTCTATGAAAATTGGAGAATTGCAGAGTAGGACATGGAGGAGGTAGGCTGGTGTAACACAGAGAGCCAGTGTTGTGTAATGGTTATAGTGTTTGACTATGACCTTGGGAGCCTCGGGTTCATAGCCATGAAACCCACTTGGTGACCATGAGCCAGTCACCATTTCTCAGCCTTACCTACCTCACAGGGTTGTTGTGAAGATGAAACAGGAAGCGGAGAACCTTGAGCTCATTGGAGGAAAAGGTAGTATCTAAATGTAAAAAATAAATGACATATTTAAATGCTTAGTAGTTGAAAGAAATGGAGGCAAAACATATAAATGATGATTTCATGAGAGAGCAATCCAGTTCATGTTTACTCAGAAGTAAGTCCTACTGTGTTCAATGGGGCATATTCCGAGGAAAGAGTGCACAGCCTTAGAGCACAATCCTACATGTGTCTATACTCAAAATTCATTCCCACTGAATTCAGTAGGACATACACTTAGAAAACCTGGGATATGGGATTATAGCCTTAATCTAGAAATAGCAGCCTTTCAGTATTAACAGCACAGACTCCTCTGGCACCTTAAATATGTAACAAATTTATTTTGGTGCAATAATTCATGGACTACAGCCTACGCCATCAGTTGCATGGCAGGTATAACACTTCACGCAACTAGTGTTTTATTAACAGGTAAGTATAACAAAATTACCTTCTGATGCTTTCTGTCCATATGTAAAAGTATTCTCTGCGGATACTAATTGTCTCCTGCCCATTCCGTGAGAGCTTGAGAGAACACAGTCTACATACATATCCCAGAAGTTCTGAGCTAAACTGTTGAAGATGTCATTATGCTTGGGTTTAGACGACCCTTTCAGGAACATCATGAATTCCCAGAGAGCAGTAACTGTGCTTGATACCCTGAGTTTCTTCACTTCCACCAGCCTACGAGAGGAGATTTCCCAACAATGATGATCAATCTCTCCCAGGCCGGCAAAGGCTTCTTTTTGATATTCCAGGTTGCCAAAAACTAAATTCACCATCAAGAGACAACCCATTTGGAGAAGCCACTTTCTGCTGCGTACAAATTCCATGCCGCACAGAGGTATCTGAAAACAATACAAACAATTATGACTTCACTCCCCCTACAGTCTTTGACTTTACAACTTTGAAACATACTGTACTGTCACGAAAAAGGATGTTAGTTCTGACTTCGTCCAACTGCCCTGCGGCTCCAACAGGCGCAAGAACACAAGTATGTCCTGTCACATGTGAGGTGGGGCCAATAACTAGTTAAAATATACTGCTATTGCAGATAAAAAGAAAAGAAAAGGCCAGCATCAGTAGCCCCAGTCAGGTGCTCTTTGATTGTGTGTTGAACAACATGAGATCAAGGAGTTGGGCTACACTGAGTGTTGTAGCCCATAATATCACACAGTTCTCTCCTACATACAAAGCATGTGCTCTACCACTGAATCACAGCCTGAAGAGCTTTGTAAGGAGGAGACCTTCATATGACATCAACATGAATGTCGGAGAAGACACAATGTAAAGGCTCTGCCCATTTGCTCCCGTACTATTCAACAGGGTAGCAACGAATGGCTAAGACACACTTGCCTGACTGGAGAGAGACCTGTTGGAATGTAATGTAAAAGTGCTGTCTAAAACGCATAAAATATTATTGGAATGGGAGACAAAGGATGAGCAAGTAAAATCTTCAGTGATACAGTGGGCAATAGATATTGGTCATAATATAGACATGGAAGCATGGGAACGGGTGTGGAATATGGATATAGAATTCGCAGTATGTTATGGTCTAAGAGAAAATTAAATGAAAATGATATATTGATAGTATCTAACACTGAGTAAATTGGCAAAAATATATATATCTAAATCAAATAAGTGTTGTAAATGTAAAGAGAAAGAAGGTTCTTTTTAGCATATGTGGTAGTCTTGTAGTAAGGTTAATGCTTACTGGGAAATGATATATAATGAAATGAAAATGATGTTTAAAATAACCATGGGGGGACGGACGGACCAGAAGCTTTTCTTTGTGGAATTATAGGGACAGAACTACCTAAACTGTATAGAAACTTATTTATTTATGTATGCTACTACAGCGGCAAGAATGTTACTTGCCCCAAAATGGAAAGAAGCAAAAGTCCCAGCAAAGGAAGAATGGATACAAAAACTTATGGAATATGCAGAAATGATGAAACTTACCTGAAGAATAAGAAATCAAAATAATAAACTTTTTATGAAAGAATAGAAATGGTTTATTGAAGAATTACAGATAAATTGTAAACAGACAAGAACATTGGCAGGATTATTGTAATAACCTGCAGTTTCATAAGAGTATATATTTAAAGAAGATGAATAAATGAGCAAATTAAGTTAATTTGGATATGCAGAAGATATTAAAAATTAAGGAACCGCAGAAAGAGGGGGAAGGAAGTCAAGTTCTGAAATGTCAAAATGATTGTAAAATTAGTGAAATGTATAAACTTCAAAAGTATAAATAATTTATTTATTTTTCAAAGACACATGTGCCCTGAGGAAAGGCAGAAGGCAAAGAACCAAGCCAGGGAGTCCAGGTCATGGAGCACACTTATCAATTGCTCCTCACAGAAGCACCTATGACCTGAGACATAAGTGCCGGCTTGCATCCGCGACTGAGGAGGCTGACAGCGTGACATTCTGTGTGTGACTTTGCTATTGGATATTGAGGGGCTCAGCCCCCTCCTTAAAAACCTGGGGGGGGGGGCAAAGTGCCTCCATCCCCAAGAGCCAGCGCTGCTGGCCTGAGAGAAATGTTGGGGCAGCTCCTACCCACCTTCCCTGGAGCAGCTGAAGGCCTGTTTCCCCTGAGGGAAGGCAGAGGCAAGGGAGGCCAAGCCAGGGAGCATGTATACCATCAAGCTCCCCGTTGGCATGAGAGGACTCTGTCAGTCTTTGTTTAAATCACTGTTTGAATCACATTGTAAACTGCCTTGGGTGACTTGGGGGTATATAAACCCAAGAAAAAGTAAATAAATTAAATAAATAACTGAAAGAACCTTCAAATACAGATAGCAAAGGCTCCCGTCTGAGACACTGGAGGGCTGCTGCCTTTCAATAATGAGCAGCACGAACAAATTGTGCCGCTCGTTATAAGGCAACTTCCTATGCGACTGCCTCTCAGAAGTCGGTTGAACACATCTTTTTTTAGGTTAAAGTACTGGAACACTGTGTTATTTAAATACACTCTGCTGCAAAACAATTAAATTGCACTAGAACCACCCGGTTTTGTTCCGATCAACATCATGAGTAAGAGTGACTTCAGTTGTAGCCACACGGCCTCAGCCTGTGTTTTCAGAAGTCCCACTGTTTATATAGTGTCATAGATTTAGGGCTCCAGAGTCTGTTAGTGAATGGTGTAAATTAATAAATGCTAAATAAATATTTAGATAATATTTGGGGGCGTGAAGGGAAATACAAGCTGCAGAACTGTGCCAGGCAGGAAATTTCTGCGTTAGCTAAGTGCAGAACCATGAAGGAACAATGGCACTGAGCCATTAAGGTCCATTAGCAATGCAAAAGAACAGTCCTCCCCCCACCCCCACTCTCTGAGGAGTGGACAGAGAGACGGGAGAACTGGCAGGTTGCCAAGGTGATGGGGGGCACATGATGTCATAGGAAAAATTGTCCTTTTTGAAATCTGGAGGCGTTCTGGGAAAGAAGAGAACAAAGGCAGAACCATCTTGGTGCAGGCTGGAGGAGGCTGCCCCAAAAGCCATGACTGACTTATGCTTTGGACCCAAGCTTGCTGTAGCCGTGAGAGGGACAGTGAGAGACAGTGTCCGCTCAGCCCAGACACTGAGGTCCTCCTCCGAGGGTTGTCTGCAGGTTCCTTCACTGTAAGAAGCAGTTACAGGGAACTGGGCAGAGGGCCTTTTCAGTGGCGGCACCCTCCCTGTGGAACACCTCCCCTTCAGATGTCAAGGAGATAAAGAATCACACAGCTGTTAGAAGGCAGCCCTGTTTCAAAAGGTTTTTATCGCTTGATGTTTTATGTTTTTAGATATGCTGTAAGCAGCTCAGAGTGGCTGGGGAAACCTAGTCAGATGGGCGGACTATAAATATTATTATTATTATTATTATTATTATTATTATTACTACTACTTTTGGGGTATAATGCTCTGCACCTCCTTCATTGAAGATTCCAGGTGTAAATATGTGCACGGTAAGCCATATGTATTAAATAGACTAGCCTCCGCTGTGCCTCAATTTGCACCCTGGGTGAGCGCCTGGAATCTTGCTACCACTTGGCAGAGATTGGGAATGGCGAGCAACCTTCGTAACAATGGGATTGCATCCAGACAGGCATGGGGGGGCAGAGAGAGGCAGCTCCCCCACCCAAATCAATCAAATTCAATAAAAATACATAGCTTACTGAGGTTCTGCCGCCCCCAACAGAAGTCCTGGCTACGCCCATGGAGGCAGGCCCATTCTGTGGTTAGTTAAGATGGCTGCCGCTACAGAATTTTTGTGTGCACTTGACTTGGGACAAAAGAACCTGGCTCCTAATGCCCACTCCCACCCTGTCAAGAAATGCATTGGGTGACATCGGAACAGTCACCTAACCTACCGCACAAGGCTGCTGTGGGAATAAAATGACTGGAGAAAAGAACTATATATGCTACTCTTGAGTTCGTTGAGATCGGTATGATTTAAGTCAGGGGTTCCCAAAGCGTTGTTCATGGACCACCAGTGGTGTTGTGAGTCTGCAAAGTGGCATAACTACATGTGTATGAAGAAAAGGGTGTGTGAGAGGAATGGCAGGCACAATGGCTGCTGTTTCGTTCTTAGAACCTGGCAGTCTGCCTGGAAGGTGAGCAAGATGGAATTAGTGATGGCAGGCAGAGGTTCTGCCTTCCTCAGGGGAATAAAGCTATGGCTGGTCCTAAGCAATTACCACTTCTAAACAACAGGAAGAAAAATCATTAAGTGGTCTTGGGCAGGGAGAGCTTGGGAACAGTTGGTATAATGGTTAGCATAAAGGGCTAAGACTGGGAAGATCAGGGTTCAAGCCCCCATTCAGTCATGATGCACACTGAGTAAACTTGGGTAAGGCACTTTTTCCTCAGACCAGCAGACTACCTCACAAAGTTGTTGTGAAGACAGAAGAGGTTGAGAGAACCTAAAGGTTAGCCCAAAGACAGCATATAAGTGTTAATAATTAAAACCTTAAATAAATAAAATGCGTAGGATTCTAGGCACCCAACCAACCATGACAGGAGGGAATTATTTAAAAGCAGCCAGAAGTTTATAGAAAATATTCAGCTCATACTCTTAACCACAATATTACACTGGCTCCAATATACAGTTTGTGGACAAGTAAAAAGGTCAGGAATTTAAAACTTTTGGAATGTAAAACTTTCTTACATTGTAGATAGCACCTGTAGAAAGTGACACACAGGAGAAAGTAAAAAACTATCACTGATCTACATGATCAATAAATAATGCATTTCACACAGCAGCATTATAGATTTTACTGATCAATTTTTCTTTTCTCTGGAACTTAGAAGCACAATAAAGTTTTTTTCCTGATTATTCCTACTCCTCAGGGACTATTGATTACTGTGATCAATATATTGGAAACATATATCTTCCTTCCCCTCTTGTAATTCAGTTACTACAAAAGCACTTGCAATAATAACATGAAAATTACAACCAGTCTTTTTTGTAGCTGCTGTCCTTGGCTATCAAACAGCAAAAGCAACTAACACACAGCAATTCTATGACACATGTACACAGAAGTGAGTAGTGCTGAATTCAAAGGGGAATACTCCCAGGCAGGCAGGATCAGCATTGCAGCCTTTACAAGGAAGCAACCTCCAATGAACACAGTGGGTCTTACTTCTGAGTAAGTGTGTATAGCCTTGGGCTAGAAGTTTTGGAATCTGGCTCCTCCCTGTTCAGTTAATGAGACTTTTTCAACATTTGTTTTTAAGGAGCAAAGTGAAAAATCATACTTACTGAAATATAGCCTTCTTGAGTGCAAATATTCAGTGACAGAAAGCAGTCTGTGTTGACCGACCACTTGGACACAGAGGGGTGGAGGGGATTCCCAAAGACCAGAAGTCTGAAACTGCTTTCTGTTGCTAGAGAGATAATGGTTGCTGCTTATTGGGATTATATAGCAGAGAGACACTGGCAGTATCATCCACTCCATTAAGTGAAAAAGGAGAGGAGAGGGGCTATAAATCACATAACCCCGCCTCTGTCCACATCATCTGCTCTGAGTCAATCAGCTACACAATCTGCTGCAATCTGCATCTTTGTTCCCTTATCTTATCAATACATCCCTATTCCTGTGTACATCCTTGTCCAATAACAGCTGGGGTAATTGTCCTAGGAAGAGATTTGCAGATAAAGCCTCTTGATGTTTACTCAGAAGTAAGTCCCACTTAGTTCAATGGGGCTCACCTCCTTGCAAAGTGGGTTTAGGATTGCAGCTTTAGACCCCCAATCCTATGGGTGATTATTGGACATGAAGTTCAACTGGGCCCAGTAGTGGAGCTCACTCCCAGGTTAAGTGTGCAGAGAACTGCAGCCTAAAAGTGCTTCTCCTAGAAGCCAGCTGATTACATCTTGATTAAAACTAACAAACATTGAAGTCACAAATTTGTTAGAGAACATTCATTTCCCTAGAATACGGAAGACACTTTATTTAAAAGATGCCAAATGACGTTGCTTAACGAAAATATAATGAACAGCGATAGAATCACTGCTAAAAATACAACTGTTTAAATACAAACAGCAACAGACAGGACATTTTAAAAATACTTGTTTTTGTTTATTTAGTCAGTGAATAATAACAAGACTCTGTGGGCGCGGTATAATTTTTTAAAAATAAAACAGTAATTATATATATATATATATAGATATATATAGATATATATTGATAAAAACAATAAAATAAACATCTTTTTCTTCTCTGGCGATCACTTGTAGAAGAAGAAGAAGAGTTTGGATTTGATATCCCGCCTTTCACTCCCTTTAAGGAGTCTCAAAGCAGCTAACATTCTCCTTTCCCTTCCTCCCCCACAACAAACACTCTGTGAGGTGAGTGGGGCTGAGAGACTTCAAAGAAGTGTGACTGGCCCAAGGTCACCCAGCAGCTGCATGTGGAGGAGCGGAGACGCGAACCCGGTTTCCCAGATTACAAGACTACCACTCTTAACCACTACACCACACTGGCTCTTGTAGCCAAGTAAGATTGTCTTCCATAAACACGGTTTTAACAATGAGTCCGTAAGTGACTGTGGAGGCCAATTCTGGATCCACACGTCCTTCCACAGCGGGGACATTGGTTTCCGGGAGGGTGCTGATCACGGTGTGGATTTGCCAAGCGTGCCTTCCTCTAGCACGTTTCTCCCTTGCGTCCTGAGTTTGAGTGTCTTCAAAGCCCACGACACCTTTGGTAAAGGCTGTTCTGCAACTGGAGTGCTCGCAGGTCAGTGTTTCCCAGTTGTCAGTGTTTATACTACATTTTTTTAGATTTGCCTTAAGACAGTCTTTAAACCTCTTGAGGTTGACCACCAGCATTACGCTTTCCATTTTTAAGTTTGGAATAGAGTAGTTGCTTTGGAAGACGATCATCAGGCATAAACATAAGATAACAGGAACAATAAAAAGTAATAAATACAGAGTCAGAGAAGCTCAGAAACCACTAAGATCATTCAAAGCCAACAAAACACTGGACAAAACAAATGACAAAATGTGCTGAAATACCTGGTTGTTTTAATTCACTTGGTGCCAAAAGATGGCACCAGGTTAACTTCCCTGGAGAGAGCATTCCATACTCAAGGCATCATGACTGAAAATGTCCTCTTTCTGATCACCACCCATATAAGTAAAGATGGCAGGGGTACCCTGGGAAGGACTCATGTACAGGGCCAGTCCAGGCTATCTTCCCGTCTGAAGTGGGTAAGAGGGCACCTTTCTCCCCACCACCAATCTTGCAGTCTTGGAGCTTCACAAAGAACAAATATTGGATATTATTTTCTACTCACTACAGAGTAAAGTCACTACTCTTGCTTATATCTCCTATAGGCAAGTGACAATACTCCAATTCATTTCCTCGATGGTGTGGTATGAATGTGAGCAGTGCTTTTTTTTCTTTAAAAATGTTTAGGGGTATTATCATTTTGACTCAAGAAAATCATCATTTTATAGTTCAAATCGGGATAAATAAATACAGTAAATGGAAAAAAGTACAAAGATTCACAAAATGTTTTTGTGTACCCCCAAAAAAGCAGCACGTACCCCCAGAAAAATAGCACTGAATGTGAGTATGGTGGGTTTTTTTAGAGCACTATTTTGTTCCGTTTTATACCCAAAGGAATGGTCAGGAATTAGAAGCACTTGCTAACCATTTCTGAAGCAAAATTTGATTTCTGTTTGGTGGGGAGCATTTTTGAACACCAGTACTGCATTTGGTTCAGTATGTACATTGTAGTCATTAATTGACTCTTCTAGTGAAATTAAGAGAACCAACCATTGCCTTTTCCTCAGCAGATGGAGAAAGGTGTGCTGGGGGCAACAAACTTTGCACTGGCTTTTCGTGTATGAGAGTCAAGATTCTTGCATCTTAACAAGAAACCACATATCTGTTTCTAAAGTCATTATAACAGAATCATTGTTGTAGAAGAGGAGGGGGCTAGGGCAGGAAATTGGCATCCTTATGGTGAACAAAAAAAATGTCACTGAGCACAACTCAAAGTGGGCTAATCATGTAAAGAGCTTCCAGCATATACCAAACAACTTCCCCTTCCTCAGTGCCTCCAGATGGAAAGAATGATTCAATTTCATTGATTTAGATACTTATAAAACCTATCTCCTAGCTATCTAAGCAAACAGGCTTAAAAAAAACTCATTTCCTTCTCTTTTTCCCATTTCCTGTTACACCATCTCTGTGATTCAGGACAAATCTATATTTCAGTTTACCTTTAGTTTAGTTTATACCTCTGTGATGCTAATTCATATGCTGGTTCATATACGTTCTCAACTACTTCATCCCTGACTGCTGTCCATGTTGGCTAGGGCTGATTACACTGTTACAGAAAGGCAAAGGTAAAGGACCCCTGGTTAAGTCCAGTCAAAAGCAACTATGGGGTATGGCGCTTATCACGCTTCAGGCCCAGGGAGCCAGCATTTCTCCACAGACAGCTTTCTGGGTCATGTGGCCAGCATGACTAAACCGCTTCAGGCGCAACAGAATACCATGATGGAAGCCAGAGCACACGGAAATGCCATTTACCTTCCCATTGCAGTGGTACCTATTTATCTACTTGGACTGGTATGCTTTTGAACTGTTAGGTTGGCAGAAGCTGGGGCAGAAGCCCACTCCGTTGCACGGATTCGAACTGCTGACCTTCTGCTGCTGACCTGTTGGATCAGTTTCAGCTAGTAAGGCTCAAGGATGCAGACAAAGTGAAGGTGAGGGCGACCACTTGTGCTCTAGAGCCTTGCCCTTCTTGGCTGATAAAAACTAGCAGGGAGGGGACAGCTGGCTGGACCACGGAGGTGATGACTGTCTCCTTGTGAGAGGGGGTGGTCGATCTCTGCCTGCTTAAAGGAGACAGTGGTAAGACCACCCTTAAGAAGCCATGACGGGATTTCGAAAATTTAAATAATTACTGGCCTGTGCCAATCTTCCCTCTTTGATCCAGATATTTGAGCATATGGCCGCAGACCAGATCCAGGCACTCTTGTAGTAAATCCATTCCAATTGAGGTTTAGTCCTGGTTTTGGCTCAGAAACTGCTTTAGTCGACCTGTATCCTCAGGAGACAAGACATGGAAAACGTGTCCCTGACTTTTGATACCATCAACCATGATAACTTTCATGAGCGCAGCCAGGATTTGGGGGGTTTTTTTTGGGGGGGGAGACCAACATGATTGGTCAGTTAGTTATGTATTTCTATTGTTTTACTTGATGGGATGGAGCTACCCATGGAGCGGCTCTGCTTTGCGGTGGTTCAGGTCTTACTTCCCAGGATGAAGATTATATGTAAAGGAAAGCCAGCTAATTTATTTTGCGTTCCCCACCCCGCCAAATCAATTTTAAAAAAAAAATATTATTATTATTATTTTTGCAATTCTATGTGTGCAAGGTCCGTCCGCCACATTATGACGTTTAGGATTCATTCCTACAGAGAGGGGTACGGAATGTGCCTCGGTCCAGCTTCCGCCGCGCTCTCGATACGCTCCTACACTGTTTTCCTTCCCCGCTCCCCGAACCCGCATGCACGGAATGCACGTGTGCAGACGCAAGAATTTCACTTCGCGTTATCTGAAGAAGCGGATTCTAGCCCTCGAAATAAACGTGCCAAGCCTCTTTAAGAGGCAACCCTTTTGGAGCGAGGCACAAAATGTTCCGCAGCGCCCTCGTCGCCATTTGCAGCAGCGGCAGCAGCAGCTCAGGCGCTTCCAGGAAAGCTCTGCTCCGGCGCCCCGCGTGGACCTTCTCTCTCTGGCCTTTCGCGGTCCAGCCTTCCCCGCCCGCCCCGCCTCCGAGCAGGCGGGCCCGTCGCGGGTCGGCGTCACTCTCCTGCGCAGCTTCCCTGGCTTTGCATGCGCCCAAGCCTCCGCTGAAGGAAGCGCCTTTGCGCCCGCTGGTCACCAGCATGGGGCGGCTCAGCCGAGCCCTTCTGAGGGAGGTTAGTGCGCAGCCAAAGCAGCTCTTTCCCCCCAGCCTTATGGGGCGGCGTTTCCGCGGGGCGGGGGGCGGCTTAGGAGGTGCCCCGTGCACCTCTGAATACAGTATTTGGCTGCAGGGAGGTGGGTCCAGTGACAAAAACTTCCCTTATCTCGATAATAAATCTTCAGTACAAAAGAAGGAAGCTCTTCAGCCCTTCTTGGATGAAATACTTGGTGGTTATTATTGCTATTATCAAACTTTACATAATGGCAAATTTAAAAATCTACAGCCCTGTGTCCATCTTGCATATCTTTGCACCAAATTGTCATAGACAGTTTCCTTTGGGACTTCACTGTTTACGGGGTTTTTTTATTTGTGCATGTCTTAGGATGGGACTATTCAGATCGGTTCTGTCTTAATTATCAGTGACACTAAGGACAGGAAGCAGGTTTAGACACCATCCCTCTATTTCAGGGATCTGGAACTTTTTGCCCTCCAGAACTTGTTGAACTACAACTCCAATCAGCCCTAGCATGCATGGCCAATGCCCAGGGGTGATGGGAGTTGTAGTTCAGCAACATCTGGAGAGCCAGAGATTTCCCTGCACCTGCTGTAAAAGGTAAAGGTAAAGGACCCCTGACAGTTAAGTCCAGTCATAGACAACTCTGGGGTTGCGGCACTCATCTCACTTTACAGGCCGAGGAAGCCAGCGTTTGTCCACAGGCAGTTTTTCTGGGTCATGTGGCCAGCATGACTAAGTCGCTTCTGGCTCAACGGAACACCAAAACCAGAGCAGTGCATGAAAACGCCGTTTACCTTCCCGACGGAGCGGTACCTATTTATCTACTTGCACTTTTTGGCGTGCTTTCGAACTGCTAGGTTGGCAGGAGCTGGGACTGAGCAACGGAAGCTCACCCCATCGCGGGGATTCGAACCGCCGACCTTCTGATCGGCAAGGCCAAGAGGCTCATTGGTTTAGACCACAGCGCCACCTGCGTCCCTGCATCTGCTGTACTTGTTCTTATATAACCTCATGGTTGTCATTTATCACTATGGGGAAAGTAAAGTACTGCATTTTGGTCTCATTCATAGTAGCCTCACAGGGGGTTGCATCCCCTACTTTTCATAATGATTAACAGATTGCTAGTAAATATGAAATGGCAGTGTTTTAATACTTTATTTATTTTTTTGCAGTATGGCAGGTTTATGGATGACCTTAGGATCTACGTGAAAGGAGGAACTGGCGGAATGGGCCATCCTCGATTAGGTGGGGAAGGTGGGAAAGGCGGTGACGTCTGGTTGGTAGCTCAAAAGAAAATGACATTGAAGAGACTTAAAGATCGATTTCCAAGCAAACGGTTTGTAGCAGGAGCAGGAGCCAACAGTAGGTGAGTATGTTTCATTGATTGAGAATTTGTGTGGTCCAGTTTACAGCAATCTTGTAATATATATATATTTTTTGCTCTCCACAAGTCTTGCTACGCTGAAAGGTACTAAGGGAAAAGATTGTGAAGTGAAAGTGCCTCAAGGAATATCTGTCACAAGGGATGATGGGAAAGTGATTGGTAAGGATGTTTTGGTTTTCACTTTTTGTTACTGTAAAGGATCAGAAGTATATATATATATATATTTATTAAATCTGCATTAGCATACAGCCATAGCAAAATAAGACAATACAAAAATGTTGGGGACAAGCAACCAAGCAAAATTCAAAGCGATATTGCTGGCGTAATGACATTTAAAACACCCTAAGACAATAATACAAAGATTTGGTTGCCAGCACCAAAAAACTAGTATGCGGATATAAATAAAGCATAAAATGGCCCCAAAATAGGCTCAGCACATTGAGTTAAAAAGGTAATAAAAGAATTAAACAGGTCCAGGACTAGGGCACACTACCCTGTCAGAGTAGCCCTGAGTTTCAGAGCCTGCACTATGAAGATTGCCACCCCACGTGAAATTTGGGGATTTGCGTCCACAAGAAGTGCTTTCAGACAGTCTTCCTTAGATGAAATGGAGGACGGGATCAAGAGGAGGAGCTTAGGTCTTATTGGGTCATAAATAGGGCAGTAGAAAAAGAAATGTATGAAGTCCTCTACTTCATTCATTGTGCATGGACATAGACGCTGAGTAATAGGGGTCTTAGAGTAGGTCCCCTGCAAGAAGGCCGTGGGTATAGAATGAAAACGGGCCATTGTAAACGCTCTTCTCAAGTTGGGCTCCGTCAGGTCTATCAAGTAGTTGGCAAGTGATCTTACCACTTTCACTTTAGGGAGCCACATGGAGAGGCGAGCTGAGGTGGACTGTGCCCGGTCCATGGCCTCATCTCTTATAAGAATCCAGTCCCGGATTTTATGTTGGTCCCAAGATGACAACGTGTCGAATTCTGGGAGGGAGTAGCGTACAGTAATAGTCTCCATGGCCTTGGACCATTTGTTGGAGTGAGAACAAGTTAAAAGGCTTGCCTGGCTAGTAGGGAACCTGGGGCATTGATTAATTTGCAATAAAAACTAATAATTCTAATATGGGCTCTCGCAACAATGGAGGGAGGCCCAGTTCTGTTCTTAACTGAGCAGCAACCGAGCCCTTGGGGAGACCCAGTATCTTTCGTACAAAAGAGTTTTGTAGAATCTCCAGCCGTTGAAGTGTTTTTAAATTCCACCCCCAGATTTCAACCCCATACAGTAACATCGGGAGGACTTTGCTAATAAATGCTTTTCTGATTGGTGGAACCAACTGGCCGCCTTTGGAGAGAAGAATTTCTCCAAGGCTTTGATGGTTCTACGGGCAGCCAGGATGGTCATATTTAGGTGGGCTGACCAACTAAGCCCATGCTGAAAAGTGATTCCCAAATACTTGAAAGCTGAGCAATATTCAATAGAGTGGCCCTCAAAGTTCCAGAATGACTTCCGAGTTTTCGTGCCAAAAGTAAGAATTTTGGTTTTGGCGAAATTGATTTTGAGGGATTGGTATCACAATATGTCATGAGCCCTCTGAGCATGTTGTTTAAGCCCTGCTTGGTTAAAGACAGTATCACCATGTCGTCCGCATAGAGTAATATGGGGATCTTGAGCTGTTGTAGAGAGGGGCAGATTGATTTAGGGCCTGCATAGTTGTAACGATGTCGTTGATATAGAAATTGAATAGAAAAGGGGCCAAGAGGCAGCCCTGTTTGACCCCTTTATTCAGAGGGAAAGAATCAGAAAGAGCTCCCAGGGGGCCGAATTTTACTCTGGCCGATATGTCATTGTGAATTTCCATAAGAAGAAGGAGGATCAGAAAACATATCAACTGTGCATCTGGCAAGGATTTAGTACAATAGGCCCTCATACGGGAAAGTTCTCACATTATTTTCAACATTATAGGTGAGATTCTTTTACATGAACCTCCCTTCCAACACACCCAAAATATATTGAAGACTGTACCTCAGATGTATTATTATCTGAGAGAACAAATCATGGCTTACATTGCAGTCCTAACCTTGTCTACTTGGAATAAAATATCATTGAATTCAAATTGGTTTACTCCCAGGTAGTTGGGAATAAGCTGCAATTGAGTTTAATTGGACTTACTTCTGAAGAGACATGGTTAGGATTGCACTGTTAGTTGCTGTTTACTTTCTACTGAGTCTGTGCAACAGCACAAACCTATAATTTGGCTCACACTTCAATAAACATTTGGCTGGCATGTGCAGGTGCTAAAGGCATAGATGCACTGGTAGACATCCAGGAACAGTTAATTGATAACTCTCAGAAGCAGCTTAATAGATTTTGATTAAGGTAGTATATTTGCTTTGATTTATGTGTGTTCACTTACAGAACTCTGTAATTTTTTTGGAAGTAAAAAGTGAAGGTAGCGTAGCCATGTTGATCATAAAAAAGTCCATAGCTGGGTGAGACCTTTTTCAGGACTCACCACAAAGTCTCAAAAACATTTGCCACATTTTGTGACCATTTAACCTGGAGGTAGGCTCCACTGTGTCCAGTGGTGCTTTGTCTCAGATGAGTGCTAAAATGTAAATGGCAAGTTGAAAGAAATGTCTGTGTCATTGGGAACAAATAGAACATTTGCAAAAAGCGCTTCTGTATCTTTATTTTTAGGTGAACTTGACAGAGCAGAAGACAGATTGTTGGTGGCACGAGGAGGTGTTGGTGGATGCATGGCGACAAATTTCTTGCCCTCCAGAGGTCAAAGGCTCATGATTCACCTTGATCTCAAACTTATAGCAGATGTTGGCTTAGTTGGGTAAGTCTTTGATCTTGAAAATTGCACTCTGGAGTCATGCTCATATTTATATATTGAAGTGAATGCCCTTGTACTAGCAATATCCATGTCTGTACTATATCCACATTAAGACATATTTAAGTTTAGGGAATGTTATTCATACAGTCAGTTATCCTGCCTCCAGATTATCCTACTGTTACTTTATTGTCATAAGGCATCAGTGCTATTTTTCTAGAAAAAGAAGTACCAGAACTCACCATGAACACCTCCGCCATTCTCTTAGAATGGCAATGGCAGAAGAAACTGAGAGCAAAACCAAAGTCACAGGAGATTCTGAAAGAGATAAAGTTATACCAGGTACAATATGCGAAGCTGATGAATCAGGAAATAGAATGGAAGATTAAACAGATGAGGCAAAAGACATTTGAATCAGCAAATAAATGTGGGAAATTGTTGGCCTGGCAAATGAAAAAAGGACAAAAACTCAATACTATCACGAATTTGGAAGTGGAAGGAAAAAATATACAGAACCCAGTGGAGATTAGGAAGTGTTTCCAGAGGTATTTCAAACAACTCTATACACAGGAGAAGCAGAAAGAAATGGACATTGATCGATTCTTGAAAATAAATGGACTACATAAAATCTCACAGGAAAAACAACTAATGTTGAACTACAAAATAACGGACCAGGAGGTGGAAGGGGCTATCCAGAACATGCAGTTAGGTAAATCTCCAGGACCAGATGGTTTGACTTCAAGATATTACAGATCTTTGAAAGATTGGTTAATACAACCATTGAAGGAAGTCTGTAATGAAATATTGGAAGGAAGGAAGGCACCAGAGTTGTGGAAGGAAGCTTACATTACACTTATACCGAAAACAGAGACTGAAAAGACAGCTCAAAAACTACCGCCCCATATCATTGCTAAATGTGGATTATAAAATTTTTGCAGACATTTTGGCCAAAAGATTAAAAAAGGTGTTAGTAGAAGAAATTCATAAAGATCAAGCGGGCTTTCTCCCGGGCAGACATTTGTCTGACAATATGAGGAATATAATTAATATTTTAGAAAAACTTCAAGTGAATATTAATACCAAGGCTGTCTTGATATTTGTGGACGCGGAGAAAGCCTTTGACAACATTTCTTGGAGTTTTATGAAGAAGAAACTACAGGGGATGGGGGTAAGCCAAGGTTTTGAAAATGGTATAGGTGCAATTTATTCAGAACAAAAGGCAAAATTAATTGTGAATAATGTAGTGACAGAAGAGTTTAAGATTGAGAAAGGGACACGACAAGGTTGCCCAATTTCTCCACTGCTTTTTATATCGGTCCTTGATGTGTTGTTAAACATGATAAGAAAGGACCAAGAGGTCAAAGGTATACAAGTGGGAGTTAAACAGTATAAACTGAAAGCATTTGCTGATGATTTAGTATTGACCCTACAGGAACCAGAATCTAGTACAAAAAGGGTATTGGAACTGATTCAAGAATTTGGGCAAGTAGCAGTTTTTAAGCTGAATAAGATGAGAACTAAGGTTTTAGAGAAAAAAATTAACTGTAAATGAGAGAGAGAAATTTCAGGAAGAGACAGGACTAAGATTGGTTAAGAAAGTGAAATATTTAGGGGTTAATATGACTGCTAAAAATGTAAATCTATTTAAGGATAATTATGAAAAATGTTGGATTGAAGTGAAAAAGGACTTAGAAATATGGTCAAATCTGAAGTTATCATTGTTAGGCCGAATTGCTGTGATAAAAATGAATGTGCTGCCAAGGATGTTGTTCTTGTTTCAAACATTACAAATTTTGGATAAGATGGATTGTTTCAAGAAGTGGCAGAAAGATATTTCCAGATTTGTTTGGCAGGGCAAGAAGCCTCGAATAAAATTTAAGATATTAACTGATGCTAAAGAAAGAGGTGGATTTGCCCTGCCAGACCTAAAACTCTATTATGAATCAGCTGCTTTTTGTTGGCTGAGAGAATGGCTGCTACTTGAAAACACTGATGTGTTGGACCTAGAAGGTTTTAATAATGTATTTGGTTGGCATGCATATTTGTGGTACGATAAGGTAAAAGCACATAAAGCGTTTAAAAATCATATTGTCAGAAAAGCATTGTTTAATGTATGGATAAGATATAAAGATTTGTTAGAAAAGAAAACCCCAAGATGGTTGTCACCAATGGAAGCGAAGGCACAGAAAAAACTCAATATGGAGGCCAAATGGCCGAAATATTGGGAAATTCTGGAACAAGAGGAGACAGACAAAAATTGCAGAGCTTTGAAAAATTGAAAAATAAAGTGCGAGATTGGCTCCATTATTATCAAATAATGGAGGCATATAATTTGGACAAAAAAGTTGGTTTCCAGGTGGAAAAATCAAAATTGGAAACAGAATTGCTAGATTCCAAAATTAAGAATTTGTCAAAAATGTATAACTTGCTGTTGAAATGGAACACTCAGGATGAAACGGTGAAATCAGCTATGATTAAATGGGCACAAGATGTTGGATATAATATAATGATGGCTGACTGGGAACAGTTATGGACCACAGGTATGAAATTTACGGCATGTAATGCCCTAAGAAAAACTTAATGAAAATGATTTATAGGTGGTACATGACACCAGTCAAGCTTGCAAAAATTTACCATTTGCCTGAAAATAAATGTTGGAAATGTAATGAGACTGAAGGCACATTCTTTCACCTTTGGTGGACATGCCCAAGGATTAAGACATTCTGGGAGATGATTTATAATGAAATGAAAAAGGTATTTAAATATACCTTCTTGAAGAAACCAGAGGCCTTTCTCCTGGGCATGGTCGGCCAATTGGTGCCAAAGAAGGATAGAACGTTTTTTATGTACGCAACAACAGCAGCAAGAATACTCATCGCGAAGTATTGGAAGACACAAGATTTGCCCACCCGGGAAGAATGGCAGATGAAGTTGATGGACTACATGGAACTGGCGGAAATGACTGGCAGAATCCGAGACCAGGGAGAGGAGTTGGTGGAAGAAGATTGGAAAAAGTTTAAAGACTATCTACAGAAATATTGTAAAATTAATGAATGTTAGAAAAATGTTGAAATGAAGTTATATGGCTTTAGTAGAAATATTATAAGGAATTAAGTACAGATAGGTTAATAGAGTATTAAAGGAAAAAATAAGGTTAGAATGAGTTAAGATAATTATAGGATAGAAAACAGAGGAAGATGGAAAGGAATTGCTGAAATAATTAACAGAAGTGGAATACAAAAAGGGAGGTGTGAGGAGGTCGTGGAAATAAGTGAATGAAAGATGGGATAATGAAATTGTTTGATTTATTTTAGTGTCTTTGTCTTGTTTTGTTAATTTGATGTGTTGTATTGTTTTTCTTTTCTTTTTTTCTTCTTTTTTTAGTGTTTTTGGAAAATATAATAAATATTATTTAAAAAAAAAATAGAATGGCAATGGCACCCACCAGAGAGGTGCCGGAACTGAGTTCCTGTGAGTTCCCCCTGAGAGAGAAAAAAGCCCTGCAGTGCATGATGTAACTACAGTTGCAGCTCTTGCCTCACTTCTTTCTGGTTTAATGTGTGAAGTTGAACTTTTATTCAGGCTTTGCCCAACAGCAAATGGAAGCTTTATAAGGAACTGGTGGGTGCTCAAAACAGTGCCACATAAATACTATTGCCTTTGTGATATATCTGTATACCTCTCCCACCCACCACCTAATTCTACTTCAAATTTCAGGGTGGTTTGTTCTCTCCCCCCCCCCCCTTATAGATGAGGTAAGGAAAGAATAATTTCAAACACCTTATTTCACTCAGTTGTTGAGTGAGTCTCTGAAAGCTTGTTCTTTTGATCTCAGTCTGAGTTTGGTTTTTTTAATATTTCAATATGTACATAAGTGCTTTATCATTAGATCACAGACATGGAAAAAGATTTGAGAAACATTAGGCTGAGATACACTGAAAGTCAGACAGCATCCCTGTATACATTTCAAAGAGAGTACAGCTACTTCTGATCTAATAAAATCATTCCTGAAGAAGTATGATAACTTTTGAAATGGCTCTTGAGGCATTGCCATTACTCCAATAGTATCTTGAAAGAGCACCCTCCCCCTATCTCATTAGTCCAATGTAAGGTATCAAAGTATTTATTCTATTACTGGTTTTTGTTTTCTGGTTATAATCATTAAGAATGTGATAGCGGAGCAATTGTTCTTTCATAAATGCATATTTGCAAAATGGTGCTTAAAAGCTTAAACAGTTGCACAATGTGGAGTGTACTTATTTTGAGACTTACTTAAAAATAAAAAGGAACCAGATTTTTGGAAGGTGGGGGGAGAATAGCAAAGCAATTTTTTCTTGCTCCACCCCCCCCCAACCAATCCTGTCAACTCAGTCTTCCCTGTAATATAAGGTGGGTTCTTCCCATTGTGAGTATAGAGCATATAGTTCTGTTAGGGACTTATAGGAACATTGGCTAAATGCATATTTGGGGCACACACTGATTCGCTTTAAGGGGGGAAATTAGCATTTAAAGGCAGCTTTTGTGCTTGGTGCTTTTTCTAGTATGTATGGAATCTATTCCACCCTCAGAGTAGCCCACTTCTAAGAAGTTTTCTCTTCACTTTAAACAAAATTCACTTGAGTAAAATGCATTTTAAAACTTGAAAGTGGTTTTATTCTTCTGTCAACTACATACTGATATGAACACTAAATAGATTTTTTTTCATCCCCCACCCCAGGTTTCCAAATGCAGGAAAATCCTCTTTGCTAACCAAGATTTCTCATGCTACACCTCAGATAGCAGATTATGCCTGTAAGTAATTTTCCATGTATTAGTGTTTGCACCCTGCTCTTAAATGCAATGCTTGCAATAGAAACACTTTGACTCTAGGAGCCATCTTCCCCCTGTCTCTGACAACAGTCTCTTGCAATGCCCTGGGGACAGGTGTGTGTGTGTGTATGTGTGTGAGAGAGATCTTGAGTATGGGCAGAGGCTGTCCGTAGATGAACTGCCCCTCCTGAATGAGAGCTCAGTCTTTCAGCTACAAAGTTTTCAGAGTATAATTGCAGCGAGCTATGATACCGTCCCTCAAGTGTTTTCCAGTATTTAATAAGAATTTCTCTGCATTGAGTTTTCTATATATCTTCTGATGTGAGCAACTTTAAATGTTTGGGAAGGACTTCTGCTATCACTGCCTGTCTAGCATTCAAGAGATTGCTTCTGAGAAAGCAAGAGTGTTCCATCTTTTGACTGAGAGTAAACAAGTGTGTTGGGCATATGAGCCAGGGGTAAAATTCCAAAGTACATCACAAAGCAGGGCTCATTTTTCCTTACTTTTCGCAGTTACGACGATAAAACCTGAACTTGGAACAGTCAAGTATGCTGATTTTAAACAGGTTGGTTTCCAAAAGTAAGATCTGCATTAAATGTGTGGTTGTGGAGAAATCGTATTTTGGTTACGTTATGAGACCCCAATTTTCTTAACTTACAAACTGAAACCAATACTTCAAGGAGAGCAGGCTGTTGACTTGTTTTCTAAGAAACGGTGGTATCCTGAGATAGCTCTGGCATCTGTGCTCCTTCAGTTTCAATATATTTCCTTCAGATGGCTGTGTCTGTCTTAAGCAATATCTGTATCCAGATAAACAACCCTTTCGAGCCACATTTACCTAATTTTTAGGACATTGAGAGAGGCCGGACACCAAGTGTGACCCATTAGACCACTCTGTGCTTTACAATACTAAATACTGTAACATGATGCATTACCTAAAATAATGCTCCATGCGGCATTATTTATTGCTGTTCAGCAGCTGAGAGTGATCTACTGTAGAGTACTAAACATAAGCCTGTTAAAATAATTTTAAAAATTGCCTGTGTTTGTTCAGAAAGATTATTTTTTCCAAATATGAGGTCCGTTATCCATGCTACTAAGTTTTGATGAAGAATTAAGGACTATGTTCATTCATGAGTCTTCCAAACTTTTGATTGCACACAACCTAATTTTGACTTTGATGTGTAGAACTCTAGCTGGCACATGAGAGCAATCAAAGACATAAGATGAAAGCATTTTATCATTTTGGAGTTCACAGATGCAAAATGAGTAAAATTGCTTTTTCTCCTTCCTGGAACCAGGGTGTAGAGGGCTTGTCTGACGATGCTTTAATCTTTCTCTAAATAAAGTGTATTACATGGATAAGAATCGCAGCATTACTGCTAAAGATTATATTTTCCCCCTGTACTTTAAAAGAACTTCAAAATAACATTAAGCATCTGTACAAGACTCTTAAAAATTGCTTGGAGATTTGTTTGTTTTTTTACAATCAAGCAGTGTATAAATTTTATGAAACGAATATATAAACAAGCATTGTAGTTCCTAGCTGTCCTTTTTTACCATAGCAGGCGTAAAATTAGAATTGATGGGAAATAATTTTGATCCTTATCCCCCACCACCCAAAATGTAATATATGTTAAGTTTTGAGTCTTGCAAATTAGTTGATAATTGCTTGATTCTTCAAAGTGTGGGAAACTCTTCAGTTCTCAGAATACAGCATGCAAAAATATTCCCTTGACTTCTGAATATATTAGAAGATCAAGCGTGGTGTTTTCTATTGTAAGGTTACCAGATGTCCCTGTTTCCCGGGGACAGTCCCCGGATTTGCAAATCAGTCCCCATACAGAATCTATTGAAGATGAAAAGTGTCCCCGGATTCATTGAAAAAAAATCTGGTAACCTTATTAAGCACCCAAATGAGCATGCTATGTTTATACAAGTAACGGTTCAAGCCCGAAGCATAGTTTGGTTACTAATGAATTGCATGCTTGCATGTTCCCTCTTCTCCTGTATGGGTCTTCCCTCTCTCTATTTAACCATAACCAAAATAGGATGTGTTGTCTCAATTGGTAAACTATGCAGTAGTGGCCTGTGCAGAGCCGTCCCCCAGTTCTGACGTCACTGCAACTTACCTGGATGGGACTTGTGGGTGGCGTTGGAGGCAGAGCTGCAGTGAAGTCAGGGTTACCACCCCCTGCCCTGTTCCAGCCCTTTCCAGGTAAGCTGCAGAGATTGCAGGGTCAGGATGATGGCTGTGCACCACCACATGGGCTACTGCTGAAACTATGGCTAGAGTTTTCCCTCACAACCAGAATCAGAAAATATGTGTGGAAGTGGCAAACTATGGGTGGCGCTAAACAGGAGAAGGAAAAGCTGCACACAAGAGGAGAGAGGGAACATGCATGCCATGCATCATTCACAGCCTTCCAAAACATACCTTTCAGTGTGCGAGGAGAAGCTTACTTTTAAATCAGATAATTCTAATGGAAACTTAGTGTTAAGGTTGGAGAAAACATTTTCAAAGGGGAAAATTTTGATCCTGCAGCAAGAATACAAAACTCACTTGCTGTGGTCACGTTAGTCTGTTTTTTTCTGGGTGGGGTCAAGAATTAATTGACTTGCCATTACTAGTTCCTGCAAAACTGTGGGTCATTCCCAACCTTACATTTATGTGACTGATTAGAACTTGTATCCTGCTCATGACTGCAATACTTCATTTTGTCGTCGTCCCCACCCAGAAAAGAAAGGCTAGTTGAAGACTTATGAAGGGGGGAGTTCTGCTCCATAATGTAGCTTGGGACTAGATATATGAGGGAGTCTTCAGGTAGTTTTTTCAATGGTTCAGCCAGATAACGTGCCACTTTCAGTCTCTTCTAGTAGTTAAGGCTTTTTGCCTAATTCAAGGCATTGGTCTCTAATGGAGAGGCTGTAACCATTTTTTAAAAATCGATGTGACCCAAATGATGATGGGATCTTTTGTGAAAGTCTAATCTTTCTTTCCCTCCTAGATCACAGTTGCTGATCTTCCAGGACTGATTGAAGGTGCACATGCAAATAAAGGAAGAGGACACAAGTTTCTAAAGCATGTGGAAAGAACCAAACAGCTCCTCTTTGTTGTAAGAACATGGTGTAGCTTAGCTTTTTATTTGACATCTTTAAAGTCTGCTTTTAATTTAGGCTTTGTTTTGCCGAAGAAGTAACCTGGGGGTGCCTGTTCATTACATCATGCCATAGCTTTGCTAATATTATAAATGAAAATTTAACATATAACATGGATAGCTGCATAGCTCAGTTGGTTAGTGTGTGGTGCTGACATCACCAAGGTTGCAGGTTCAGTTCCCGTAAGGGACAGCTGCATAGTCCTGCCTGGACACAAGTCTGGGAAGTGTGTGTGGAGGTCCTTGGGTGTCCAGATGACAAGACCCCACCTCTCTCAGCCTTGCTGGTGTGTTCCAAAGGAAAACATAGCAATATGTTTGGCACCAGCTTGACTGTGGGTGTTGCCAGAAGGAAGCACACAAGATGCCACCTAAATGTCTTAAGGACTCCACTCCTAATTTGTGTAGGGTTTATTCCTTAGCCTTTTCTTCTCCCGAAGATATCCTGCAAGGCAGCGGAGGAGAGACAGTAACAGAACACTTAAAACTAAGCAAACAGATTGTTTCTGTGAATTGGAAACTGTTCAGATATAGCAGAAAGGATGCTATTTTGGGGGCAGAAATGTTTTGTGTATAACAGCCACCTCACTGCCATCACTCCCACGCTGCCTGTCATCTTCATGGTCTCTTGGAAAGTGAAGGATAATCATGTGAGAAAGCATTTGATTGTCTGATTAAAAAAAAATGTCAATCTTTCAGGTTGATGTAGCTGGGTTTCAGCTTTCTCCTACAAGCCCATTCAGAACAGCCTTTGAAACTGTAATACTACTTGCAAAGGTAAGTGTACTGATTCTTTTATATACCGGCATGATTTGTGCATATTGCAACACGCATGTTCTGACATGAGAGACCTAATTAAGATTTTATTTGAAATGTTTACTTGAATGGCACACCTATTAAAGCTACAAACTTGCTAACTGTATCCAAGATGTTTGAGATTTGGAAGTTTCCCATTACTTCTAGGGAGAGCTGCTAACATAGTGTTTGTCACTTTGTTTTTCACTAACTCCATTTTCATCTGTATGGTGGAAATTTCTCCGGTTCAGAAGGCAGTGAGAAGTCAAGCAGTTTAGTCTTCAAGATTGCTTCCTGTTGTCAAATAGAAAACACGTAGCTAACAAAATTTGTGATGCAGATTAACAGTTGTGAATTCCAATTGTACTGTCTCTTAGGAATTTATACCTGAGAGGCTCATGTGCTCCCAAGTGTATGCTGTCACATTTATATTGGCTTCATGTGCTTATTCCGCATGAGAATATTCACTGGACAGCTATGGTTTGATTTATTATATTTCTATGCTGCTTTTCATTCAAAGGAATCCCAAAGCGGCTTAGAAACAACGTATAATAACGTGATAGAACTTAATAAAACATCACAAATACAACATAAATAATGCAAAATAATTAACAAATAATCAGTGAAACAATTACAACCTATAAAGCTCCGTTAACAAAACAACTAAAAAAAAGTTAAACATCTAAATCAAAGCAAGTTATATGATTAATAACTCACTGCAGCATTTATAATCTAGAAAACAATATTAACAACATCAACAAAATAGCAGTCAAAAATAAACTAAGCACTGTTAAGTTCATACACACACTCCACACACCCATGACTCATAATTTTTTCACTCTATTCAGGTCATTAAAACTACGTGTACACATAATGCCCATGGCAACAACTCCCTTCTGAAGGTTCCTCAGTGGCTCCCGCCTTGTGGAACACCCTCCCATTAGATGTCAAAGAGATAAACAACTATCTGACGTTTAGAAGACAGGCAGCCCTGTTTAGGGAAGTTTTTAATGACTGATGTTTTAATGTATTTTTAATCTTTGTTGGAAGCTGCCCAAAGTGGCTGGGGAAACCCAGCCTGATGGGCGGGGTATGTATGTATGTATGCATGTATGTATAAATTATTATTATTATTATTATTATTATTTATTATTATTATTATTCCTCGGGCTGGAGGTAGGGCAGCACAGATGAAACCAACTACCCCCTGATGGCAAGCAGAGTCTTTCTCCTCTCACAGTTCTTCCTCTGGAAACAGCTCCATTATGAAGGCATCTAGGACTGGAGCATGGGGCAAGACAGGAGGGAGAAGCCAGTCATGTGATGCAGTCATGTTTTCTATTTAAATGGTGGTTGTGTATTATTATTGTGTACACATGGTAGACAGTAGTAATCAGTAATGTGTGACAGGTTAAACGTACCTTCATGCTCCCCTTGATTTTGCCTCTGGGCCTGCTCACACCTGTCATGTGGTCTTGAGAGGTTGTTTAAAAGGGAATGTGGCCCTCCCTGCTCTGGTTTGCATATGTATTCTGTAGTAATTAAGAGTTAAATGAAAAGGCTTGTATAAAGCCAAATACTTTCAACGACAATATTTTACAAATGGAAATGACTTATGTCGCAGGAGCTGGAACTATATAAAGAAGAACTTCGAACTAAATCTTCACTTCTGGCTGTTAATAAAATGGATTTGCCTAATGCGCGAGAAAAATTGAATGAGTTAATGGAACAACTGCGGAGTCCTCAAGGTGAGATACTTACTGTACAGCTCCTTTTTTAAGATAACATATTCGCATATCTTTGATATACAGCAAGTAGTGAGTTTTCATTACTGCAAAAGAAGAAACATTTTTTAGTATATTGATTGTATTTTAAAGTAAAATACCGTATAACCAAACTATGTTGTCTTTCATACTAACCTAGAACTGTAATGATGCTAAAATGCTAGTGTCATAGAATTGTAAAGGAACTGTGAGAGTCAATCTAGTCCAGCCCCCTGCAATGCAGGAATATTTCACCCAACGTGGGGCTTGACCCCATAACCCTGAGGTTAAGAGACTCATGCTCTACCAACTGGGCTATCCAGCAGATAAGAGCCTTAGAAGAAGAATGGAATGCAAGCCAGTCATCTCTTCTGTAAGTAAATGCAGTTAGGAAGTCTTCTGGGCCAACAGCCACATCTATTGTTGTCTCCTAACATCTTGGCAGTCCAAAAACCAATTACCCTGACTTCCTTGGAATGGAATATCTTCAAACAACTCTGCTACTGCTGTTACATCAGGCATCTATTTAACTGAAATCCATCCATAGCAAATTTTATACTGGCTTTATACTATGTGTAGTAACTCTAATTATATATATATATTTCAGATTATATGCACACTCTTCCAAAAAATATGATTCCAGAAGTCATTGTCAACTTCAAAGAGATCATCCCTATATCTGCACACTCTGGTGAAGGAATTGAAGAACTGATCATGTGTTTAAGAAAAGTACTAGATGAAGAATCTGAGAAGAAGATTGAAGATCATCAGAACCAGCAGCTTCGTGCAATGAGGAGCTCAGAAATATAGCAATTTCTTAACACACACAAACTATTATATAATATTAAGACATGAATCTTTGCAGGCCTCTGAACACAACTGAGTTTGTGGCAAGCCTGTATTTACACACACTTTCAGGTCAACCATTTGAAAAAGAAAAGAGAGTATGTTATTTTCCAGTTTCTGTAAAATACAGAAAAGTGTATCATGATCTTTTACAACAAGTCTTCAAGTTGCACAACCCTCTTAATTAAGTTGTAGAATATATTTCAAAGGATGTAAATAAACATGTAATTTTATATAAAGATAATAAGGAATTCCTTTTGTTATCGTTTACTAGAGATTTCAAGAGTGGCATCCTTCCATCAGTGCGGGAGAAGAACGTATAAAACTACATGTGTTTGCTTTCCTGAAATATTTTGGGCAGAAATATTTAAAATCACTAAGACTGTAAAGTGATTTATCAGTAGCAGTGCTAAGTTGAAGCATGGCAATGACATAGTCTCTATCCTGGATGCCCCAAAGACGAACAGAGGAAAAGGGAAGAGATAAATGAGTTAGACAACAGTGGCAAAAATGGGGTCTGGAAATTAACATAGTGGCTGGCAAAGAATGCCTTTTAGTGGAACAGACATGTAAATGGTGAATGTTTGTCACTTCTACAGCCATAGATAATCGAAGATAAACAAAACTCAAATTTTGCACTACGGAATTACACATTCTTGATCAGAATAAATTATGTCTGCCTAAATTAGACTGAACTCACCTCTTTTGAGCAGGGACACTAAAAATGGTTGATTAGAGATGGCTGCAACTGAATTGGAAAGGAAGCAAAGGCCACTGATTCTTCCCATATAATCAGATCAGCTTTGGGATGGCTTCCTAATATGGTCCTCAATAATCTACTGCAATGATGCCCAAGGAATAAATAGCACTGGTCCTGGTTTCCCTCCTGCTTCCTTGCACATTTCCTCACCTAATATGGCTACTGCCAACCTTCACATTAAAAATAAACAGATCACAGGAAAATGAGGCTTTTAAAGCAACAATGATGAAACCATGTTTGGAATGCTTTGGTGTATAGATTGACTTCCGGGTTGGCACCTCTGGCAATGGCGGATTTCCTCTGATCGGGAGGAATCCGCTCCGTGGAAAACAGGATCTGAACCGCCACGGCGAGGCGGAGACCCATTAAAAACCACAGGCGGGAGAAGCCTGTGGACGTGGGATTCGGCTGGCACCTTTGCGCCTCCCCTACTCGCGGGGAAACCCTGTTTTGGGGATCCGGAGCGACATGGGGTGAGTGGCGCGGTGCTTTGAATTGACTGCTTCTTTCACGGAGTGAAGCCGCATTGCTGTTGCCGGAGAGCGCTGACTTTTTCCTGTGGACAATTGGACTTTAAACAACTACTTGTGAGTAAAACGGAAAATTGGATTCTTAAATACTTTAATTTGGCACTGAAACGGGAAGGTTATAAACAGGAAGTCCGCCTCCCGTTTTTGTAAATAGACTGAAGCAAAGACGTTACAAGTGAAAGCCTTTGAAAGCTTTTGGCAAAGGATCAAATTTCCACCGGTTTAAAATACAAAACCCCCCTTGGAAGTAGGAGAAGGGGAAATTTTGGATCTAGTGAGCCTGCAGGAGAGAGTGAAAAAATCAAATTACCACTGCTCTGAACCTGGGAACGGGCTGCCGATGACGTTTGGAGAGAGTGCTTTTGACAGAATGGATTTGACAGCTAGCTAAACAAGAGTAAGATACTGTTTCCATTGTCCTTTTCTGCGTTTAAAAAAGAGGAAAAGTAACTGAAAATTTATCTTTAATGCTTGAGCTGCGTTTGAAAGAACTGATACAAGTGGAGACTGTTTCCCTCTAGAGGGAGCTTTTGAAACTGTTACAGGAATATAACTGGGGGATTTCCAGTTGCAGATAAGGATTCTGAGAACCAGAGAGCGACCTTGGACTATTTAAAAATGTTGACAGGAGAGGCCATTGTAACTGTTTTATGTAAGATAAGCTGTTCGCTGGGACAGCTTCACAAGAAGATGGATGACATGACTTTCAAAGTTGATAATTTGGAACAGAAAGTGACCGAACACCAACACAGAAATAATTCAGGACTTGGTACAGGAACCCATTTTGGCAGGACAAATGGTGGAGGAGAAGGAGAATGCTGCTGTTGTTGAACATAAAATAATACAAGTGAGATCTGTGGTTTTACAGAAGCAAACTGAGGACTATAAGTTGAGGCCTTCTATGATTGGATCTAGGAAAAGTCAGACTCCGAGGAATAGATCCCGGCTTGGATTAAAGAAGGAAAGTTGGAAAGAGCCCTCTATGCAGGGATTAACTGACTTTTGGGACATGGACTCGGGCCTGGAGGAGATTGAAGTTTTGGGGGCCTTTGGAATTGGAGGAATTTTGAAATATACCCGGAAATACTTTATGGACTGTAGCTTTAACTATGGAAATTTAGCTGATCTGTTCAGAAGGAAGAAAAGGATTGACAGGCTGGAGTTTCCCCGAGATTTGCTCTTTAGCATTAAAGAAAATGAAGAAGACCTGCAGAAGGGACTTGGAAAAGAGTTAAGAGCCTCAGACATAAGATCACCAGGTTGATGGACTTTATGGAATTGACGGAAAGGACTGGCAGAATCCGAAACCTGGGAGAGGAAATGGTGGAAGAAGATTGGAAAATTTAAAGTTTATATATAGACTTATGGTAAAACTAATGAGTGATAGAAAAATGGTGGAATGATTTTTTATTTTATTTTTTATTGGCTTAACAGAAATGTTATAAGGAGTTAAGCATATATAAGTATTTTAGTTTTAATGGAAAATAAGGTTAAAAAATACGTTATTTACAATATCACAGAAAATGGAGAAAGATGGAAAGGATTTGCTGAAACAATTAATAGAAGTGGAACACAAAAAGGGAGGTGTGAGGAGGTCGAGGGAAACAAGGGAATGAAAGATAGAGTATGGAAAAGAGACTGTATGTTTTTAAATTGTTTTTGTTTTGTTCTATTCAGGGTTAAGGTTAGGGAGTGGGGTTTGTTTAGTTTAGCTTAATGTGTTTAGTTTTGAGTTTAGGTTGTGTTTTGTATTGTTTATATATTGTATTGTATTGTTTTTCTCTTTTGTTTTTTCTTCTGTTTTTTTTGTTTGCTTTTTTCTCTCTCTTTGTAATCTATAAAAGTAATAAATATTATTTTTTTAAAAAAGGAATGCTTTGGTGTATAATACATATGAAAGCTAGCAGCTGGGTTCCAAGTGAAATTCTACTTGTGTGGGTGTAAGATTGTACTGTAGTGTGGGAATTATTGGTAGTAATAACAAATTTATTACTTATACTGGGTTGCCCCAGCCACTCTGGGTGGCTTCTAACATATCCTCTCTCTTCTCTCTCCCCACCCCTGTCAAGTTGTATCAGAAACAGCCTGGGAGGGGGACTCTGACAAGAATAATAACCCCACGTCCCCTTGAAGAACGTGCTTAGCTGGTTATGTCGTGTCATGGAATTTGGCTGCTATTTTGCTGCTTCAGATTTGAGTTTCCAGGTCAGACTCACAGGTGGATAGTGATAGCCAGGTCTTAAAAGCCGCCTTCTCAAAATGCTGTAGCTGAGCCTTTTTAAGAAAACACAGTTTTGAGATCAGGCATCCATTATTATGCTTTAGGGGAAAGCTGGACACGCAATTCTTAAAAAGAGAGGCAGAGAATATATAGATTGCGCAGCAGCTGGCATATTCAAAAGGGTAGGAGAAAACTGATAACCAAGAAGCGTCTGAAGAGATGCATTGCTGTCTTCCGGAATCAGTTCCTGTCCAGAAACGCGTGATGGAGCTGGAGAAAACAACTTGAAATACAATCAGAAAGAGGAAGCACCCGGAACAATAGAGTAGGAAGAGCGATCCCTGGGAATTGTAGTCTTTAGAGAGGAAGGTGAAACGAAGAGCATTGCAGGCGAAGACTACAATCCCAGAAGCCTTTGGGCACACCTGGAAAAGGCAGCCGCTTCCTGAAAAGCCGAGAGTGGGAATCCTTAGCGTCAACAAGAGGGGGAAGAGAAATTGGATGCTTGAAAATTAAGTCCCTCGAGCGTGGGAAGGGGGTGAGTACGGTGGAGATAATCTCTCCTTCTGCATTTATTTATATGTGAGCCATTGCTCCTTCCAGAGAGGCTGGATTTCATTAGAATCATACGTCACTACGGACCGATAAGGTGTAATTTCCATTGAAATAGATGGGATTTACTTCGGCGTAGATGTATTTTAACAGCACAGTCCTATGCATATCTGCTCAGAAAGAAGTCTCAGTGACTTCAATGGGGCTTACTCCCAGATAAGTATTAGAATACACCCTAAAGATTGATGACATGAACATATAAACACCTGGCGTGAAATATTGCCTTTAAAAATAAATGAATGAATTGGTCCTTCTCTGATACTCTGGTTTGGGGTGAACACTCGAACATGGGGCGATCAATAGGAGATTCCGGGCAGCGCAAAGGAAGTGGTTCTTCAAACAACCCATAATTATTTTGTGGGATCTGCTGCAGCCTGCTTGATACGGCGGTGGCTTCTATCTCAGATTGTTTTAAAAGGGGATCAGAAATATTCATGGAAGAAAAAATTACCAGTGGCTGCTATTCATGATGGCTATATGCAGCCTTCAGGTTTTTGAGTCAGTACGCCTCACCAGTTGCTGGGAATCACAAAAGGGGAGAGTTCTCGTGTCCTGCTTGTGCGATTCATGTGCTTGATCACTGTGGACACTCAATTGAACAGACCTTTGTTCTGATCCAGGTCTTCTTACGTTCTTCTCTTTGTGTTTGTATTTCAAATGGTTTGATACTTATTATGCCCTGAGTCACAGTTTAGCCCACACACTGGGGCTTGCTTGTGAGTTGTTCCATCTCTTTAGTCATCATTAGTAACGCAAGCAAAGTGACTGTCTTTTTATAGTTTCTGTACAGTGTTTTTGAAGGTTTCAAAACGGTGATTACAATCGGCTTCTCACCTTCCTTGAGTGCGATAACCCATAATTGAAGGTGAAACAGTTCATTTGCTGGCCACAGTATAACCAGTATAAACATCACGTTATGTTCAAATACACTTATCACAAGTGTTGACCCAGTTATTAGCACATAAATGAATCAATGCAAGTCATATGTGGTTCTCGCTACATTCTCAAATTGATCTTGCATCCTTCTAATTATGAACTATGGTGATTAAACCCAAGCTCAGCTTGTAAAGCCTTCCCCAGCTTTGAAGGGATGGAAAAAACTTAACCTGTTGAATTTCTTCTTGTGTAACTGTTAGAGATGCATGATCCTTGCCAGATAAAAATTGGCAACTGTACTATGTTTTTACAAGTTAATATTAAGCACTGACTTTTCATATTTAAGGTTAGATCTTACATGTAGAGGGTAGCAGGTGGTACCAAATGCACAATTAAGTGCACGTCTGCAGTGCATATATACAACACTCCACGCAGTCAGGAATGCTGAAGAAATACGGTTTCTGATCACCTGGAGTGTTGCCTACACGTGTATGAGAAGCACAACATAGATGTGAATTTGAGCACCTCAGGTGAAGTCTGCAGCCTCCCTTTGTACATAAATGACTTGCACATGCAGAAGATCCGAGCCAGGCTTGTATCTCATAAAAAAAGTATTACTCATCTGTACAACACTTTTGGGTGCAGAGTGTTCTGCAATGCTGTCATGTGCCCTTAGGATAGGTATTGAGGAGCAAAGGTAGAAAAATAGCAAAACTTTTCTCTTTTGAAGACTCATAGGAAGAAATGTAACACTGTCATAGTTTGGGAAGAGTTGAGTATGAAGATGTGTTGATGGAACTCCTTCCTACAGGCTTAGCACTTTTGGAGGTCAACTATTACTGAATATTCCCCTGTGTAAAAAACTGGTATTGTGCAATAAGGGGAGCTGGCTCCATACATGTTAACGCTGAAGAATTCATCTTGGCCCCTGTTCCTTTTGTCCAATCTCTATAGCAGTGATTCACTCCTACATGTTAATTGTGACGATAACGAAGGGTTTTGAAGTGCTTTATATAAGTGAAGACTAGTTTGTTATATCTATTGTAGTTGTATTTTCTCCAGAATTAATTTGTTGTTCCCCCCCTAGATCTATTAGAATTGTTCTACTACTTGCAAGAGTTCTGCTGTTATTCTGGATTTGGTTAAATCTCTTGGTAAGTTTGTTCTTCTAACCCTTTAGAACAGGGGTTCCCAAATTGGTCTGAGTTTATTTTTTTAAAAAAAACATTTTTATTTGATTTTTCCAATACAAAATTAAAAAAATAAAAATCCAACTACATATCCATATACAGAGATTTCTCTGAATCTCAGGACTTCCCCCAGCCCCTTCCCTGTAGCTCTGATTTAAATATTTAAAACTGCATCTTCTTCCAAACTCTAACTTTTATATCAATCCATATTGTCCATGGTAACTGTTACACCACAAGTGAAATCTGGTCTGAGTTTCAGTCATGTGGTCTGTGGCCGTCTGTGGATTTCTGACTGAAGATGGGAGATGACATATCAATCCCCTTAAATATTTGTGGTGATTTTTATTTGTATTGCTTCTTTTACGTTGTATTTTATTTTTATTACAAGTTGAATTCTGTGGAATGCAATAAAATACAAAATATAAAAAAGAAGCAGATACAAATACAATTAAAAACCATACAGCATCTAGCACAATGGCTACACCAGGCAGAAAAATAATTGTCACCCACCAATACCCTCAGCAAATTTCAAATGGTCCATGAGTGGAAAATGTTTGGGAAATGCTGCTTTAGAAAGAACTTCTCCCAACATGCAACTGAAGGCATATTAAGACATTAATCTCTGATCATACATAATAAGTGCTGGTGTCTGTAAAGACTTATTCTCAGCTTAGATCTTTATCAACTTAATTTGATCCTTATCAGCATGCAAAAGACTCAGTATTATGGTTGCAGGGTCCCTCCCCTCTTCACACACATTATTAAATAAGCATGAAACCTAGCTATAACCTAACTATAGCTGGATAGTTTGGTGAAAGGCCTAGGTACACCGGATCCCCTTTGCTATACCAGCTACGCCTGCTGTTTTTTAATTACCCACAAGTAGCTTCTGATTCTGAAAAAAAGTATTATTTAATAAGAGTGGCCCATTGGAGCAGAGCCTCCTGCACAACCCAAGTGCCAATGTGCCTTCTTCAGAATTCAGTTTAATTTATATTTCAAGACTGTCAGTCATTTCTGCCTCATTATGGTTAAAAAAAGGGGTCGATCAGAATATTTCTTTATTATTTCTTTATCTCATACAATTTATAGACTCATTTATTATGATTTTTTTTAAAAAACGATCACAGCGGTTTACGAACAGAGTAAAACAGTAAAATTATCGTAAAAACAGCTATTCAGATAATAAATCTTGATGATTTAGTAAAGTTTTTTACCCCCCAGGAGGCATTTTTGTTGGCTAAGATGGGTTGCCGTGATGTCCATGCTGCGACAGTCCTCGCCTTCCTTTCTGGTACAGCTGCCTTATCTGGACTTATCGCCGCGGCTCTGCTGCCTAACTGGAGACAGATGCGACTCTTCACCTATAACAAGAATGAGAAGAATGTCACCGTGTACACTGGGCTCTGGATTAAGTGTGTTCGCTTTGATGGCAGCAAAGACTGCGTCATCTACGATACCGAGTGGTACACAGCAGTTGACCAGCTGGACTTACGCGTCCTCCAGTTTGCTCTCCCCATCAGCATGTTAACCACTGTCTTGGCTCTGTTTCTCTGTTTGATCGGCATGTGTAATACCGCCTTCATAACCACAGTGCCCAACATCAAGCAGGCCAGATGTCTCATAAACAGTGCGGGCTGCCATCTTGTGGCCGGCCTCTTCTTTCTTCTTGCATGTGTCATTTGCCTGACGCCATCTATCTGGGTCATCTTTCATAACCAAGAACTGAACAAGAAATACGAACCAGTTTTTTCCTTTGACATCTCTGTGTTTATTGCCATTGCCAGTGCAGGAGGCTTACTGTTTACAGCCATCCTCTTATTCCTTTGGTATTGTGCATGCAAAACGCTTCCTTCCCCTTTCTGGCAGCCTCTGTATCCTCATGCACCCAGTGTGCATAGTTACGCCTCCCAACCTTATTCTGCACGGTCACGCCACTCTGCCATTGAAATTGACATTCCGGTTGTCACACACGCTTCCTAAATGATAAGCTGGAGAAGCCAAGTACCTGCTCGTTCTCTCCTTCGCCAAGGCACTGCAGGTGAAGTGTTTTCCCCATTCCCTCAGAGACATCTAAAAATGTTTTACAAGGCTAGGTGGGAAAAAATTGCTATTGTAACTTGATAGCTTTTCCAATTTCTCTATCTAGGAATACTGCGGAGATAGGAATGTAGTTACGTAAGCGAGCCATAATATTAGAATTCTACTTGTTTTGGTATTGAAGCTGTTCACAAGTTTCTAGTTCTCATTAAAACTGGTGGCGTGTGAATTCATAGGTAAATTAAAGACTGGGACCTTTTTGCTTTTTATATTTTGAACTAGTTTCTTCCATGAATTCTACTACTGAAAAAAACATGCCTGCTGTGTTTATAACCCAGTGCATGAAACTTTCATATTTAAGTACTTATTGTCAGTCCAAATTTTTACCTAATTCAAAAATGCCTGGGCTGTAACAATGTTTACCGATAGCCGTTTTGTTTTGGTTTTTTTTGCTTATTTAGAAACATTTGTTTTGTTTAATTATTAAAAGAATCACCTTTAAATAAAAAGAAATATGTATATAAGCAGCATTATTCAATATAATAATGAAAGCAAAAAGTGAACATCAATGATATTTGTGACTTTCCAGAAAATTACACCTAATCTAAAACAACCAGATTTTAATAAGATCATTCAAAGATAGCCATTTTGTACTTTTTGAAAATGATAAACTTAGGGATGTTGATGATTCATTGTAATAATTCCCCCCCATTGCAATAGCATAGCCTGCATTTGATTTTAGGTTTAGGTGATATTTCTTAAAGGCTACATCTTTCTCTTTTTAAACATAAGATGTGACCAGAATCCATTTACAATTAAATTTTACATAGTACAATACTGATAATTCAAATAGTCTTGGAATTATCTAAAGTTCACCAATACTAGAAATCTATATTAATAGGTCCCCTCTGCACTAGACATTTAAAGCAGGATCGGGGCTCCTAACAACTCTCAGCACCCTTAACAAACTACAGTTCCCTTCAGGAGGAAGCCATGACTCTTTAAACTGGAGTGATACCTCTTTAAATGGGGCCATAGAATGCTATTATATTTTGATATATAGTTATATTGGGCTTTCTGGGTTATTTATTTATAACAAGGATTTTTGGATAACCAAAATTCCTGTTGCTCTAACTTTAAAAAAAAATCAGAATTATTTTAAACACCTTATAAGTTCGAATGAAATCTGCTGCACTGTATTCATTGTTTGCTTAGCAATGCCCTTTGAGCTTTAGACTGTGTTACTAAATTAGGGTTATTTTTATGGTTTGCTGTATTGAAAATGGGCCTCTGAATTAATAGTAACACTAGTGATTTCACAGTATTTTTATATAAATAATTCTGAAGATGAGATTATTGTTAGAGGCAGTGTTTGACTTGACTTTTTTTAGAGGACTTCTGGTGCTGTAGCTTTTCATGTAGGTCAGATTTCTACATCTCTGACCTTGGTCTTTTCCCCTATTCATTAGGAATCAGGTATTTGGCTTGTGTTCAGGTATTTTTTCCCCATTTGGTGGTATTTATGCCTTTTGAATAATGAAAAAAAAATACTAGCAGGTATCAGCTATCAAGGTTTATTTTAAGTATTCAGAAATATGGAGCATATAGTTTGAACTATTCCTTTTTTTAAAATCCACAAATGGTTCTGAACATACTCTGGAAACCAAGCCTTTACTCATTTGTTTTAGCTGAAGGAAAACCTGGTTTTCTTAGTTTGTTAGGGCTATATATTCTTAAATAGTTAGGCAAGTGTAAAAATATGATCAAATCAAAGCACTTATCAACATGCCATTTATAGAGAGAATTTTTCATCTTTCAAACTGGGTGCCTGCAAAAATTCTCTTTTTCTTTAAGCAGCAGAAGCTTAAGCTGAAGAAAACTCAGGATCTTGTTTTACAATTTGCATTCCTCTAAACCCAATTTCTGCGATGTATTCCATACTGATGCTTACTGTGATTAAAATTTTAGGTAGATCTATCCCGAGTCACAGGAGAGTTTTTGTTTTGATTCAAAAATTCACTGAAACATGGCTACTTTGAAGTCTATGGGGATTAGGAACAGCAGCGTCCTATTGATTTGTTTACAGGTGAAAATTGAAAGCTTTGATAAGTGCTTTGCAGTTGCACTATGTAAAAATTCACCACATGTGGTGAATTCAGTTTGCTTCAGACATTCACCGCTCATGTGATTGATGAATTCCCAAAGTATGAGGCAGGCCTTAACTTTTATGTACAGTTGTTGACAGAGGTATAATATCAATGATGCTAGAAAATGAAATAATTGCATTCCCTTTTCCTTCTCTTTTCAGAGGTTATATATCCACTTGCTTGTTTTGTTGAAGATCCTGTGATTCTTTCATAGGCATTCTGAAACTTAAAAATGTGCTGTGCAGCTTTCTTTTTCTTCCCTTCCTTCCGATGTTACCAGTTCTTGATTTAACATTGATTTTTGTCCAATGATGTGTAAGTGGAAGGCATCTTGAAGAACGAAACTTCCTTCCACGGAAGCCCCCTAGACTCTTAAAAAGCCTCTCCAGATGATCAGCATGGGTTGTGTCACCCAGAATGGCAGTGTGAAGGGCAAATTACCTAAAATCAGACACAGGAATCTTGCTCCAGTAGAGCTCCACTGAGTGCAAGATTTCTCTGTCTGATTTCATAAGATTCCTGCTTTCTACTTTCTGCTGCAGTTCTGTGAGATGCACCCAAAATCAACACCTTATGCTATATATGAAGTTTCAGTCAGCAAAGGAAGGGTGGCAGCCTCCACACTGCATGAATGATGCTGAGAGCTTCAAACGATAGTACCACATGGTTCAGTCATAATTCTATATGTGGTCCTTTTCTTTTAAAGCCATCTGCTACAGGAACTTAGTCTAGATGTTTGTATTTTCAAACTTGGTAACTTCTTCTTTTAGTTTTCTGTTGTGTGCTTGCCTTAACATTTTCTTTTAGACTGGTACTATTGGTGCTACAAGCCAAATGTATTAGCTGTTGTACATTATCCTTTAAAGACAAGGTTACCCCAAAATGCATACCTATTAAAAATTCTGAACCTGCTTCTGTATGCAAAAGCCAGTGGATTTTAATTTAATTGTAAGCTGTCTCTTGAACTTTGATCTTGTTTAGCTTGTACCAAGAGAAAAATGTGAATTTCAATATTTGTTACAGAAAACAAATTTTCCATCTCTGTTCTTGTGTTCTGCATGAATATGTATCCATTTCTTCAGGGTTGCCTAATATAGAATTCTCCTTTTGGCATTTAGTTATGCTTCATTATGGTTTACATTTTTTTTGTAAAAGAAAGTATGTATTTTTAATTATAAATGGTATTGTGCAACTGTGGCTTATTTCTATAGCTAGTTTTGAATATTGATCAGTTCAGAGAGCATAAAAGCTCAGGGCTCTCTAGTACAATGGCTGCTTGATTACCCTCTAAGCAAACTTCAGTAACTAACTGTAACCCTATACACATCTACTGGGAAGTAAGCCTAAATAAGATGAATGGGACACATCCAGTTAAATGAGTGTAGATTTGTACTACTAATGAACATATTTAAAGTGAGGACAAACATTATAAATGAGGTGGCAGTATTCTGAACCCACATCTGCAGTCTCAAAGAGATATCCCAGGAACTGAAATGTGTAGTCAAACCAAATCCAGCATGTTTGCTTAGATGTCTCCTTCCATTACTTATGGGGGTAAAAATGGGTGGGAGTAGAAGGAATTTGTGGGAAATGATGTGTCTGTGGGGGGAACTGTTTGGTCTCAGATCTCCAAAGTACACATAAGAACTGGCATCTATGAACCAACAGGGCTAGCTCTGCACACAAAGCATGTCCTACTCATTGGTCTCTGGTGTCCAAATAATATACAGTAAGCCCGCAAGTTACGTGGGAGTTACATTCAGGGAATGTGCCTAAAGCCAAAACTGTGTATAGACGAAACACATTGGGTGCTATGGTGGGTGGGATTGCCAAAGCCTTTCCCCCCTGGACATCTACCTCCTTTCCACCCTTTATTATTTATGCCGAGCGCTGAATGTGCACAAGTTACCAGTAAGTGCACGTTAAGTTGCAACTTGGAAGCAAGTCATACAGTGTTCAGTGGATTTCAAGTATGCAAGGGATTTCAGCCTTCAAAAAAACTAGTAACACTCATCCTTCAATTTTATGAAATGCATGTGGCATTTCTTGTCAATGCTTCAAAGCAGACGAGGGCTCACTGGAAAGGAAAGTGGGGGTCCCATTGCACGTTTGTACTATACTGTAGCTTGAGAAGCGATGGAGAATGGATGGAATTCTTTGCTTTGTACTGTAAACTATAGTCCAGCCCCACAATGAGACAGCGTGTGGTGTTAATGGTTAGAGCGTTGGATTATGGCCCGAGAGACCAGGGTTCAAACCCCGACTCAGACATGATGTCTCACTAGGTGAGCGTGGGCCAGCCACTGCCTTTCAGCCTAATCTACCTCACAGGGTTGCTGCGAGGATAAAATTGGGAGACACCCACGTGCACCCCCTTGAGCTCCTTAGAGGAAAAGATGGCATATAGATATAATAAACGAAATGCGTCACAGCATTCCGCACACGCGCTCCATCGGGCAACCAAAAAACAACACGGCAGCTGAAGGATTCCGGCCCTGCAAAAGCACTTGAGAAGAGCGCCGGGGAAGGGGCGTGGCCTAGGTCGTACTGAGGACCAGATGGACAGGCCTTCTCAACCAACCACATTCGCCCGAGCCAGGGCTAGAGAAACTATTCGACAGGTGCCCTCGGTTATCCATGACCTGTTTGGGAAAGCGGCCGCATGAGGAGGCGGGCAGAAAGGGGCGGGCCTCGGCTTCCGAGGGAGGAGCGCAAAAGCACGGAAGCGGGCGGGACTCCCAGCTTCACCCTCTCTATAGGTGCCCCAGAGGGAAGTGGGCGGAGCGAGGAAATCGTGCTCGAGACTGTGCCGTTGCTCGCCCTGAGGCGGCCGGTGGGAGTGCGCTTGCGCAAGAGAAGGACCGATCTGTTCCTTAAATCACCTCAGGAGGGGAGTGGACCGGGCCGCGCAGGCCCGCCGTGAGGGGAGGAAGATGATGGAGCGGGAGACGGCCGCGCTGTCTCGGCAACCGCGGCGGCGGCCGCGGCTTTGGGCCTTCTGCCTGCCGTGCTGCTTCTTGCTGTGGTGCCGCCCAGTGACAGGGATGGAGTCCACCGCGTCGCCTTCGCCATCTCCCGCTACGCGTAAGCGAGGAGGCCCTTCTGGGCTGCCCGGGACGGGTCGTGGCGGGTGAGGGGGGGCTCTGCTCTTGCTTCCTCCCTGGTCCTGGTCTTGGTTGGAGGCAGGGGCCGGAGCGGCCTCTCCTTGGGCCCTTGGAGGGCTGGGCCGTTTCCCCCGCTTGTTTACCCCCCTCCCCCATGTCGGGCACCTTCAGGTACAAGTCGCGCGTCCCTTTTGTCCTCGCGAGGAAGCCCGACGGCAACTTCCCTTTCTCTGGCTCAAAGAAGGAACTGTTAAAATGGGCAGGTGTATTATAGTGCCAGTTTCCGGGGACTGAAAGTTCCCCTTCTCGGTCTTGTTTGCACTCGTCCCAACCTAGATAGCCGTTTTGGACGTACCTGCCCTGTTAACTGCTGCCCCCTGGCCTCGATTCACCCCCCAACTGCCTCCTTTATCATGATGACATCTCCTCCGACATAACTGACCGCAGGACTTGGAAGCCCATTCCCCTTTTTTCAGTGACAAATAAGGGATAATGGCTAATAGTTTAAATAACCCAGAATTGGATTGTTGTGGGTGTATTTCCACTTAATTTTGTCTCCTGTTTCCTCCCTTCCTATCTCCCACCCTGTGCCAGTGTTCTGTTTCCATGCAAGGAGGCTTATCTTCGTTGTATGAGAGACTGGTACAGCTCAAACTGTGGCTGAAGCTAGCTGATTACTTACAGACCACAAGTGAAAAACGAAAGCTGTAAATCAGAAAGATGATCCTGGGGGCACCAAATAAGTCCTTCATGAGTACCATCCAGTGCTTTTTGTCCTTAAAAATGTTTAGGGGTACTCTCATTTTCCTACTCATATTGAAATAGGTAAAGGTAAAGGGACCCCTGACCATTAGGTCCAGTTGTGGCCGACTCTGGGATTGCGGCACTCATCTCGCTTTATTGGCCAAGGGAGCCGGTGTACAGCTTCCGGGTCATGTGGCCAGCATGACTAAGCTGCTTCTGGTGAACCAGAGCAGCACTCGGAAACGCTGTTTACCTTCCCGCTGGAGCGGTACCTATTTATTTACTTGCAGTTTGACGTGCTTTCGAACTGCTAGGTTGGCAGGAGCAGGGACCGAGCAACGGGAGCTCACCCCGTCGCGACGATTTGAACCGCGGACCTTCTGATCGGCAAGTCCTAGACTCTGTGGTTTAACCCACAGCGCCACCCACGTCCCTCATATTGAAATACTGCCGCTCAATGTGGCCAAACTTAGATTTACAAAATATTTAGGGGTGTGCACCCCCTGCGTCCCCCCAGAAAAAAGGCACTGGTACCATCACACCCATGGGAGCTGAGTTGGCAGCCCCTGAAATATGCCAACCCTAGTTCTTGTCTAGATGAATGTAAGGCCAGACCTAAGATTCAGTATCCTGTTTCAAAATAGGGTGAAGTGTTTTGGGTGTGTTTGTGTGGTGCTGAATGTCTTGTTGACATCTCTAAGCAGAGTTTAGACTAGTACACAAATGGGTGGAAGTTGTTTTGGAGGATTTACAGTTCTTTAATGCATTCTAAAGTGTTTTAGCATAGTTCAGATTCAAATTTCATAGCTGTCAGAAAAATAATAGATTCAATTAAGTTCTTCATTTTTCATGCAAACTTTATTCCTTTCCAGCATGTGCTGCTTTTACTCAAAAGACATGTGAAGAATGTGTAAAAAATACCAAAGTAAGTTTAGTCACTTTTATATCCGGGGGGATTTTCTAGTGATAACATAAGTGGATATTTCATGCACAGGCCGAAGAAAATGTTTTGCAAGTATTTGTTGCTGCACTTCAGTAGAAAATGGAAGTCCTTATTCTCTAATGGAAATTTACTGGACAAACTCTCACACAACTGACTCATTCACCATGGAAACTGGAACTGGTTGCTATTTTTTCAGGGAGCCTTGGAAAACTGTTCTTTATTTTTTGTGCTTTTGCAAGAAACTATATGCTCAAAGTGATGTGCTCTAATACCAAGTTGCTTTACACAGTAGACTTGAAGGGGAGAGCACTGTTGCATTCAAGTTCTTCTTTTGGGCTTCTTGCGGATATCTGAGAACAGAGCTGCATTGATAGGCATTTGATCTGATCCACCAGTCTCTTGTGTACTTAAGGCATGACTTGACTTTTATAGGATAAAACAGCTTCCCTTCATTTGATAATTACAACTCATAATTCTGTGCAGAGTTCAAATGTTTAAAAATCTACTTTAAATTAGTATAGAATAGAGTTCTTAAAATTATAAACATCTGGTTTGAAAACAACATAAGCATACATTGCAGCAACTTCTCAAAGTGCATCAGTTTTAAAAAATATGTATCAATGTTAACAACACAAAAGGATATCAAAACTTTCTCTAATACTGAGCAGTTTGCCAAAGTTTTTAACATAGTATGTACAAAATGGTCAGAACTGTTTGCCAAGGCTTTTAACAGATATTGTGAGCAGGGTTGTCAACAATGGTCTGTGTTTACTCAACTGCCCCAACTCAACAAGTACTTCAAGCAGCACCAATGTAGATAGGAGCTGCTGTCTATTGGATTTCAGTCTCTCACCAGGAAACCAGTCTCCCTGAAATCTAGCTGTGAGAGGTTGTATTTGCTGCTGGGCTAGAGAAAGTAAGTAGGGATTCTGTCAGTATAATGACCATTCCGCTGACCAACAATTTCCTTCCCTGAGCGGATAGATTTGATGTTGGGGCTAGTGTTTGAAAACCCCCCAACTTTGGTTCTGGGGGATTTAAACATGCATGCTGAAACCATCTTAACAAGTCCAGCTGTCATGACTATTATGGAACTATCTCAGTATACATCATAGACCCAATGTATAGAGTACCTCATACCTGCAATCTGGTTCTCACAAATGGAAGACTTGTAGATGTGTCCGGAGAAAGTACAAATCACCCTGCTGTCATCAACCAACAATTTCCTTGTAGGATTTAGGCTATTGATAGTGTTGCCACCCTGAAAGGATGGATGACTCCTTAGAATGTTCTGTAGCAAGACACTAATGGAATCTAAGGGATTCCTGAATGCTCTAGGGAAGTTTCCAGTTGGCATGGCTGATCACATCTGAGGCCCTGATCTCACTGTGGAATGGTGAGATGGGAAGGGTCATAGATTGAGTCAGTCCTGAGCACTCTCCTATGCTTGACTTCCTGGTTTTCAGATGAGCTCTGATCAGTGAAATAGGCTGCATGACTGTTGAAGCATAAGTGGAACAAATAGTGTACCAAGTACAACTGACCACCACTGTTAAGAGTGCATGTTTGCACCTACTGAGTGGTAGTGGTGGCAGTGAAGAAGGCTTACCGTTGCATCCTCATGTGGCTATTCAGCAGAGCTTTTCCAGGCAGTGATGGTGCTAAAGGGATCCTCCCATAAGGGAGAAGGCCTTGAACCTTTAGATGCTTGCTGTGACAGATTGGCCAGGTACTTTTAGAATAGCTTGTCCGTGTTGATTTAAGCAGAGTCTGTCGTGCCCAACGGAAGGATGAGAATACGTGCTGCATACTCTTTATTGCTTTATTTACAGTTCAAAGCTGGTATATTACAGAAAGACATCTTGCCTCTGCAAGAGCAGAAAAATGCATCCTCTCTCCTCAACAGCACGGAGAGAATCACAGTGAAAAACAGGAAACCAGTGTACGTCACATCCAGTCTCCCTTTCCCGTGAGAAACTCCAACAGTACAGACTGTGGAATGTAAAACAATGTCTTGTGACTGCAGAGCTGCACAGTGAAGGAAAACAGAAACCAACATCCTCCCCCTTTCTGTGAACATCACTGGGCAGCGTGTTCGTACAGTATCAGTACAAACCCAACTTCTGCACATAGGTACAGTGTTGATCCCTTGATACAATCTTGGACAATACATCAGCAGGAATTTCATTACCTGGCATATAGGACACCGTTACGAGTCCCTTCTGAATACATTCCCTAGCATGCTGCAACTTTAATTGCAAGTGCTTTGTGCTTTGCTTACAACCTTCAGACTTCAGCAAAGCCAAACATGCTTTGTTGTCCTGGTAAACCTGGATTGGACATTTGACAGGAATTTTCATATCTTTGCACAATTGTACTAACCATTCACAATCCTTAAGTGAATAAGACAGTGCATTCAGTTCAGCTTCACAAGTATTTAAGCTAACTGTTGTTTGCTTCTTGCATGACCAATCAAACAGACTCTGATTGTACATGTAGCAAACTCCAGACGTACCTTTCCTGTCTGTAGCGTCACTTCCAAAACTTGCATCTGCAAATATCTCAAGACCACCAGACTTCTGATTGTTAAATCTCAGTCTGTAATGCATAGTGCCTTTCAAATACCGCGCTATGCGTTTCAGAGCTTTCCAATCCTTGACACTAGGATTGTTGACTTGTCTGCTTAGCAAATTACAGCTAACAGCAATGTCTGGTCTTGAACATCTGGCAATGAAGTTTAGCTTGCCTAGCACACTCCTGTACAGTGTAGTGTCAGAAAATGCTTCTTCAGTGTCATCTACCTGATAACCTGTTGTCATCGGTGTGTCTACAGGGTTAGCATCCATCAGATTTAGTTTGCTTAACACATCAGCAATTTTCCGTGACTGGTGTACTAGAATGTTACCATCTTGATCTCTCTCTATTTCCAGAGATAGGTAGTTGTTTACCTCACCAAGATCTTTCATGTCAAAGTGCTCTTTCAGTTGAGCTAGGGCGCTATTGTACATTGCAACATCTTTCCAAAAGAATAATAAATCATCAACATAAAACAAACAGTACAGTTTCTTTTGCCCTCCTCTTTGACAAATACACATGGATCAGCTTTCCTTGCTGAAAACCTAGAGAAAACAATACTTCAGTGAGTTTTGTGTGCCAACACCGTGCACTTTGTTTGAGACCATAAAGGGATTTCTTCAGAGCACAAACAAATCCCTGTTTTACCTGTACGCCATCAGGTGGAAGCATATAAAGTGATTCATCTAGAGATCCGTACAGAAAAGCTGTATTAATATCATGGTGACTAATGTGTAGATTTTCCTCTGCAGCTAGCTTGAGCATAAGCCTAATGCTTTCATATCTCACTGTGGGTGAATAGGTCTCGTGATAGTCTTCACCTGGTACCTGTGCAAAACCTCTGGCTACCAATCTGGCTTTGTGTCTGACTATCTTGCCATTTTGATCTGTCTTCGCTTTGAAGACCCATTTGCTTCCAAGCAGTTTCATTCCTGGAACTACTGGAACTAGTTCCCATGTTTTGTTCCTTTCTAAGGAATCAAGCTCAGCCTTCATGGCATTTAACCATGGCTCAGCTTCCTTTGAATCCAAACCCTGGATTTCTTGGAAACTTGAAGGTTCAAATACCTTCTTGGAGCTTTTAACAGCTGTTACTGCTATCTTAGCAAACTCATCAGCAAATCTCTTTGGAGGTTTGCCTGTTGTGGCTCTCTGTGACCTACGAATTATCCTTAAGTCTTCAACACTCTCCTCTTCCTTCTTAGGAGAAAAACGACCTATTGTGAACAATGGTTCCTCCAATTCTTGATCAGAGCTTTCAGAGGGTCGCATAGAGGCTTTCGCACTCTTGAAATCCTCTGAATCACCCGATTCAGTTTCAGATTCAGACTCAGAACCTTCATCAGTGGGTGTGGGCTGTTGTGGTTGCTTTTGACTATCCTCAGTCTCATCACCGTCATCAGGATAACATTGGAAAATTCCCACATTCTCCCCCACTTTGCATTGTACTCAACACTTCTCGTGAGCTTAATTGTCTTAGAGTCAGTCATCATTATTCTGTAAGACCCTTTCTGATAACCTAGAAAGATACCATGCAATCCACGCTTGTCTAACTTGGAGTTTTGTGGTGAGCGAACCCACATGTCAGAACCAAAAATCTTCATGTGTTTGATGTATGGCTTCTTGCCAAACATCTTCTCATAGGGGGTACATCCAATCGCTGAAGATAACCTGCGATTGTAACTGTAAACAAAACACGAGAGAGATTCGGCCCAATAACTCTCTGGAAGATTGGCATCATGCAGCAAGGTTTTTAACCCTTGAAGCAAAGTCTGATTTGCCCGTTCCGCAAGTCCATTCTGCCATGGCGAGCGAGGACTAGACAAATCGTGTTGAATTCCTTTCTCAGTCAGAAAAGCTTCAAACTGCTGAGAAGTGAATTCTCCCGCGATCACTGAAAAGAGTCTTTATCTTCTTACCATGCACATTTTCCAACCAAGCACAGAATTCCTTGAACCTAGGAAAAGCCTCTGATTTCTGCTTGAGATTGTACACAAAAATATATCTAGAAAATGCATCAATGAGAACCATGAAGTATCTATTTCCACCCAAAGAGGGCGTTAGTGGTCCAACCAAATCAGCATGAACAACCTGGTATGGTTCTGTAGCTTTCCTACTAGACACCTTACCTTTCGCAGCCATTTTCACCTTGTTTGCTGCGCATGCTTTGCACTTCATGTGGTACCTGCAGGGTTTAATAGTCATACCTTCAACCAAGGCAGGCATTTTAGATACTGCCTCAAAATGCAAATGACCAAATTTGCGATGAAAATCGTGAATACATTCTGCATGCAAACTTTTGTTAGAACCTGCAATGCAACAAGTGTCATCCTGCACCACATCATCATAATACAAAACAAACAAACGATCAACATATTCTGCATGCAATACATAATCATTTTTCTTTGTGATGATGCACTTCTTGTTCTTGAAGGAAACGTCAATGTTCCGCTCATTCAGCTGTCCAACGCTGAGCAGATTATGTTTGGCGTCTGGCACGTAAAGCACATTCTGTATCGATAAGTACAAACTGTGAAGAACAACAGTTCCGTAGCCTTTACTGGGAATAGTGTGGTCATCCGCCTGGTGAATCGCACCTTCCTGCGGTGTAAAAGACACAAACAGTTTCTTATCGTTGCACATGTGGTGGGTGGCCGCTGAATCAACAACGAAGAAAGATCTAGACGTCTTCTGGACCTCTGCAACCTTTGGAGTGAAGCGTGAAACCATAGCCTTGTGCTGCGTTGTCCTAGACACCGGACCTTTGCCTTTGCCTCGGCCTTTTCCGCGTGATGAGCTTCGCTGCGCTGCTCTGTCTTGGCCCTGGGATGTCTGCATTCCCTCTTCATATGGCCTAGACGTCCACACGAGTAGCATTTCACTGCCTTCAAAGCTTTGGCGCCATCTGGTGGTTCCACTGCACTATGGGATGACGTCTGTGAAGACTCCCCTTGCCCATGCAGCTAGCACCCCGGCGATCTGCTTCATTTAAAATCACGGCAGTAACAAAGTCCACTGTCAGCTGAGCAGTTGGTTGCACAGCAATCTGGGTTGCAACAGACTCCCAACCTGAACCCAAAGATTGTAGTATCATGAAAGAATACACAGCCTCTGGAAAGTTGAGTCCTCTCTGTTGCAGCTCATGTCTCAGATTTTGCATCTGCATCAGATGTAAACGCACATCTCCACCTTCAGCAAGAGCCATATTATGCAGCTTGTTAAAATAAAACATAGTGGATCCAGCTTCTGTCCTTAAGTGAGCCTCTCTCAGAGCGTCCCAAATTTCTCTGGCTGAGGTCTTATCACGCAATAGACAGAGCTCTTCTGGGGATACTATCAATGTAAGAGTTCCCTTGCTTTGGAATCCTTAGCTTCCCATGCATCTGTAACTGGAACTGGGGGGGTTTCTGTAATCACCTCAAACAAACCCTCTTCCGCAGAATTGCCTCTGCATACTGAACCCAGTCGCTGTAATTTTTCTTGTTGAGCTTAGGAATCCCACAAGCATCCTGAAGGGCCATCATGACTCTGGCATTAGCCTTCAGCGTCATTATGCTGCTTTAAATCTTGCTGCGTCACTGCTGCAGCTGCCTTATCACAAAGGCACACTTAAAAGTTACTTTCGATTTCCCCAGCATAGTGACTTGTGCCTGGGAGCCTTTTGCCTATTACCGGCAAAACCGGCTTTAAAAGTTCAAAGTCCAGCCATAAAGCCATTAACTTGAAGCTGGCAGGCTGCCCGGAGCAGTAGCACATACCTCATCAATCACTTCGACGCGCAGAGCAGATTGCGTTCCGATCCGTTCCTCTGCATTCCGATCCTCTGCCGGCACTCCGATTCGACCTCTGGAGTCCATAACCACGTGTTGATTTAAGCAGAGTCTGTCGTGCCCAACGGAAGGATGAGAATACGTGCTGCATACTCTTTATTGCTTTATTTACAGTTCAAAGCTGGTATATTACAGAAAGACATCTTGCCTCTGCAAGAGCAGAAAATGCATCCTCTCTCCTCAACAGCCCGGAGAGAATCACAGTGAAAAACAGGAAACCAGTGTACGTCACATCCAGTCTCCCTTTCCCGTGAGAAACTCCAACAGTACAGACTGTGGAATGTAAAACAATGTCTTGTGACTGCAGAGCTGCACAGTGAAGGAAAACAGAAACCAACAGTCCATTTGTGACCGATCCTTGGGATTTATGTTTCCCCTTCTGGTTATACTTGTGGGCTCCAATATCTTCCTTCTTTGTTGAAATATGTAAACCAGGTCTACTTTGTTTTGAACAAATTAAGGATTGATTGGTTAGGATATAAAGGGAGAATAGTATGATTTGTTTGAAAAAACCAAGGAGGAAGTTGGGGAGAGTAGGAATCTGAGGATTCGTCATAACTGGCCAAACCATGGCTTGCTTTTGCATGCATACCATTACCAAGTCATGAAAACTATTTTTATAAGATGTCCATTTGTTTAAATAGTACATAGTTCTTTTAAATAGTACATAATTCTTCTGTATTTAATAGCAATGAATGACTTTTGTGGTAACTGCAGATAGTTTGTTAGCACTGGCCTTGTGACTGTGAGACTGTTTACATTTTAATAGCCGTTTTTGAACGTTTTCTTCACTTTCCCTAATTTGGTTATGTACTCTTCAGAAGTAAAGACTGATTTAGTTGTATTGGTGTGGTACAATGGCCCCATATTTTTTTTAAGCTGTAGCTCAGATAGATAATATCCCTTTGTACTCAGTAGTTGTTTTGTCTGAAAGAATAGCCTAATTGTGTTAAACCAACATCTAACCCAGTATCTACTGTCCAACTGCTCTTGGACAGTTGGACAGTAACAATTTAGAGCAAGCATCTTTGGAAACCTTTTGCTGCGCCTTTCACAGCTATAGGTTCAGCAACAGGGCAGAAAAAAGGAGCAGAGCCAGGAAGCAGTGGAAGAATAAAAGTGTAGGAGAAAGTGTTGGAAAAATAGAATGAAGTGGAGGCAAGGAATAAGATTGGGCAATAACTGCTGAACATCTTACCTCTTCTGTAAATTCCTACTAGCACATTTACACCAACATTTCATTTAAAATCTTACTGTACAGTTCTTACAATGTGAACAAAGTAACTTCTGAGCTATTGTGAAGTTACTAAAGCAACATAAATAAATATATTGTAAACACTGGCAAAGTTTAGAGTAGTTATGGTAACAGAATGATGAATGACATTCACAATGCTGCAGTGTTAGTCTCGTCCTTGAGGAAACATAAGCCTGACCTTCATTACCTGGATCATATGTGATGCTAAGTCAAACCATTGCTTAATATATGTGAATTTGAGGGTTCCCAGAGAGAAGATGGCAGCTGCTTCTGCACATCTCTCCTACTGCAACCCAATTCATGGTCTGGCTTATTGTGTCATTTGAACCCAGGAAACATTGCCATTGGGAGAGGGCACCAGGAGCAGAGGAAGAAAAGTGTTGTAGTTTCTACTAACTGTAAAACTGTCATTGGCTTCTTTTAATACCTCAAAAATTGACATAGAGGGTGTGCTTCAATCACGACCTGCTCCCCACAGAAAATGTCAAGTTACAGCTCCGTTTTAGTTTAATTTCAGACTATGTTAACTTCTCAAGAAGTGTAAGATTGAGTGGTTGACTTGCATACTTCCTGATAAGACTACTTCTGTTTATTTTTCACTTTTGTTCTGCTTAGTGTCTTTGGTGCCATGTCAATTCCACTTGTATGGACTATCCTGTGAGGAAACTCATTCCACCATCTTCGCTGTGTAAACTTACAGATGCTTATTGGGCAATTTGCTGGGGTAGGTAATGATTGTGATTGTCTTTAATTTATTGTTACTTGTAATGGAAGCTATGAAATGATGATCATAATTCTTCATGCAAAAGTACTTAACTGGAGTTCTCCCACTAGTCAATATTTCATATATGCACCATTACCTTACATGGACTATTTATAAGCTTAAAAATAGTCTTGCACACAGCACTAATCACCATTGGATTTCCTGAAGCTTCCATTTTAATGAGACTGTTTTTCTGGGAAGTTTGTTTCTGAATTGTTTACTGCTGATCTCTGATACTGAACAGAAAAAACACAGTTCTGCTAAGTGGTAGGCTTAAGAATAAAGTCAAGTTCTCTGGATAATGTTGTCCTCTTCTGAAGTTGTCTTCTCTGATTTGCGTTCAGTTAATCAACTCACTTAGCTTGCACAATTGTTGCATTCAGTTATAATACCACATCATGGTATAATGCTATGATAATGATCTTAGTTTCCCCTCAGATGGTCACAAGAAAGTGATAGGTTGTTGCTACGTTAATTTTAGATCAGGGTGGATAAAAATCAATGTTTTTTTTAAAAAAGAAATTAAAAATTGAATTTTTTAATTTAAATCGGATTTTATTAAATTTAAATCGGATTTTTAAAATAAAATGCTTTTGGAGGAAAAATCTTTCTAGAGATAGTTTTCTATTTAAGTTACATTGTAGTCCAAAGGCTGTTCATCAGGAAATAAGGATTTCTTTTAAGTTTTTCATGTGTCCTAAGACTCAGTCTTAAGGTTTTTTTAAAAACAACCATTTAACCACATCAGTTAACAAACATGGATACATATGCTATAATGTTATTGTTTTAGTTAAATAATCATTTCCTTAATAACAATTAAACAATTTATTTTTCTCCTTCCAATAAAGTACAGCAGAAAAGTTGTCCAAATATAAACAGTTAACTTATTAAACCTCACAATAATTTCAGAATTATCTGTCTGTGTATTTCTAATAGTAATTTTTGATATAACTGTAAAAACTACTCTGAAAATTTATTATTCCAAAAATGAAACCTTCATCTGGTTGTAAATATTAAGATTATACCAGCAAGAATGAGTCTTTCTGTAAAAAAAAAGAAAATATTTAAATCAAGTCTTACTGACTAGTGATTTAAATCATGATTTAAATAGATTTGATTTAAATCAAATCCGCCCTGTTTTAGATTAAGTGTAGTTTAATGAACTGCTGTGTAGCATATCATCTAAATTCTAAACAAGCCACTCCATAATCATGGTTGGAAGTTAACTTCTTTTCAAGCAAACCATAGTTAAGATTAACAACAGTTTGTTTGGTTCTGACAAAACAGCAAACCATGGTTAATCAAAATGGAAATGAAAGCTGATTTCATGGGCTGGGCCAGGAGCAGTATGGGAGCCCAAAGCTTGCTGTAGCCTATTCCCATTGTTCTAAACTATGGATTTGCCTTGCATTCAATTTCTCTTTGTTTTAAATTGTTTATATGAGGGAAGAGTTCTTACAATACTTCAGATCCACTTGTGTGTAGAGGGTTATCAAAAATAGATTTCACTGTTCACAAAGCTCTGTCGTAGTACATGAGTTCTCTTTATATGTTACATGTGTAGAAGGAATGCAGATGGGTTTTTTGCCTAACCCCATGTGGAGTTTAAGTTGAAAATATCTGATTTTGCTACCCATGTAATTCTAATTCTCTCATTTTGAAATGTGACATTTTCTTTAGTGGTTGTTTTCTATTTTCTTCCAGGATATCTGCCTAATATTGTAGAAGACATACTTGAGAATGGATAAAATTGAAATTTGGATTCCATAGCATTCCACTTGCCCTTTTAAATAAACAGACCATGTGCTAATGTTCTGACTATCTTAATATGCTTAGTTTTAAGTTTAATTACCAGTTTTAAGATCTTTGATATAAGAACTAACCTATTAAAATGTGCAGGGCAGTACCTTGGACCCAGTTAGATGGAATCTCTAAACTAGAAGAACACATTTCACAATGACAGGCCCATCTACTTCATCACATAAGTGAATTCCAGTCATTCCACTAAGATATAATATGTAAGTTGCTGCAAGGTGGTCTTCTAATGGGCCCTAGTCGCTTCCCTGCATGGAGCTCTTCTCTGTTACTGTATTTCCTTCCTTTGCTAACCTTTGCATGTACTAAAATTCTGCTTTTAATTTTCAGTCAACTTTGAGGCTATGATCATCAGCATTGCAGTTGTAGCAGGCTTCCTTCTCCTCCTTATAGGATGTTGCTGCTGTTACTGCTGTCGCAGACGTCGTTCTAGAGGGTAAATGGTTTTTCTTAGTAACTTTGCTTGATTTTTCTCCCCCCGACTTCATCACCATTTATCTATAATAAAGTTGTCCTTGAAATTAAGGGTTATACAAATGTGATTTTAAGCACCTGATTGAAAAACATACATAGTATGGTTGTCTTTGTTTACAAAAATTACAGGGATCCCCAGTACAGAATGGGTCTGCTCTACATTGAGTGTAAACTTCGTGTCAGAACTGGGTTTTTTTAAAATTTAATGTACAGTTTCCTGAAGAAGGTATTATACACTTGAAACACATTGGATATCTGAAACATAAATTCCATTAAATGCACTTTCATGACATGTTGGGGCTCATTCTTTAATGTCCATTACACATTGTGTCCACTGGGTGTCAGTGTTTTTTCCTCAATAGGCTCGTATGAAGTAGCAGATGAAAGATCTGTCTTTTAACTTAAATCAGTTTGATATGTCTTGTTATGATGCTGGTGAGTTAAAAGCTAGAAAGTTAAAAGCTAGAAAGAACCATGTTTTGGCCTCTGATTCCTATTTCACACTTCCTCAGGTGAATTCAAGAAGGGAATCAATAATCTACCGCTAGTCAGAGAAATGGTTCCCAGTCAACTAATCCCATACTGTGATATCCAAGATCATCATTTTTATCTTGAATTACCAACACTCTTATTTATTCTACAAAATATATGACACATAAGGTGCAGTCAATGAATCATGACTTTCAAGTGTGTGTTAATGTCAGCTTCAAATTCTTCAGTATAAGATACCACTTGAGATTAATTTGTAGAGAAAATGCTGCAAATTTGTGAATGTATGGGTAAATTAACAAACATAAATTCCTCATAAACTATATATCAGAAATTATAGTTTTTTGATACAAAAAGCGCTTTATTTCTTAGACGACCATCTGAAGAAGAAGAAAGATTTATCAGAGATCGGGAAGAAAAAAGAATGCAGTCACTTCAGCGGTATGTTTCAAAGCTTTTCTTTTTTAAAAAACACACCTAAATACATAAGTTTTGCTCATAGATGTCATTAAAAAAGAGTCCAGCTAGGGATATGTTTAGTATAGCCTTGCTATAAAGCTTTGTAAGCATTAATTGCAGTAGTTCACTCTTAGTATTTATTAGGCAATATGCTTGTAAGCTGGCTCCTAAGGGTTTCAATAAATGCAACTCATGATGCTAGCTAGAGGCTTTGAAACCCTAAAAATAATAATTTGATGCTTGAGGGCAGTCAGCTATCTTGTACAAGTAGATATACAGGTCTGCTTCCAGACAGTGGTGGAGGAAAGGCAGCATAATAGAATGAAGCAGTATTGGGTGAGTCATCAGATCTACTGTTTACAGCTCCAGGATAGCAAGATGTTCTGCCTTGGTGCTGATCCATTTTGTTAGCTGTTCTCCTGTGGATCTTCAAAGCTAGAGTCTATTTGTGCTATATGTGAATAGTAATCATGGTAGTATTTTATATGAAATATAAAATGAATCACACTGTTTGCCTGATAGCACCCATAGTGATGTACATTTTAAAAAAACACTTTTTAACCCCTTGCCAAATTTCTAGAACACAGAATGCAGGCAGACAGGAACAGCAATAATTTCCAGTAAGGATGTCTGATTTCTTAGTTTTCTAAGTCAAAGAGAAATTAGACTATACATATATCTAGATTGTGCAGTTACCTTATTTTTCTGTGTATAAGATGCCACCATGTATAAGATGCCCCCTATTTTTGGGGACTCCAAATTAAGAAAACTCCCCTCAGAACTACCTGTTCATAAGACGAGCCTACTTTAAACCTACTTTTTTGGTTAAAAAAACAACCCTGGTCTTATACATGGAAAATACGGCATTTGCATGTTTCTTCAGAAGTATTGATTATATATTCATTTAAGAAAACATATATCCCACTTTTTAGTGCTAAAGTACCACTCAGGGTAGCTTTCAACACCTGAAAATTGCAGTTACATAAAAGAATATAAAATGACCAGAAATAAACGTTCATCAGTTAAAACTAAAGCATTAAAATCATCTGCCACATACAACAGAAGCCTGCAGGAATAAAACCGTCTTCAACAACTGGTGAAAATTAGCACTGCGTAAATCAGGCCACACTTCACAGCAGGGCTTACCATAATCTGAGTGCAACCACCGAGAAGGCCCTTTCTCTGAAACATGCTTCCACCCTAGACAGGGCACAGAGAAGCTCAGATTCTTTGAAACGGAAATTAATATTTGCAGAATTCCTCTTGGGACAGCATGGGAAGTGGACTGCACAAGCCAGACACTTTGCTCAGGCTTGCTGATACTTGTTACTGTAGTGTTATACTGCAGTTTATCATTACATGTGAACCAGCATATAGTAAGTTGGTAGGACTGTGTTTCAATAGTAGAAGCTAGTCTTGTTTCTTATCTTTGTCCCAAATTTAGGGTGGGATGCAGTCTGCATATTAGTTGGATGAAACTAAGTCCTAACTCTTTTGCACTAAGTCAGTCCCAAGAACCCTGTAAGAATCATGCAAACGATACTGCAATGTTACTCTTTTGTAGTTTGGTTCATGTCCCTCATGTCATGTTAAATTTATTGTTGGCTTTGGACTATTGAGCAGCAGAAGATCTCCCAGCATTCCATTTAACATCAGCTGCTAAGATGATCAGTCCTGGATTTTTTTATAGACAACCTCTGGCTAGAAGAAAAGTTGTCTAAGCTAATATAGCATCTATCTGTCTACTGAAACCTCAAAAAATCTCCTTGTGTATTGCCACAATTTAGAAGTTAATTTTCTTAGCCATTAAAAAAACCTTTCATTTTACAAGCTGTTACGTATGTTAGAATAAGAATATGCTTATTCAGTATGCATACATCATTTATTGGAAACCCATACATTTGCCTATTACACAGTGATAGGCATTGCATCACGGTGCAACATAATACATTGATGCAGTCCTCTATCTAGAGTTTATTTTGGGGCAAGATCTGTGTTCCACTTATCTTTGTGTTCTAATGTGTAAGCAGGAGTTAATTATATTGCATTGTCGTATTTTGCTTAAAATTACTTCAAGTATTTGTTTTTTATGTTCACAAACTTTTCAGAAAACATGAAAGAAAAGTCAAGCATGATGAGATACGGAAGAAATATGGTATGTATAATTCACATTTAACACCCCCCCCCCCCAATATTTAGCCTATTCTTAATCATGAACTATTTGGAAAATACATCTTCATACCTTCCCTGTCCCAAAAAAAGAGTTTGGATGCTGCTGGAACCTATTTGTTATATGGTCTCCATATTATATGTGGTTTGCAGGGTAATTTATGATAAAAATATGATGTTAAAGCAGTTTCAGTGTCTTGCTGGTCTTTCTTCTTATAAGATGGCAAGCCGGTCTTGCAGATGCCAGACCATGGTTCTGCAGTGAATTTGGGATCTTAACTCGCCTGCAGTATATCTGCCCTTACCCTGAACATTTGCCTAAGAGACTACGTTTAATTCTTAGCTTGTCTATGGAGCACAATCCCAACACCAGATTGTGAGTTTAATATTGCAATTTTGTTGAATTTTGAATGGTGGAGGCAAGAGAGGGTGAATGAGGGAAGCAAAAGCCTTCTTTAGCCCCTAATGGTTTATAGTGTCTTGGAGATGAGGGAAAATACAGGCAGTGGTGGGAAATACTTTTTAATTAATTTGTTAATTTTAACCCTGCCTCCAGTAGAGCCAATGATGGCATGCACATAATCCATTCTAATAACAGAATAAAACATTAAAAACACTCCATTCAAAAATTACAGTAAACAGTACCAATCAACTACAACACATTGGTACTCTGCTGTTGCCTGCAGTTATGACACAAAGCTCAAGTTTATTTGTATCATATCACAAGAGTGAGGTATATTAAAACATATATTAAAACACTCAATAGTCAAACTCTCTTTGGCTATTAACCTACAGTAACATGTTTTGTAGTATATTGCTTCACCCTCTCTAAATCAAAAGTTATAGCTGCTTGAGTGCCTAGAGAGATCATGTAGATGGAAAGGTAGTGTGAAGTATAAGTCATTTGCAGGCTTTACTGCTGTAGAGTTTTCTTTTTAGTACTTTATTTTGCTCTTAATTCTAGTATCTTATGGATATTTGAATTACATGTTGAACTAAAGTGCTTGGAACACAATCCAGCCCAAGTTTTATAGACAGCTGCATCTATGATCTAGTCTTCTAATTATTGACAAGAAGAATTTATGCCATGGTGTAAAAGAGGAGACAGCGCCATATGTACAGTGTACTGGGATAAGTGAGGTGAGTCCTGTGCCCAGGATTAGAAATCAGAATTATTTACTGTGCATACAATTAAAAGCAATCTATTAATCTACAAAAAATCCTGCATATTTCTTATTCTGCACAACTCTGCTACACCCTAGCTAATATCTATTAAAGTGTTACTTAGTCTCCCTGGCTTCTGAAAGTTCACTGGGCACTGCTCCTAAATCTGAAAATCTTCACTACTGTAAGGACTAGAAACATTGTATACCCATACTCCTTTGCTTACGCAGCATGATCACAGAATACCCATCGCTTGAATTATTAATGTAAGCAGCTCCTTTCTATATCTTTGGACAGTAAGCATTTAATTGGGATGCTTTCATCATTTTTTGAAAATTAAGCACTACTAATTGCCTAGTTAGTATCTCTAGTTGGTATCCCTTCTCCGCAACAGTGCACCTCCTGTTTAATATAGATCTGGTCCATACATCATTGCAAACTTCACTCAACAAGGGCCTAATAAAGAATGTTGCAGAAAACTGTAAATGCACTAGATCTTCCCGTCTTCAGTGGTGTGCAGAGGAGTCTTCTCATTTAAATAGGCAAGAATGAATGGAGAGTAGCAAATGCTTTGCTAACCCATCACTAAATTAAGATAATATCAGAAATGTCAGCCTTGTTTGGCTTTGAGGGAATGTCTTTTTACCCCTATTTCACCCATCAGCTTTTCTTGCTCCATTTAAATGGTAATTATAAATTTATAATGCATTGCAGGTGTTGCTCACTCTAGCCACCGTCCTTTGGGAGCACTGGAAGCAATAGAGCTTTAATAAGTGGGACTACTCGGTTTGAGTAGTTTCTTTGTTACGCGATTTGCCACTTTTTTATAAGAAACCCTGGTATGAATACAGTTTGATTGCTTAAATTATAGGTTCATGGCTAAATGAGTTTGAGCAGCATTTAAATTATTTTTCACTGTGGTAACTTTCAAAGGAAATAGATGCAATTGTCGCATACGTGCTACAATTCTGTTTGTTATGCAAGTGAAACATTACAACATTTTATGCTATGCCTTTGTTTAGATTCTGAATACTCTTTCGTATAGTAGGGGAATCAACAGAAGGTAGATCGTGGTCCACTGGTTGACCAGTGGCCAGTTTCTGGTGGACTACCCGAGTATGTGTTTCTTTATCTGTCTATTGTGAAAACTGTTCATTTATTCCTACTCTGCTTTTTGTGCTTTAGCCAGTTACTGATCTGTAAGAGGACCTGCTATAAATTTGCTCAAGCGGCTTGGCCAAAAGCTTTTTGAAGCCCACAAGCTTATTAATGTTTCAAAAAAAAAAAAATCTAAAAGGTTGCTGGCACAGGATTTACCTTTGCATAATCCATGTTGAGTCTTCTTAAGCATTCATGGATTTGCAATGTGTTCCTGACACCTTCTGCTTCCCCACTCTGACTAGCCACATGCTTCTCAGTCATCTGCTGCTTAGCCATATTGCCAAGGACCCAAGAAGTTCCCAAACTACATGTAGTCATGGTCAGAATGAGCCAATATAATTAGCTGGAAGTGAAACCATTTTACCTATTGTTGCTGGCTTAATGTCTGAAGGCAGAGAAAACTGAAGAAGGTCCTTTAGATACTTAGCTTCGGGCCATACTGATCTGTAGATTAGGGATGGGGAACTTATGGCCCTCCAGGTATTGTTGAACCCTAACTGCCATCTGCCCTATCCAGCATGCCCAGTTGTCAGGGAATTAATTCCTTTTTCCCTGTTAGTGGATATAGTCTCAAACAAGAACTACTTTCCAGTAGGTGAAGACCTTTCCTGACTCTTTGGAATAATTTAAGGGCAGAGTCACCTTCATACATGCTACCTTCCCTTTAGATCTGCTGTAGTTCACAACATTATTGAAAGAGAGAATCTGCCACATCAGGTGGGGCTAACCTGCGACTGGTGGGAGTTGTAGTGCAACACCATCTGAAGGGCCACAGGTTGGCCACCCAGGTGCTCCATGTGATAAGGCATGCTTATAAAGTGGATAGACACAGTTGGCACACATAGGTTGCATGATCTTCTTGCTGTTTGGTCGTTTGGGTTGTTCCTATCAGGAAGTTATTTTAAAGCTTTGTGTTTGAAGCCTGAACCATGTCCATGTTTGAATGTCGACAATTCTGTATGATATCTTTTACTGTGCATATCAGTAGATTAGATTATAATTGCTTGTTATGTGATTTTGCTACTGTTGCCTACCTGTTTGTATGTGTCACTGTATGCATCTGATTGCTGGTCAACAAATAGTCATTGAAGGGCTGGGACTCCTTTTCTCTGTGAATAATGTTCTTTAAGTGTTGGCATATCAGCCTGTCTATACAGTTTCACATTGTCTTCTGCATCTGATTACCATGTAGCTATTCACTAAGCTCATATCTTTTGTCTGCTTTCTAATGTCTGTTACCTCTCCACCCCTAATTCTATTTTTAAAATATATGTTATTTATAATTTTTGGGTTTATACATTTCAATAATTTTACAGTCATTTTAACATTTCACAACTTGACTTCCTTCCCCTTCTTTCTGCAGTTCCTTAAATTTATTTATTCATCTACTTAAAATATATACTCTTATGAAACTGCAGGTTATTACAATGATTCAGCCATTGTTCTTATCTGTTTACAATTTGTAAATACTCAATATACTATTTCTATTATTTTATAAAAAGTTTGTTATCTTGATTTCTTACTTTTCTGGTAAGTTTCACCATTTCTGCTTATTCCATAAGTTTTTGTATCCATTCTTCTTTTGCTGGGACTTCTTTACATTTTTGAGCAAGTAACATTCTTGCCTCCCCACCCCTACTTTTAGATTCTGTTACTTGTCTTTGTACCAGAATGTCGTACTTCATAACTCCAGTGTTAAGTACTCTCATAATGACACTTCCTGTGCTGTGCTTGTGCTATGAGTGTCTTTTGTTTATATATATCAGTGTACTCTTAAAATAGATAATGTCATTGTGTGTGGACACTACATGCCAGTTTTAATTGCTTCCTTAATTGGTGAGTAATCAGGTTAGACTAGACATGATGAAACTCCTTTGTGTCTGTGGGAACTAAGCCTTGATTAAAGTTCTTGATGGATGGTGAAGTGTGATTTGAAGCCTTCCAAGTTTTAATTATCTATTTAGAATTTGCCTTCACTTTATCTTTTCGCTCAGTGGCAAGTGTTTCTGGTTTCTTAGTCTGTGTGTTGAGCTGCTTTTCATCAGGTGTTGGAGTGTTGTCTACTTTTTCTAGGTGCTGCTCATCATATTTTTCCAGTAGCGCTATTATAAATGGAGATCATATAATCCTTAAAATTGGTCTTGGCTGCATTCTGCAGAACTTCAGTACCTTTTTTGTACTTGATGTTCATCCTGACACCCAAGCGACAACCTAGTTTGTTGTGATAACATGATATTATTCTATTTGCAATTTGGAAGCAGAGTTCACTTCATCAGCTCTGCTGTGAGAGGCCATCTCCATCAGGCCTTCTCTCCCCTCAGCTGCCATCTGCGGGCAGGCATTTGATCAGGCTGCCTCAATGGGAGGGATAAGAAGCAGGGCTCATTTCATCAGCTTTGCTGGAAGTGCAGCTTCATCAGCCACCTCCTGCCTCTGAATTATGCCAGCTGGTCACTATAGGAGCAACTGTTTAGAAATTGGTGTCTGACTTTTGATTTTCCTCTTCCATCTCTGTCCCTTTCCCCTTGTGGTTTGTGGGTAGGCTTGTTTTGCTTGTATGTAAGTGACTCTGGGATCCTTTTTGGCTGAAAAGCTGGGTACAGGTGTTCTAAATAAATAAATTTTGACATGGCAGAACAGGTTCAATGTACTGGTGCAGTATATTGGGCTGTACCATCTTTGGCAACATAGCTGGTTTGCTATGTTTTAGCTACCTGGTTGAAAAATATTTTCTTAAATATGTTATTTTAATTGTCCTGCTTTTTCCCCAGGTCTCCTTCAGGATTCTGACCATCCATATAGCAGATATGAGAATGAATGAAAACGGATGCTACTGTGTCTTCTTAAAGATGGCAAAAATGTGAAGTTAATTTTCTGGTTCCAGTTTAAATCACCAAATATGTGCATAAATGCTTAATAGAAAATGGTCTTTCCCCCCTTTGTAAACAGCATTCTGTTTGTGTATATAATTTTTTTCTAATATAGAATGCAATTGTGGTTCCTTTTCTCTCTTCCCCCATCCCCTGTTCCTTTTCTAGACCTCTTATTTAATGGAATGTGAGTTGAGTACAGAAATAACAATCATGTCATTTCCCCTAACACTCTAACCTTTATAAAACAAAGATATCATCGTCTTTTCCACATAATGCTAAATAAAGACCTCCTTTAAATCTGTGTCAAGTAAGTGTTGGCAAGTATTTGACACTACAGACATGTGTGGTATCAAGTGATGACAAATAATTACAGCCTATGCCGCTTCCAAGACTGTTAATAGAATATGAGGGGTGTATGTGAGAGTATGCTGGTGTGAAATGGCCACCTTGGGCACAGCAACCAGACCTGGATAGCTTTTGGTGTTTCTAAGTCAATCAGTACTTTCTTGCTCTGCCCCAGCTCCTTGAATGTGGGTACCTAATGGATGCAAACATATCCTTGCCTCTAGCTTTTCAAATCTCTCTCTCTCTCTCTCTCTCTCTCACACACACACACGCACATAAACACACACACCAGTTGGATTTGCAGTGGCACATATCCTCTCCCAATATCTTGCCCCATTTGGGCCTTCACTGCAGTTTGAGCAGACAACTCCATTGCCACTTAGGGAGATAAGTGCCCTGCTTAGGTGTTGGGAGAGGGTTCTGATTTGTGATCATTATAGACCAACATTTGAATGACAATGGATATTCAACAATACCTGATAGCCTTGTTCCATTTTTCTACAACATGTAGAAAGCAAATAAATTTTTCTAATGTATAAAGAACAACTGTATGTAGTGCTTTTTTCTATATATCTTCACTTCTAATAATGAACTCAAGTGGTGAATGCTGACAGGTTTGTGGCCACTGAAAACAACAGGGGAGGTATTAACATGCTTGGGAGAACCAAAGAAATTGCAGAAGTAGAACACATTGCCAAAAGGTGGCATCTACCACAAAGCAGCCCAACGAGACCTGTGCATTCTCAGTAGCCAAAGAATATTGGGCACATTTGCAAACCAGAGAAACTACCACGAGCATCACACATACAAGTATGCATTGTGACCTCTTCTATTGGCTACAATAGAATATTATTTTCAAGCATAGATTCATTGGGAAATGGCCACCTTGGGCACAGCAACCAGACCTGGATAGCTCTTGGTGTTTCTAAGTCAATCAGTACTTTCTTGCTCTGCCCCAGCTCCTTGAATGTGGGTACCTACATTTCCTGAGGGTGCATGGGAAGACCTCTAGATGCATAGAAACAGAAACTAGGAAAGTGAGGAGGTGAAGAGTCAAATGCCCTGCTTGGAGAGCACAGTTATCTGGAACTCTGAATAGGCACTAACCTTGGAGTGATTATATATTGCTCATTTTGTTGTAGATCCCACAAACTTTGTGTTGTCCTGCTATTACACAATTAAAAATGTCTGTTGAAAGTCACATAGGTGAACTTTTGTGAAAATCAGGTGCCATTTTCTGAATCCTTGATACCCGTCCTGCATTCAGTTAGAAGTATATACAAAGTGATTTGTTTTCTGTTTCCTTTTAAGCAGCTACTCTCTCTAGGACTATCAAATTGTGCATGGATACTGTGGGATTTTTTTTGTTCAAAATTTACTTTTGTAGATATCTGAAGCTAGATTTTTATGATTTCCCAGGGTGTTTGTTGCAGCAAAAATAATGAGTCTTCAGAATCTTAAAAACCTGCTATGGTCCATGAAAGCTTATACCATAATAAATTCATTTTTAAGGTGCCACAAGAGTTTGCTATAGATTTGAACACTACTTGGAGCAATTTATTAGATTGTGACATGTAAATAATTTTGATATAATAAACTATATAGCACATACATTAATAATATACTTCCATGTCACTGTGCAGCAGCCTGTTTAAGCAAAGCAAGACCTCATTGCTCTGGTTTGTCAATGGCTTTTGAATTCAGATATGCTTGACAACCCACAACATAGGCTGGTTTGCAAACCAGCCTCGAACCATTGATTTGGGCCCTTGTGACTCATGCTATGTGAGATCACATAGGTTTGGAATTGAAAACAAATGGATTTGGCTTGTCATCTGAATGCAGACATAAAGGCTGAGTAATGAGTTCTCATTGGAAATCCCTTGTGAAAGTAGGTTGAATGCAATGGAAAGTTTTCTTGCCCTTTTCCAATGGTGTCTGACATGACGGCTGATCCTCTTAACCATCACAACCATCCTGCAAGGTAAGAGGTTACAAGAGTGCAATGATCCAGTGACCAAGCAGGGACTTCAGATTAGGTCTCCCTACTTAAAGCTGATGTCCATTATCTCACACTTATTCTATTTTCCCTTGAGACATTCTCTTTCATAATAGAGTGTCTTTTATATTTGCTCCTTTGTAGTTCACACATTTTCCAATTCAGTGTTTATGAAATACGAAGGCTGCAATCCTCAGTATACTTACCTGAAAACAGTGTGAGTGGCTTCTTGGTAAACCAAATGGGGACACTGCACTGAAAGTACTACTGTGATGATTCTCCCTTCCCCCATTCATCTCGTAGCACATAGAAATACAAAATCATGTTGCTCATCCTTCCAACTCGGCATTGTAAAAATATTTACTTTTAGGAAAGATCTTAAGGTGAGCAATAAATTTTGTTTGTCCAACAGTAACTTCAGAAAAGGCAGCATAGACGCATTTCAAGTCCTGCTATTAATATTCTGAAAAACAGTTAATATGGTGGAACAAGGGCGCAAGACAATTTTGAATCAGCGTTAATAGTGCCTGCAAGTAGATTGTCCATGAATGGTTCTCTCTGAAAAATAAGCCATATAATGAGGAGCTCATGTGTGTAAGCTGTGGTTGCATAAGCTGTTGTTGCCTGGGGAAAGAGGGGGACTTGGAAAACCCAAAGTCAGACAAAAATAGCATGTGTAATTTTGGATATAGACACAGATTTGCCTCTTGATTTTGTCATCTACTGAGTTCTAGAAGCTAGATTTATTCTACATAGATGAATGAAGTGGGAAATATCAAAACATTGGTCATTTTTAAAACGTTCCAAAAAACCCCAAAAACCTTCAAATTTGCAAGCAGCTCATTGAACATTAACCATGTAGGGCAGTTTTACAGCCCTGTCATGATCCTAGAGAGATGTCTGCTGTTTGCATCAATGCAAACTGGGCTAAGATCTGATCCTTGCCCAGCATCAACTTTGCATCATTCCTAACAACTTAGAGACAGGTAGAGAGATACCAACCACTTTAATACATACCACTGTATCAGTTAAGCTGCCCACTAATCAATTCTAGCTCTCCTAGCAATTGCACAAAGAAAGCAGCAATCTAGAGTTGTCTTTACTGCAGACTAACACAAGCAAATCCAATTGCATTATTTCCCTTCTGTTGATGCATGCCAGACTATAGGAGGAATTGCAAGCTAAGAGTTTAATGAGGCTCATGGTTTTGGTGGAGGTAGTAAGTTTTTGCCCAACCTGTCACTGCACGATACTGTTCTATCCCTTAGCCCAGAAGTGGAAAACCTGTGGCCTTCCAGATACTGTATTCCAACTCCCATCAATCCCAGCCAGCATAACAAATGGTCAGGGATAATGAAAGTTATAATCCAGTAATATCTGGAGGGCTGCAAGTTTCCAGGAGGGCACATACCAATATTTACACTGAACGACTAACTTTATCAGAAACTTACATTATATATGTGTTTTTGTTGTTGTTAGGTAGCAGTTGAAGTCACCGAGTTGAAATGTATTAAAAGGTCTACCTACCATCTAGTCTACCTGCTTGCTGTGACTGCAGACTATCCAGTGGCCTGCAGGCCTGCATACCCTTAACTGCAGAGCAAAGATCACTCCATATATATTAAGTGAAGCTTCATGCTGCAAGGCAAAGGTTGCTTGCTAGCCTTTCTTTCTAACTTGGAGGAAATAACACTGCTACCCTGAATAATGTACTAAAGTGCTGGAGTGGAAAGAGGCACAATTCTTGCCATTTGATAACATCTATTTGTAGCAATCTCAGCAGCTCAAAGGAAGGGGAGAAACATTTTCAAGCTCCTACCAGAGTTTGGGTGGGGGAATACTATGTCCTCCTTGGTCCCAGCGATCCCTAGCTGTGGGGCTAGAGTAGAAACTACAATATGTTGTTGAGGAGAAGCCCTTGTGGAGTTTGCCTCCTATCACTGTGGCAGGAGGGTGTTTTGTGTCAAGTGCTGAAACACACTGGACAACCCCTGATTTCAAGTTCCTCATAAAAGCTATTCTAATTTTTCTAGACTTCTTATTTGGAGCTTGTCATCTGTCACATTTAGGTCTGAACAAATTTATTTGTATGCCCTTTGTAGAATAAATCATTTTTAAAATCCCATGTTTTGCCTGCCCAAAAATGGAGTTATCGATCTTTATTACTCTTTCATTCTCAACTTGACTGGTGGGGGTGTGTGCCTATAAATAGACAAGCAACTGGTCTTCCACGATCACTGCTTACAATCCTGATCACAGTGACTGACAGTGCCTCATCTCCATCTGTTGCAGGGCAGGCCCAAGACATTTTGGCACCTGAGGCAAACCAAAAAATGATGCCCCCACCACCAGGGAAGAAGGGTTGAAGATCTCCATCAGAAATAAGGGGGGGGATAAGGTTCTCTAGAGGGTCAGTAAAGGTCTCCATCAGGAACAAGTGGGGGAATCAAATCAACCTCACCCAGTAGTTGAAATGGGAATCAAAGGCAATCATGCAGGGGAAAGGGGCCCACTCTGAATCATGTTGGCAGGTGCAGAGCCCAGGAAACCCTAGAGGGCAGCGTCTGTTGTTTCCTCCCTCGGGTGTGGAAAGAGACAAGCAGCACCTATTTACAGAGAGGTGGTTGCCTTACCTTGCCTCGAGTGGGTGAACCCTGATCTGTTGTATACACCTGATGCCTTTTTGTCCCACTTTTAGAACAAATCTAGACATCAGACACCCTTATGGGCATGAAAGTGCAAGTGAATTCCACTTTCTTTCTCCACACTTGGTTTAAAATATCTGGAGCTAGGCCAGGTCATCTCTCTCTGTAGGGAGATGGGCTTGCACTCCACTGTGGAATTATCAAACCAATATTCCCACAAAGGAAGGGGTGTGGCCTCAATGCTGGACATTCAAAACAAAGGTAGGAATTGCAATTTCCTCCTACCCCTTGTTTCATACACTTTGGCCCTGCATGGAACATTAATTTTCTAAGCATCGAGTAACCAACAGATTGGTGGTGTATTCATCATGTGAGTTGTTTTTTGTTTGTTTGTTTTAAATGATAATCTTCCCCTAAGATCAGGGCCGGCCCAATACATTATGCTCAGGATGCTGATACCCCAGCTCAGTTCTACATAACAGAAGCTGATTAGACTGCCAGTTGAACTTTGCTTCAGTGCTAGGGATGTGATTACATCCTCCGTGAACACCTGGGAGAGCATGCCTGATTAAGGGCCCAGGAGGGGCCATATGGCGACAGTGAAGCCTGGCTGGGGGCTCAGGAGGAAGAGCCAGGAGTTGCTACAGCTGCCCAAGGTGGGTGCTGCACTGCCTAATGGTAGGACTGGCCTAGCCTAAGAACAATAACAGTGAACCTCATTGAAAAACGTACCCAAGTGCTCTCACTCTTTTCCTAGAACAAATAAAACTCTCTGCCGGTGATACAGATGGTCTGTGAGTCGTTTAGGAGGCAAACGTTGGCAGGCTGATAAGCTCAGAAAAATGTGCTGCAATCTGGAACAAATTGTCAATTTAAAAAAAATCTAAGTTAAGGTCAGAGAA